TTTGGCATGACGTCGGTTTTCGAAAATCTCGCGGTCGCAAAGGAAATAGATTTTTGGGCAAAAATCCTATCCCTGCCGCTGAAGATACTTCCGTTTTGAATTGCTGTGAAAGCAATGCTGACCGCGATTTGTCTAAAATTCTCGAAATTGAATCATCCCATCCTTTTCTGAATGCTTTACCGAGTAAAATTGCCCATCGCTCTTGTATTTTTATTATCCGTTTCTAGCCACTGGGTAATTTTATTTTCAATTTATTGATCACTTGGTAAAGTCGAGTGGTGCAAACTTGAAACATAACTTTTTGGCGATCTTGCAATTCAAATTCCGGTAATTTCGATTCAATAAAAACGTGAATATTTGAGATTCAATTTCGCACTTTTTCTGATTATTATTTTAGTTAGAAACTCGCGCAACACTTCAACGCTAATCCCTTTTTTCGAATAAAATTTTACATAATCGCTGTGTCCACCTGTATCTTATCTCCGTAGCCCCTCCCAACCTCACTATTTTTGAATTTTCTCGAGGGGCGAGCAGCTGTCTGGGCGAGAGATAAAGCCGAAAAGAAAAGAAATTTGCAAATAAAGACAAATTAAACCCGGGTTCCGGAGTTCCCTAAGTTGATTTTCTCGGAAAGAAGTCATATTAGCTTAGTTCAGCTCAATTTGACCTTGGCTCAGCTGGCTTAGCTCAGAGTTGAAAAATTTCTAAGCTAAGATAGCTTAGTTTCCGGCTAACCTTAGCTTAGCTAGTGATTTTTCAAATGGTCAGCTTCCAGCATAAACCAGCTAAGCTTAGCCTCCAATTAAAAAGTTTTTACAAATTCAAAATAACAAGCTTAGTACGCTAAGCTTTGGTAGCTTTGTTAAAATTTGGCTCAGCTAAGCCTAATTTATGAGAAAAATTATGAGAATCCAAGAAAATAAGCGAGCCAAAATTTATTTTGTCCTCAATTAAGTGTGGGATGACTAAGTTCGTGGGGACTAGGTTCGTGGGACTAGGTTCGTGGGTGGCTGGCTGGAAAACGTGGTTCGTGGGACAAGGTTCGTGAGTTTTTGATTTTATATGTATATTTTTATTTATAATGATTAAGTGTTATTTATATGTATATATTTATTTATATATATTTATATTATATGTATTGTAATAATATGATCATATAATATAATATTGCTATCTAAATATAGGTTCGGGGTTTTTGATTGGAAAGCGCTAACATAGAAATTCAGTTAAAGAGCCTAGCGGCTTATTTTGGGGGTGGGGGTGGGAAAGTCATTTTTACCATTCAACTTTACCCAATTTTACAACCCACGAACCTAGTCGCACTCAATTGTTCCTTATAAAAAAATTTCAAAACCCACGAACCTAGTCCCACGAAACTAGTCTCACGAACCTAGTCTTCACGAACCTAATCTTCACGAACCTAGTCCCACGAACCTAGTCCCACGAACCTAGTCTTCACGAACCTAGTCTTCACGAACCTAGTCCCACGAACCTAGTCGCACCCCCTTTTCCTTATAAAAAAATTTCTAAACCCACGAACCTAGTCCCACGAGCCTAGTCGCACCCTTCTTTTCCTTATAAAAAATTTCAAAACCCACGAACCTGGTCTCACGAACCTAGTCGCACCCTTTTTTCCTTATAAAAAAATTTCAAAACCCACGAACCTGGTCTCACGAACCTAGTCGCACCCTCCTTTTCCTTATAAAAATTTCAAAACCCACGAACCTAGTCCCACGAACCTAGTCGCACTCAATTGTTCCTTATAAAAAAATTTCAAAACTCACGAACCTAGTCCCACGAACCTAGTCGCACTCAATTGTTCCTTATAAAAAAAAATTTCAAAACCCACGAACCTAGTCCCACGAACCTAGTCGCACTCAATTGTTCCTTATAAAAAAAATTTATAATTTTTATAATACTTATAGAAAAATCTCTAATTTCAAAACCCACGAACCTAGCACCCCTACGAACCTAGTCCCACGAACCTAGTCGCACCACATTGTTCCTTATAGAAAGGAAACCATACCCCATCTTGCATACTTTGGCATAACCACCTACGAACCTAGTCCCACGAACCTAGTCCCCACGAACTTAGTCATCAATCCCTCAATTAAGCTATCTAGGCTTAAAAATATCTCCGAAAAATCTCCAACCCTAGCTAAAAATATTTCAAGCTACGTAAGGATCGTTTTTTATCACCGCCTGTCGAAACGATTTCCTTCTTATGAAAAAAGTTTCTCTAAGCACGACCGCAGCTGTCGTTGTACATTAACATTACTCGTTTTATCACATATCCTCTCTGGTGGTCAGTCCTTTCCATTTTTCGTTGTAACTTTTTGCATCCCAGGCGGATCATATCTGCTTCCATTGTCAGGCCACAGAATGGAATGGAAATCACGGAGCAAAACGAACTTTCTTGAAAAAATAAAACGACGATTTTTGAGTCGAAAAGTTCAATTAGAAAATTCATGTTCTTCTCTTCAATTTATGCAGCGAGCTCTGGAATAATTCTGTTTAGTAACCAACTCTTCAAATTTGTCTTATTTGCTAGACATGTCACTCTCCATCCAAAAAGAAGGAGCTTTACTACGTGGGACAGACGTTTTCCAATCGCTGCCAGTCGAATTGAAACGCGGCTAAGCTGCCACAAAGCTTTCGATTTCCGCAGGAACGTGATCGTGCTCCACCCACAGCTGAGGTAAACTGACGTCGCACCGCGTGGTCGACTCCCTTCTTTTTCCGAGTTCATATTCTATGCTAATTCTTCTCCTGCCAATTGTCCCTTGAACCCAGCTTTTCCAAAATAATCGTATTTTCTTCAAGCTTTTTAAATAAAAACAAAGCCATTTTTATGTTCAAAACCTGAGTCAGGGCCTGAATGATCTTTAATGAATAACTGCTTTACATTCGGGCCTTGACTCAGGTTTTCTACACAGGATGCCGAACACAGGATCGGTGAGTTTTCCACTGAGCCTAGCTGCTCAAGGAAGGAGTGTTGGTAAAATTTTCAATGTACAGTGAAAACCCATTTTAAGGCCACTTTTTGGATGACAGCGGATTTTAAAAGTGGCCTTAAAATGGATATTTTTTGCCTTGTGTCGGATGACAACAAATTTTTCCATTTTTTCGGACAAAAGTGAATCATAAGGGTCTATAGGGGAATGCTCGAGTCTACTGCATGTTTCTATCGCCCGAACAAAGTATGATTCAAAGCAATTGCCAAAATGTGTTGTTTAAATTGGACTCTAGGTGATTCTTTCTTTCATTCTTTCAAAAATATTTTTTCTGTCAACATGTCAGAGAAATGGATCAAAAATCTCTATCGAAATCTTCATGCACTCGAAATCTTCGAGAGGATTATTTACGAGAAGAAATCGAGCAGTTTGAAGATCTCGATGTTGAGTAAGTGTTCTTGACAAACAAGAAAAAGAATTTGTCGAGCATTTTCTGGCGCTTCAAATTGATGAAACGCGTCCAAGTACTCCGATGGAGATTGAAGAAGTGCCTCAAGTTCAAGTGACAGACCATGCTGACACTGAAAAGCCATCGACATCAAAATGGCCGAGGATACAGTCGAAGATAGCTAGCTTTTTCTAGCGAAACTGTAACTTTCGGATTTCGAAAAAAGTGGCCTTAAAGTGGATTTTTAGGATGACAGATTTTGGAGATTTTTCGAAAAAGTGGCCTTAAAAGGGTGGGCCTTAAAATGGGTTTTCACTGTATAATTTTCAGCCTGAAAGCTTGATGATTTTCGAAAAATGTTTGCAGGCCAAAAATCACTTTTTAACTGTTAGTGCCATCTTCACCGCCGTCTCAAACCGAGTCGAACGGTATATGTATCGCTTGAAAATTCTAGAGTTTCGGGTACTTCTGCCCGAAAAAATTAAAAATTGATATTTTACGTGCTAAAAAATCACAAAATGATTATTTTTAGGTACTTTTCTTTGCAAAAGTACTTATTTTTTGAGACCCCTGCACTCCTCACGTCCTAGCGGTCATTTTGACATGCTATATGCCATAGTACCATTTCTGTATCAAAAACGGCAGTGGAATACTAGAATTTCGTAAATTTGACCGGAAGTACCCGAAACTCTAGAATTTTCAAGCGATACATATACCGTTCGACTCGGTTTGAGACGGCGGTGAAGATGGCACTAACAGTTAAAAAGTGATTTTTGGCCTGAAAACATTTTTCGAAAATCATCAGGCTAAAAATTGTAACGAAAAATAGAAACTCTATCAAACATAATTCTAGCTTGATAGCGGCGATAAAGCAGGCTGATCCCCGCTCGAGGGTGACATTACTTACCTTCTCGTGAAAACATATCCATTCCGGGCAGTTCTGTCTAGAGTTCACTTTTGCCGTGAAAAAGGGTTGAACGGCTTTCCGGCCTTTTATATCGATATTTGTATAGTCCGGCTAGAACTTCCGCAGCACGTGTTTCAAAGCAAGCACCGGTGCTTACCCAAAAACACGAATCTTACGTGGCGTTTCGGCGCGAAAACGCCTTTCCGAAGCCCCTAGTTAATCAAATTCCAGAAAATCAAATAAAAAAGACGGCGTCAGAGGTCAACGGGAGCATTAGCGATTTGTGGATTTGAAATTCAAGACGAAATAGCGAAAAAGTTGTAGCCGTCGACGGGGAGCGCTAGATCGCCGATGCCGCTTCTCGTGAAAGCTCATGGCTAGTGCTAACCCCGTGGTTGGTGGACTCGGCCGAGAGCGCCATCGCGCGCTCCCTCGAGCGCCTCCATCGACCAGAGAAATCCACTACGATAGACGTTAAATATCATAAATTACTAAAAAGTAACTCGACTTTAGTTCGCTCGCCCTTGAAATTAACAGGGCTCGATTATATCTTCGTAAAAAAGAAAGAGAGAGAGAAAAGACGGTTTATGCTTTTTGATCCTTTTTGAAATCGGCGAAGAATAAATTTTGGAAAGAGAATAACTCGATTCTTGACGAACTAAAGAAGACGCGAAAAACAAAGAGAGAAGCTATGAAGATTTTACAAGGTCTCGTGCTGGTCTCGGCAGTCCTTGCCCAGGGAAAAGGAGGCAAAGGCAAAAACGCTGGCAAAGGCAAAGGAGGTCGAGGCGGCCGAAAGGGCAATCGTGGCGGCCGCTCGACCCCTTTGACCTACAAGGAATGGATAAAATTTTTTTATTTTTTTGATTTTTTAAAGATTATTTATGCTATTTTTTAGATTTTATTAGAGAAATTTTTAAAAATTTTTTGTTAAAAATTCAAAAAATCAACTTTGATTAACTTTAATTGATCGCCTAAACTTTCTTTTCAAAAAGTAAAATAAGGGTGTCACCGTGTTAAAAACGCTGAAAAAGTCGCGGAGAAAATCGTGTTTGAAATACACCCCTTGAATTAAATTTGCGGCGGGATGATACGACGCGAGTTGTGTAAAACATTAATTTCGGCTCATTCAATATTCCAGCAAAATAAACACTTCTATCGTATCATTTTCGAAAAACGCGTATTTTTAGCTTTTCAGCTGGCGAATGCGTATTTTTATTTTGAAATTGAAAACACGCGAGTCTTTATTTTTTCACTGAAAGCTTTGGTGAAGCAACGTGTGTAAAAACCTGAGTCAGGGTCTAAAGAGCTAAAATAAATGGTTGCGTAGCCGAAAAAGCTCCTCAGAACCTGACCCTGGTTTTTAGGAGAGGTATCTGGAACCGACAAAAATTTCGACAAATTTTGCGGGGAAATTTTCAACCAATCAGAAGCCTGGATTCGGCAAACCGGCCAATCAGCAGCCGAGAAGACGCCAACGCTAAATTTGTCGAAATTTTTGTCGGTTCCAGACACCATCCCGTTTTTACCCAAGTTGATGAGCCAAAGGAGCGGCTCCCTTAATCTTCCGATTGATTTTTTAGATTAAAGAATTGCTCTATCTAACTCATTTTAAGCGAAACTCATGTGCCAGCAGCAAACACATGTGGTCACGGCGCGGTCAGATGAGCTAATTAGGGGCTTTTGAACATGACCTCCGCTGGACAGTAAACTTCCTCCTTTCCGAAAAGCTATTTCAAAAAATTGAAAGACAAATTGTTTGACATAATTCCAGCGTTGGTGTGAGAACAGCCACCGGTTAAGAATTACAATAATTATGCAAGTTTGAGCTAGTAACTCGATTTCCTGACGATTTCACTAGCTGGGAAAAAGATCGTTTGGGTTCAAGTGAAGAAAAATTAAGGGAGTACCCATCTTAAATCAGATTTTCCCGCAGAATGATAGGAAATAATTAAGCTTGTTAGTCCCTTATTATTTGGTGAAATAAAATAAGGAAATCACTTTGATAAGCTTTGGAGAAAGAACAAAATTTCTCCTGACATATGAAAGTGACGCCCTTATTTTCTGATACAAGATTTTAGGGAGTTTACGAGCTGAACTTGAGATAAAATTTATATTCATTAAACCTCTTTCTTTTGAAAAGTTTGAAGAAAAAAGTCCTTAAACTTTAGTAGATGCTATACCCTTAAATTTCGCAACTTTTCCAATTTGCCGATTTCCCGAGTAAAAAGTTCAAAACTGCCATTTCCGCCTAAAACGTTCCTGGCCCGGCTCTGCGTGGATAATCGTTGACCTAGGCAAACGTTAAAGGTTCCCTAAGTCCCGAACTCATAAATATGCAACACGAATGGGCAACACGCTCCGTCATGTTTACAGCTAACAATACTCATATTTTATTGTGGCCGAGTGAAGGCCACAAACAAAAACGTAATTTCTCCTTTTTATCCGAAACACAGAATTGCCAAAGCACACTCAAAGAAGTCAACCAAGTGCCCAATGGAAAAGTCCTCTGCCGTGGAGACACTTGCCAGCTAAAATGCAACCGTGATTATGACGTTTATGGTGGAGCGCAGAAGGAAAGGTTAATTTTTAGATTTGAGTTCTTCTTTTTTCTTATTTCACTGGGTTGGGGTCGGGGTTACGGTTACGGTTAGGGTTAGGGTTGAAGTTAATTTTCATCATTATTTTATTAATTTCTATTATTTCAATGATTTTCAGAAATAATTTTTTACACAATTACTTTTGATTATAATAATTTAATAAATTATTTATTAATTTCGAGAAAACCAATCAAAATGCTCATAATAAGCGTTCAACCAATCAAATCTTTGATAGTTATTTTTCCGACTTTTTGGCGAAATCTGATTGGTGGAGATATATTTTCAAGCATTTTGATTGGTTCGTAAAAAGTGAACTCTTTTCCACGAATTTTAAAGTAAAAAAGCTAATTTTGAGAGCGGCGGAACTGTATCTCTTTGCTCTTAAAAATTGCCGGAACTAATCCTCGTGCGCGATTCTCTCGTTTTTACGATAGAACGTGTTGGCCACGTGATGGCGCGCTAAAACGTGCAAAGCTGCTGATCCATACGAGCTGATCCGCTTGATCCTTTGATAAGAGTACGTTCCACGCTTGGCTCTAGCGGCTAAATATATTTTTCATGAACTCGGGCTTTATCTCGCTTTTTTCATTTTCTCCGCCGTGGCTGGAAATTCGCGCAGAAGCCACAAACTCGCGCGATTTCAGAATTCGAAATTGTTAACATTTCTAAACCGCCAAACAAAAGTGCATGTGAGTTGTTGCTAAGAGCCTTCTTCTCCATGTTTCGAGTGGTACAAATAATTATCACGTGTGAACGCATTATTTCATCGTGAGCCCAAGCTGGACCGGATTATGTGGAGAGCTACAGAGTGCCGAATTTGTACATTTTCGAGGAGTGACTTGAACGCTTCTAATTTCTAAACACGCTCCAAAATCATCAATTCTATTAATTCAAATCCCTAATCAAATCACATTTCTTGGAATATTTTCTCACAGGACCGAAATTCTAAGCTTCATTTTAAAATTCTATCATCATTGAGCATTGAGCTTAAGGGGGTGACCCACCTTTTCTCAGGAATTTTTGAGGGAGTACACATCATAAATTCACTTTTCCCGAAAATATTTCTTTGGCAATTTAGATTTTAATAAATCGATTTTGTAATAAATTTTGAAAATCTTGTAATTTTTTTATATTTTTTAATAAAAAAATAAAAAATAAATAATTAATAATATAATAATATTATAATTTTTGCTATTTATTGAAAATTTTATAATGACAATTTAATAGATTGAAATCTTTTTAAATAATTTTTTTTAATATCAGAGTCACCCCCTTATTCAAAAATAAAGGCCTCGACAATATTTTTTATCAAATTTTTGGTCAAGATTTTCTTTTAGGTTTAAACATTCCTTTTCATCGGAAAAATATGAGTATTACTGTGTTAACTCTAATCCAAAAGTCTTGATTTCTAACTCGCAATTATAATTGCCGTGCTAAATTGTCACATTGCCAATGTGACATTGGCGAAGGAGACTTATTTAGACGCGTGTTTAAAGTAAACGCGCCAGTAATATCTTATCTTCTGTTTTCTCGATAAAAACGATCGTGCGGAGCGTTCTTATCTCTTCTTGGATTCAGTAACTGCCCGTTAGCCTCATCACAAAGATGAACAAGATAACAAGCTCTTGTGTACAATAAGCAGGTCGTAATGATCGTAATTATGTCGCTGCTCTTAGGCAGCTAGAATCCCATCAACAGTAAACGTGCGTTCACTTTGTAATTGCTGTTTGTGCCCTCTGCACCTGTTTTTTGCGATGATCAGTTTCCGGTCCCCAAAGCACGGTTTCTCAGCAATTTTGAGTGTAATTATGATTTTGCTATTTTATAAATGACCGTCTAAAAACGAGCTGTTTGCTTTTTTCGTCATGAAAATGAAAGCGGGACTCAGAAACCTGTGTATAAGGCGACTAAACACTTTCCCGACCCTGACTCAGGTTTTGTACACAGGTTTTACAACGGTCCGAATTTCAAAATAGCAAATTTGGAAACTAACGACCAGACTAATCTGATCCTTCAAAAAGCAGATGATGATGATTATGTGATTCTTCTTTTTCTCCCGTTGAACCCAGCTGTCTTTGGTTTTATTCCAAACTATTCCTTTCTTTGTTGCTTTAGCCTGGAATCTTTATGTCGAATTGGGGTGACTTTTTATTTCGCCAATTTTTTCGCGAGTTCGATTCTTTTCAGAAGGAGTTTCTAAACGTACCCGCTGCCGTGAGAAAGATCGGCAAGGGCGGTGACCGGATGAGCCTTATCTTAGGTATAAAAATATATACAGACCGCGATGACACTAAACTCGCCCGGCTGTGGCGTAGATCTATCCCAGATAATGTCCAAAGACTTGGACTTTCGTTGAATTTCTTACAATTGCCCTTCGGAAAATTAACCGCTAACAAGATCAAATGCGTGAGAAGAGGCGGCGGAGCAGTTTGGAACAGCAAAGACTTTGGCTCCTGTCAGACCTGCATGCAGCTGCCGATCGACCAGGACTCGATGCAAGTAAGTGTTCTTCGAAACTTGTTTGATTTTACGCTCTTCGCTCGATTTCATGATTAGGAGCGTCTTGGCTTGTTCGCAATTATGAAACTGATGAACTTGTGAACATAATTCATTGGCTGCTTTTTCATAATCGTTTTTGAAATTCGAATGATCATGCATTCGCCTTCCTAATTACTGGCTCTAGAAGGGCTTAGAAGGCAGAATAAGGGTCTCGTCTTTAAATTTATAGAATTGGACGACGACGCAGTCCAAAAGTATCCTGGGCAGAGCTCGAATTAATAGAACCTCAAATCCGAACGGGTGTTTTGCGCAAAACCGAGGCCACCTCCTCCTCAAAACATCCTCCAGATCACGAAAACGAGCCTGACTCACCATTCTTGATTTTAGATGACCTGTTCCACGACGACCGCTGGAACCAGAAAATGTATAATTTCCTGCAACAACAAACAAGCCCTGATGCCAATGAGCAACGATAAAGTTGTGGCCATTTGCAAGTGCGACCATCCAGTAAAGGTGAGTTCAATTTCCAGCCTTGGTAATCGGAGTAAAAAGCCTGAGGGTTCTGAAAGAGATTTATGCTCTACGCGGCTTTTCCAGAAACGAAGGCTTCGTTACGAAGCCCCTACGCTTAGAAATAATAATTTTTATTCTATAAAATTTTTATTATTAATAATAAAAAATATCAATAATACGGTTAATAATTATTTTTACGCTCCGCGGCTTTCATTAAATTTTTTCAGAACCCTGACTCTTATTTCCCGCTCAGGTTTTCGACCCCAGTTCATTTTCAATGAGATATTATTTCACTGGGGCATATTGTTTTGGTTGAATAGAACGGCTCGTGCTATCCGAAAATGCGATTTTGTAGTGACGTTTAATCTGGCTCGCCTTGGCGGTTAGCTTTTTTTGCTTTGGAAAATGTCGCGATCATCCTTCCGGTGCAAGGGGAAATACATCTCCCTTTTCCAGAAACGTAAAACTGAAGACAGATGGTGTCGCTGTTCAAAGATGTCCGCAGATTACGGATATTGTGTGATCTGTGACAACCTCGCCGAGTTGACGGGAATAACAAAATCCCACGACAGCGGTTTAATTTGGATCAAAAGCTCAATCAGGGGTATTGAGCCGTCCCGCTGTTTTGGCACCAAAGATGTGTTAGAAATTAAACATAAACTTTGTCAACTTGCAGCGTCCTTCTTTTGCACTCTTTGCTTAGAGATTTATTGCTAGAATGCTAATCATTCGGAATGATTTATTCCCTGTAAGAGTTCACAGAAGGGGCTAGCAGACTACTACCTAGGATAGTGATAAGCAAAGTGCGCTGCGACCGTTTCAAGTGGAAAAGAGACGCGCAAAAGTCTTGAAACGGAGGAGCATCGTTTCTTTTCAACGCCCCGAGAGGAGGAGAGTAGTAGGGATCTTAGTCCTCACGGCGGTCGGCTGATAACTCGGCTCGCGACCTTTATGAGTCAGCCGATACTGTCGAACACGTAACACCCCTGACGATAAGCCTATCGCTAGTTTCGGGCAGGGAACGGCTGTCCCTCGAGTCGAACTTCAATTTGACATTCTTTTGACCTCGTTTTCTTTGCGTCACTGTTTATGCGCATCTATCGAAATTGCCACAAAGTTTATAGCCAAAAAATGGCCAAAAGTTCGCGTCGAAAAACGTGCTAAACTACTGATAACCCAGCGCTGGAATAAACTGTTATGAAGCAGATAATGAGCTGAATTTTCAGAGCCGCGAAGAAGCCGACGGATTCTGCCACTGGAGAATCGGCGCTGGAATGAAAAAGATCATCGACATCCCAGCCTTCAAAAACGACTACTCGGGCAACTGGTACTGCAAGAACGACCACAAGGAGCAGAGAGAGACGGGGCTGGAAGTTTCCGATCTGGGCGCCGTTTCGTCCACGGGTAGTACTGATCGAATTCCGCAAGACATGGTTTGCAAGGTACACTCTTTTGTTCCCTCCCTTCAGTCTTTCATGCTTCCCCTGTTTAGGAAGATTCAAAAGGCAACTTCCAACAACGGATCTACGGAGGCAAAGACGTGGTCCCCTACAGCTGGCCCTGGATCGTCAACATCGCCTTCGACAACTTCTTGTGCGGCGGAACGATCGTCGATGACGAAACGATCATTTCCGCAGCGCATTGCTGCGACGGATTCCAGCGGAAGCCCGACAAGGTCAAATGCACCATTTCCGACCATTACTTCCACCAGAAAGGAGCGCGGATGGAAGATCTTTTTCTTTTGATGGCTTCCGTGGGAATGTCCAGCGCCTAATTATTAGAGCATTTTTAAAGAACGAATTGAACTGGAGACATCCGCTGTTTAGACCCGCACGAGTATACTTACACTGCCAAAGAACTAATCATCCACCCAGAATACTCTAGACGACAAATTAAAAATGACATTTGCATAATTAAAGTCCCCTTTATGAAACTAAACCAGAAGCCGCTCGCCGCCCCGGCTTGCCTGCCCCCGCAAGGTGAGCACCCCCCGCCTGGAACAAAGTGCTGGGTCGCAGGCTGGGGACAGACCGAGTCAGGCTCCGTCGCCGAGCAATTGCAGGAGGTCGATCTGGACATCATGTCGGACCAGCAATGCGCGAACACGATGAATGGACAGTATTTGGTCAAAGACGCCATGTTCTGCGCAGGTAAGAGCGTCTATCCACGCGCAACGAAGCGCGGCCGCGGAATGAAAATTAAAATTCACAGTCCATTCTAGCGCCATGTGCTTTTCTGATTTAGATGCACCGGCGCAAATATGCAAAACGCACATATCTACCCGACGAGTCAAAATAGCGAACTCTCTTTTGATCGCTAATTTTATGCTATTCGCAGTTGAGTCAGCTCTAAACCCGGGAACATGTGTAGAAAACCTGAGTCAGGTTCTATAGACCAAAAATTCATTTTTCAATCTTACTCAGGTTTTCACACAGGTGGTCGAGCCCAGTCGGAAAACCTGAGTCAGGGTCACGAAAGCTTGAAATTTGAAGCTTTTTCAGGACCCTGACTCAGGTTTTCGCACAGGTTGTAGAATCCAGAGTCAGCAGAATACAAAAGCTAGTACTTTGAAAAACAGACTTGTTTTTGCGCTACGAAAAATTTCAAGAGCGTTGATTCAGTCGCATGAAAAGTCACGAAGCGCGCAAATTCTCCATATTTGCTTTTACTAATTGAAATTCAAGGGTCAAAGGGCGGTGGAAAAGATGCCTGCCAAGGTGATTCCGGCGGACCGATGATCTGTGGCATTGTCCCGCCAGGAGCGAAGAAGGGACACGCTAGCGAAGAGATCCGACAGGAACGGTTCGAAATTTTTAGATTTTCTATTTCGTAAGTTTTGAAACTTGAGCTTGCAAACTTGGGATAAACATGGGCAAACATTCTATCCTGGAAGCATCTAAGCTCGCCAACCTGAGCTTTGCACCATAAGTAGAAAACCTGAGTCAGGGTCTGAAAGATCCAAGCAGCTTTTCGTTGAAGATCTGTCAGACCCTGACTCAGGTTTTTACTCAGGCTGTCGAGCCCAGTAGATAGCACGATGAATTTAAAGTTTCTCGAGCCTCGAAAAAGCCAGTACTTGTCGGAGTTACTTCATGGGGAATCAAATGCGGCGCTCCTAATGCGCCTGGAGTCTGGACGAAAGGTAATTGAAGCGTCTTCTGTAGCCGAGGAGCTCATGAGCTCACGGGCCGCTCTCGTCAGGTTTCCACCTGTGTTGAATTATCGCTCGATCGTGTTCCGCAAGTGAGCACCGCCTTAAATCCGCTTGGCTGTGGAACGCTCATCGTGTGTTAAAGCATATTCGCGTCTTCTTCTTTCAATCCAGCAAAAGACAAAACACGTCGATCGCTGATCAAGTTCTCCGTATCATTTCTAATCTTTCTCTTTTCAGTCTCGACCTACACCAACTGGATCCGCGAGCACATGATGCAGACATCCCCAAATCCTTCCAGAGGCGCTTTCGGAGGATAAACTTCGAAGCAAGTGAATTTAAAAACTTGTCCATTGTTGAAAAATTAAGAACCTACATACTTTTGCTCTAGACATGAATCAAACATTTTTGATTCTGTGAAAATAATCTTTGAACATAAACCAAAACGCTTGTAAATACAGTATATATTGAAGGATATACTGGAACTGTGTTTTCTTTTGTACTAAAAGTGTAAATAAACTTGTCCAGATTCACAATCAACCAAAAAATCAACCGCGTCTTTTATTATCTAGTATTGAAAATTATTGAAATTATTTATATTGTTAACAATTAAAAAATATATTATTAACAATAAGATAAAGATTTCTAATTTTTTATTATTAGAAAATAATTAAAAATTTTAATTATTTTAATTTAAAATAACAAAGAAATAATAATTTTTAAAATTTCTCTTATTTAGAAATTATTAAAATTATAAAAAATTTAAAAATTATAATAAAAATATAAATATACGAAAAAATATGAGTTTGATGTGAAGTTTATTGCATATCGATTTCGGCTACTTTAAGCCATCTTCAGTGCAAAGAGAACGTCTCGTGATTGGTCACGAAAAAATATAAAAAACAACCAAAAAGAATCAGCCGCAATTTTTATTTTTGCAAGATTTTGAGAAGTTGAAGTTTTGATTTGATTACGAAGCGCAGATTAATCCTAATTCCGAAGTTGCTTTTTTGAAGGAAGTCGTTGGCAATGGCCAAAACAAGGCGAGTCACGCGGACGGAGGTCTAATGCTCCTGCTGGAAAATAAATTTAGTGAACCCAACGTCAGCATCTTGCCGAATTAAAGTATTAGAAGGGTGCAAAAACAAGAAGCGAGTAGAAGCGAGCGCCAGCTGAAAGGCTTTCTAAATTCAGCATCAAAAATCATAGTTCTTGCCAGATATCTCAGTTCATTCAAGGAGGTTTTCTTGTGCTTATTTGAAAATCGCCGATAAAGTCTAAATCCATTCAAAAAGCGACTCGATTAGGCTAGTTAATTGACGCTACTATAAGAAAAGTAAACTTGGCGTGTCTATAAGTACCGAGAAAAATCAGGAAAGTCAGACTAGAACGACCAATTTTTGGGAAAAAATTGCGACAACGTTTGCCAAATTTTAGACCAATCAGAAGTCCGTATTTAGCTGATGGGCAAATCAGATTTTACAAAAATTGTCGCAAAAATTCGAGTCGTTTGTCGCGCTTTTTGTCACAAATCGACAAAAATTGCGACAATTTTCACCAAAATTTGAGCCAAATTTACGACCAATCAGATGTGCGCGTTTGGCTGTTTTTTAAGCGATTTGAGCCACGACATCCTAATTTTTCATCGAAAAATAAGGATGATGATGTTCCTTCTTCAGTTTTTTTGTTCTTAAGAAATTGGTCCGGATTTTCGATCTTTGTCCGCTACGGGAGTCAATAGTGCTAGGCTGTTGTTTTACAAAGGAAAGATAAGAGACGTGTCTTGAGTTTAATTCAGTTTTATCATTGCTGCTTTTCTGTGTCTCAAAAACAATCTCGCCTGAGCATCTAATTCGAATCCAATAAGCGATCGTTGAACTTGCTGCTTTTTCGGCTTTCTTGCTTCACAAAAGATTACTCGCTAAGCCTCTTCACAAATAAAGGTTGTATATCGTTTCGGCGCGATTCGGTTTCAGGTTCACTTTTAACTTTAAAGACAGTTGAAAGTGACCCAAGCTCGGCAACCTGTGTAGAAAACCTGTGTCGACGTCTAATAGATCTTTAATGAAAAGCCGCACAGCGGCTTTTAAACGAAGCCGCAAAGCGGCTTCCTAAATCATCTTCCTAATTATTTTCAAAGTTTTGGCGAAGTCTCTTTGAGGCTTTGTATTGAAAAAAGCCGCTGCGCGCCTTTTCTGTAGAGATGTTTTTGACGAGAGAGGCGATTTTCTGGCAGTTAGACTTTCTGGCAGTTAGACTTTCTGGCAAAGGCGATTTTCTGGCACTGCCAGAAAATCTAATTGCCAGAAAATCGCCTCTTTTGATTTTGAATTTACAGTTAATGATCTTGGAAGGTAAAAAAACGGAGAGGGTTTTCGACAGTACCACCAATGTTTTCTTACACGTTTTATAAAAATTCATTGACAAAAGCCATTTTTGACCCATTTATTCAAGATTATTGGCTGTAGCAAACATAAATCAGCTTCTTCCGGGAATATTTGTGTTAATCACCCGGTGTTATTTGCATCTGATTTCGAGTACTTGGTCACAGTGAGCACCCACTGAGATAATGGCGCACGCTAATGCTTTTTAAAACTCTTCCTCAGAAGGTGGTGGAATCGGTGTCATTTTCAATATTTTTCTATCAGATTTCTCTTCATTTTCTCAAAAATCAAAATCTAACTTTTCAGCTGCCTGTTAACCCGTTTGTCACTTCGAAAAGAGCAAGAACGAACTGCGGATGCTGCCCTCATTCTATTTTTAGCGCAGAAATTTCAATTCCAAATTCGTCGTCTTTTTAGCGCCCTGAATAGTCGGCTTTTAAATCAAACGCTCCCATCGAAAGGTGCAAACTCCTGCTGAAACTGCTCCGAAATGAAATTTGTGTGATAATCACCAGTTTTTCGAATTTATAAAATGATTTAACAAAAAGAGTTTCTTGCAGAATTTCAAATAATATCCATCCTATAAAAGCGATTTCACCACCTGAGGAAGAATTTTCAGGAGAGTTTTATAACAAGTTCAGTTTCAAAAGCATTAGCGTGCGCCATTATCTCAGTGGGTGCTCACTGTGACCAAGTACTCGAAATCAGATGCAAATAACACCGGGTGATTAACACAAATATTCCCGGAAGAAGCTGATTTATGTTTGCTACAGCCAATAATCTTGAATAAATGGGTCAAAAGTGGCTTTTGTCAATGAATTTTTATAAAAACGTGTAAGAAAACATTGGTGGTACTGTCGAAAACCCTCTCCGTTTTTTAACCTTCCAAGATCATTAACTGTAAATTCAAAATCAAAAGAGGCGATTTTCTGGCAATTAGATTTTCTGGCATATTAGATTTTCTGGCAGTGCCAGAAAATCGCCTTTGCCGGAAAGTCTAACTGCCAGAAAGTCTAACTGCCAGAAAATCGCCTCTCTCGTTTTTGACCCCGATCTTACAAAAGGAAACAGTCAATCAAAGATTTATTGGGAAACTTCCACGGCAGACGTTATATCGAAATCAGACGCCAATCCGGCCGATGAGACTGTCTAATTAACAATATCTGGAATAAAAATCAGCCCTTTCTGGCTTTTCTTACAGTAAGAGAGAAGAAATGAAACCTGCCAACTGGAATTTCAACAAGGAGGAAAAGCTCTACTCGGTCGAGTTTCTGCTTCCGGAGGAAATTGATTCCACAACGGTGAGCTTTTTGAAGAGAAATTTTGCTAAAAAAACTCAGATTCGGTCGAAGGTAGAGGCCAACTCGATGAAATTGGTTTATGATCACCAATCAACCGACGAGAACGAGTTTCAACGGCGAAAATCTCATCGCACTTGGACCCAAACAATCGACATTCCAAAGAGTAATATGCTTTCAGAAAAGTAACATTCAATCAATTAGATCTCAACCCACTGGATACATCAGTCACGTGCAAAAACGGAGCGTGCCTGGCTCAAATTGGTCTGATGAAACGATTCAAGACAGTCAAAACTATTCAAATGCCATGATTCAAAATAAAAAGGCATCTTTTTTCTCGAATTAAATTCTGTCCACCAAATCGGAATTTTTCTTCGGAACGCAAACAGAAATAGAGAAAAATAAAACGTTCGCATTTGCCCTTCCGGGCTTCGAGGCGCAAAAAATGATTATCATTTTTTCAAACTGGTGAGCTGGCAATCGCCATTGTTGACAGCTTAGTGATAACCACCACCACATTCTTGCGCACATTTCACAAAATTACGGACACCAGAAGCGAAAAGAGAGAAAACGAGAGAAAAGTTCGAAGAGACAATTTGTTGTTTAGCAAGCCCGCAGATTCGTGCTTCTTATTTGTCTTCTCTCAAAGCAAGTTTCTAAAGAATGCGGAGAGAGGCATCTTAAAAATTATAACAACATTGGTTTTTCTAAATAATGACACCGCGACAGAAACTATTTTTTAGCCTCAACCAAGACATTCTTTGTTGAATTTATCTGAGTCAGGTTTTCTAGAGCGTAAATGAATAGCCGCGTCGCGGCTTCCTTTTTGAAAAAGCCGCTTCAGAACTTGATTCAGATCTTCTACACAGGTTGCCCAGCCCAGCTAGACTTTCAGCTAAAGGCTCATCAACCTGTGTTGAAATCCTGAGTCAAAAATCATTCATTCCTTAACGGCTTTTTTTTAAAACGAAGCCGCAAAGCGGCTTCGCCAAAATTACAATTTCAATCTAATTTTTGATTCTTTCAAAGCCGCTTCGCGGCTTCTTTAAAAGAAAAGCCGCTGCGCGGCTTTCATTAAACTTTCTAAGATAATTGAAAATCTCTTTTATGAAGTTGTCTCCTCATTCACTTTATTTTAAACTGAAAAATGAAAACTATCATTTTCTTCTTTTAAAAATAACAAATGCCCGTTGTCCCTTATCTTCGGAAAAAGGAAGAGCGAATTCGAGAAGACACGGGTAGTGTTTAAACTTTCGCTAAAAGAGCGAAATAAGCGACGTTTGTTATTCTGGACTTAGAATTTGCGGGTTCACCGAAAACTCATCCAGGTCAGCGGGCTGATGCAAAATGGTAGGGCACTTGTCACTCGCGTGAATATTTTCCTTCTCCCATGAAATTTATCCGTTTTTCCAATTCCTGCTCTGGAGAAATTGCGATTCCTGCGCAACAAACTTTCATATCTCGAGAAGAACAAGGGTTGAGAAACACGTTGATGACCACATCTTCATCAAGAGTCTGAGTCCTATCTCTAGAGGCCTGAGTCGACAAGGGACTCTTGTCTAAATAACCAAGCTGAAAATTCGGATAAAAATGCGTTATCAGGCCCTAAGAGACTAAGACGCACGAGGTTAATGCAGGCGAAAGCTTCCGGACGATTTTGAAGGACGTGAGAAGATTTTCTTGAAGATGATATGCAGCTCAGAAGCGCTGTACCTAAAGTAGCTAACGGTCAAAACTGAACAAGAAGCTGAAAATTTGAGAATTGAAAAAGCAATTTGAAAATATTTAAAAAGAGACGCTAGAAAAAGCATGTTCTTTGCGGCAAATTCACAGTTTCTGGAGCAACTGATTAACTGTTTGGAATGAAGCAGCCTCAAATTTGTAGCACGACATCAAAGACCACAAGTTGAATTCGCCACCGTCGCCAACGCCGCAGATTACTCAAAACATACATGATCTTGAGACGCTTTTGAATTTTCCAGCAAACGGTGGCCAGAAGTGACTTGTGTAAAATTTTGACTTCGGAAGCGTCGCTTATCGGTGGAAAGTGTCTCCGTAAGAATGGCGATTCTTATCACGGCCTGTGGTGATTTTAGAAGCGAAATCTTTGAGTAGTGTCTGACGGAAGTGCACCGCCAACGTGATCATTCTTTTAGAGAAGTGCAAGAATGCCGCTTTCGGAAAGGCGTTTTTCATGAAATTCTTGGGCGCGAATGCTGAGCCAAAAATCGCATCTGACACCACGACGATAAGGGCTTTCTTATGAGCTGAGAAGATTAAACTATCCCTCGGAGGTTACCATAAAGACTTTGAGCGAGCGCTGCTGGATTAGCAAGGCGAAAGTTCTGGGTCATGGCCAGCGTCCGTCCCAGCCCGTCATGGCCCTTCATACCTTTGGCTAGAAAGCTCGTTCAACATAACCGCAAGACACTTTTCTACTGTGCTCGGCGTGAAATCGCGTTTAACTGCTCTGTGAAGAGTTTAAAGAGAGAAAACTGTAAATCAAACGAAAAATGAGAAGGCTAAAGTACTTGCTAACGGCTCTAATAGGTAAAATATCCTTTACTTTAGAAAATCTCCGTTAAAAACTTGAAATTCCGTCACTCGAAATTCTATTGCTTTTGGTCAAATTTTGGACTTTGACCCGAAAATAATCTTAAACGACCATTTTTATTCCATGGTTCGATTCCTAATCGGGTTTCAATAAGCAAGACGGCAGAAATCTCAAGTTTCAATTATAATCACGAAAAATTATTTTGGTCATCCTTCAACTCAAAATTTGTTGGCTTACTTTATCCGAAGGACTTTTGAACACGTATCGAGTTTTATGATGCCAATTTGCCTCGTAGACTGCAACTAAAATGGCGGCTAGAAATAATACCAACAGCTTGAAAATTTCATGGTTACTAGCAAGTTGTAGTTATGACATCAGTTATCCTCCTATTTTGCGGTCTCCTCGTTGTGCGTCGCCTAATGAATGCTCAAAAACAGAAAGGTAAGATCAAAATAGAGGTTTTTTCGTACAAAATTAAGCGATGAATGAGGAAGTTCGAAGAAAATTTTACGAAGCATCTCCGGTTTTGAGGCCTCTTTATGTCCCGCCTGTTGACGAGCATTTTGATGAAAATGAAGGAAAAGGAAAAAATGAATAAATTCGAATAGTTTTGAAAGAATTACTTCATCTTTAAAAAAGTGATCGAATCATTCGAAATTTGGGACGAGCGAGGAACAGAGTTGATCCAAGAAAAACCGCACTCTGATAAGAAAGGGAGGCGCAACAAGCACAAAGAAAGAAAGAAAAACAAGAAAACCACGACAACTCCGAAAACGAAAACAGTAACAACGACTGCCACGACACCGAGTTTTTCGACGATGAGTCAAACTTCAGTCCAGCCAACAACACTCGTTTCATCAACAATACTGCCAACTCTTTCTTCAACTCTGCCATTTCCAAACTCCATCGAAAGAAGCTCAAGTCTAAGCTTATACTCAACCAACAGTCAATTCTCGACAGTATCTACCACAAGTCCTGGGCTCGGCAACCTGTGTAGAAAACCTGACTCAGGGTTCGGAAGATCTCAAATCGCGGCTTTTCATAAGAGATTTTAAAACCCTGACTCGGGTTTTGTATACAGTTTCCGAATCCACCTCCAGTCCATCTTCTTCAGAGTCAAGTTCTCCACCGAAAAACGTTGTGACCTCACCACAAGTTCCTTATCTCCCAACACTGGAAGCCACCGCACTATCATCTCCTATACAAAGCTCGACCGTCTATCTGACACAAAGCCCATTAGTAGAATCGGAGACAACTTCAGCATCAAGCTTTAGGTCGACCCTCTTGAGTCCAATCACGAGATTATCGAAAGTCAGCGACCCGAGGCTTTGTCGAAAGTGTCACTTGTCGAGTGTTTCGGTGAACTTGCTTTTGAAAGTCGAGTGTGAAAATTCGGCGTCCAACTTAGAATTTGGGTTACTTTCATTAAAAAAATAAACGGAGGATGTGGCAAGTAGTCCAAATTGTATATTTATTCATTGGGGATTTCCGACCTGGTAAAAAGTGAACGAAGCACTATGTCCGTACAAGAAGCGTCCGTGATGAGCACTTATTTGCCGACCACTCTTTTGGCTCAGGAATGGTTCAATTAGCAAAGTACTCGAGGCGTCTCTTCCTTTTCTCGACTAAGTGGCCGACAGAATAAACAAAGTTTAGTGTATTATTCTAGTAGAAGTTCAGCCCGAATTAGACAATAATTTTGGACAAATCAGATATCCGAACTAAGCGGTTAGGCCGATCAGATTTCTCAAAAAAATGGAGAAAGAAATTGCCATTAATTTGTTGAAATATTTTTTTGCCTCAAATTTTGAACTAAAAGAAAGCTAGAGGAAACCACACCAAAAAATCTTCATACACCTTCATCAAGTATTTCCAATCTTTTTCTTCCAGAAGCCGAGTCCGATGAGCCTCTCCAACTGGACAAAGCGCCATCGACAATGGCCCCATCGACTAAATTCGCAGTTAGAACACCTGCGCTGGACTTATCAACATCCGCTCAAGACGGTAATCACAAACGCATTTTTTCAAGTTATTCTTTTTCACGTGAGAAACACTTGAGTCTGACTAGGACTAAAAGACTTTTAGTAAAAGTCTTATTTTGTAGAACAGGATGACTGATTCTCATCTTTTTAACTCTTTGATGAATTTAGTCTTTCTTTTGATCTTTGTAAAACCTGGGCTCGGCAACCTGTCTAGAAAACCTGAGTCAGGTTCTGAAGAGTTAATAGGCAGAGCCGCTTTGCGGCTTCGTTAATATAAAAAGCCCCAAAGCGGCTTTGCCTATTAACTCTTCAGAACCTGACTCAGGTTTTCGGAAGGTTACAATTATCCTGAGGATCATCCTCAGGATACCCTCTAGAAGTGAATCCTGAGGATTGTCCTCAGGATACCTTTCATAAACCTATCCTGAGGATAAGACACAGGATACACTCTAGAAACGAATCCTGGGTATCAGATCATAAAATTTCTTCGATAAAATTAGTCCTGAGGATAAGAAAAAACTGACAGATTCAGTCCCAGAGTTTACTACAAGACAGGCGCGGAGCGCACACACGCTCCTTGACTTAGAACCGCGCAAATCTTTTCCTCAGAAATCATCTTTGATAGGTATCCTAGGGTCGATCCTCAGGATACGCTTTTAAAAGGTATCCTGAGGATGATCCTCAGGATAATTGTATACAGGTTTCCAGGTTGTACTTCCAGGTTTTCTACACAGGTTGTCGAGCCTAGTTTTAATTAAAACGAAATTTTAGTCTAAAAAAATCTGTAACAAATTTTTAGTCGAAGAGATCGATGAAATGGACTACTCTTGGTACGACAGTGACACTAAAGCTTCATTCTATCCAAGATCTCCAATAGGTTCTGGTTCAAAACAACAGATTAGACGAAAAAATAGCCCTTGTAAAAAAATGCTTTTGAAATAAGTTTTCTTGGCAATTATGAACCACTCTGAGAATGCTACATGTACGAGTACTACCGGGAAAACGAAGAACCACTAACAATCGCGGAATGCTTGTTTCTTTACCAAAAGGTAAGATCCGTTTCTTCGAAGCGGCGGAAGGGGTTTTTAGTTTATCCGGTTAAACATAAATCGCGCGGAAAATGTTTACGGTTTATTCTGCGGCAAGCCGTCTATACTCTGCCGCACAGTCTCGAGGAGGAAAATTAGACTGAGCAGGAATTATTAATCGACAAAAAAGACGTTTTTAAGATTCTGCGATTTGGAAATCCTGAAGAACGCAGAGTCACGGGGGTTCCCGCCACGTCTGTTCCAAGCAGAGTAGCAACAGAAGGAGCACTTGCAGAACAACATACGGAACCATACACCATGTCGACTGCGGCGTCGAAAACATTGGGAACACACGCGGGCGAGCAGACTCCGCTCGTTCCCCAACGCCCTTCCGAAGCGCCCGCGTCATCATGGGAGATTTTTACATCAGGTTCAGGGCGAGCTGATTCTGCAGCGTTAATTTCTTGTAGAAAGGAAAATGGATGGTGTCTGGAACCGACAAAAATATTTCGACAAATTTTGCGTTGGCGGCTACTCGGCTGCTGATTGGCCTGTTTGCCGAATCCAGGCTTCTGATTGGTTGAAAATTTCCGCACAAAATTTGTCGAAATTTTCTTGTTGGTTCCAGACACCTCCCCAAGAAAAACCATGTAAAGTCAGCTTCTTGGCTTGGTAACCCGTGAAAAAAAATCTGAGTCAGGATTCTGAAAAAGCTTGAATAAAAATTTAAAAATTACTTTTTCAATGAATTTTAAAATTTTTATCCAAGCTTTTTCCGGACCCTGACTCAGGTTTTCTACACAGGTTCCCAAGCCAAGATGCTGACTCAGGTTTCGAAAAAGAAATCGCGCAAAGTCAGTCCAAATCAGAGCCGTTCGTCGTCGCCGACTTGGGCATTTTGGCAGCTTTCTCAGAAACCACTCTGAGTAGTAATGAGGATGAATCTTCGGTCGAATTTGCCGCATCGTTGACCGCAAATGAGCTAGTAACTGAGCCCATGACCGAGACAGGGCCTCAATCAGACTACGATTGGTAAATATCTCTATTGATGATGATGGTCATTATTGACGCGGAAGCTGACCGCTCGGTTGTTTCTAAATTTTAACAATTTCGGTTTTTTCAGCGCGTCGAAAAAATACACTTCTTACGACGGAATCGAGCTCACGTTGGAAGAATGCGAGAGCATTCTGGCGCTGATCCCCAGAGATCTCCTTCCTCTTTATATGAAACATTCAACAGTTGCAGTTCTCGAGAGGATGAGGTTCATACATTGGGAATTATTCACCATCTGGGATTCTTATTCTTCTTTTAATTCAATTTTAATTACACTAATCTTTCGATTCTCACTTCCCATTTTTCCACAATGGAAACAAGTCCATTTCTCGTTGGAAAATCAATTTGAAATTGAAATTCTCTTCGTTTGAACCAACTCAGTTTGCCGCCATCTGCGTCCGAAAGTTCGCCAAATGCGCCAAAAGCTTTTCTTCTTGAATTGACTGGACTTCCTGAATGGTAACGCCAATTCAATATTTTTCTTCGTAGAAATTTTGATCAATTGAAAGTTACAGATCCATATTAATTCTTTTAGCTCTGACGCAAAAGCCAGACAACTTTCCAAGGTGAGCCTTTTTGCTTATTAATCATCAGATAGAATTTCTCAAGGAGAAGCTTACATACATTTTTCGAATGAAACTGTCTTGAACTAACTGAAAGAAGGGCCCGTTGATTGGGAATGAATATTTAACCATCACTGATGGTCCATCAGATTTGACTAAAACAAATTGTCTACTTTGCCGTCGAGACCTTCTGATACAGGAATAATCGCCGAATTAAGCATCTGGCGCGGAGAAAGGTCAAGACCCTTTCAATAGAACGAAACTGTCCAAATATTTCTCTGCGGCTACAGCTCACTTCCGCTGCAACAAAGAAGCATGTCAGCCATCTACTACCACGGTAATTACCAATCAAATTAGAAATTTCCAGCAACAGCGCTGAAAGTTCATAACGAAGATTTGGAACTTTTTGGCTGACGTAAGATTTCAGAATGCTCCAGAAAATCTTCCGCGAAGAAGTCGCCTATCGTCTCGTCCCAGCTGATCCAATCTCGGAGTAGCATTTAAAATCTTGAACTTGCGACTTACCCATCTACCTAGCTGCAATAAAACAACAACTCCCTTTTCAAGAAAAATCAGACCGTTGTTTTCGAACAAGTGACACGTCTAGTTTATGTAAGCGCTCTAGAAAAGACGATCTGTTCTTTTGAATTCGACAAAATCACGCGCCTTTGGCGATCCATCTTACTTAATTAATGTTATCGGGCGTTAATGAATAGCTTAAGGATTTTTTATGTACACGGCCGCGAGCACCACTGCTGGCAAAAAAGCAGACGTTAAAAGGCCCTCTGCGTCGGCTCATTCCAGTCCAGAATTTTACATCGCTCGTAAATTACTTCGACACCAATTGATTAAATATTTTTGTGTTCTGCGGCCGCCACCTCGATTCAAAAAGACACGTAAAGAAGTAGATGAACGAAACGGTGTTCAAGGGAATACTTTTGCCGACGAACAGGTGCCACAGCCCTAAAGCCACTATTTCGCCAGGTAACTAAGCCAGTTCGCCCTTTGTTCGAATTTTTCATTCATCGAAAAAGCCCCGATCTCGGGGCCCCAACTCAAAAGTGATTAACCAAATTTCATTAGGAAGCTCAATTTTCCGCCGACTTCGCGATGAAATGATGGGTGTTGAATCGCAGAATCGAAGGCAAAAGAAGTACGTGGCCTTTGCCCCTGGGACGAAGCCGAACTGACTGTAACTCAATTTACTACCCTTCTGTGTCTACTTGGCCCCAGCCGCGAGAATCCGTCAATAAATTGACAAAATAACCAGTTATGTGATTAGATGAATAAGACGCGTGAATTATTAATTTTGCAGCGCGAAAACAAGGAAAATAGACAAATTGCTTTAAAAAAGCAATTGAGCTTTACTTCTATTACAGTTTTTAAAATTCAACTTTTCTCATTCAACTCAAATCTTAGCCAAAAAAATGGTAAAATCAAAAAAATCGCTACAAATAAGCGGAATTTTTGATTAATGTTTTTGTGAATTGTGATTGGCCCGCCGACCGAATGCGGAGATCTGATTGGCCAAAATTCTGGTGAAAATTTTCGGACCAATTTTTCACTTTCGAGCTGATTTTTGGCGATTTTTTGGAAATTTTTTATCAAAGAAACTAATTTTTGGGATTTTCATCGTCGTTTTTACCATTCTAGTGCTAGAATATCGATTCAAATTTTGAATTGCAAAGTGTTATTTATGTAAATAAGTGCAATTACTTGATCGTTGCAAAAAGAAAGATGTGGCTTGGAAAGCAAAAGCTTGAGTAAACATTGAAAGCAGGTTATTTGATTACATAAATGAGAGTTCATTTATAATGCAGCGCAAACCCGGGCGCTAGAGGCAGAAAATGAAGGCTGAAAGGACGTCGCCAGAATAGTTGTTCGTCCGCGGGATAGTGTGTTCCCGGACAGGTGACGAGTTTAATTTGGCTCCGTCCGAGTAAGCCCAATTTAAAGCTGCCTTCTTAATTGTGCCCAGGAGAGGCTGCCCACTTCTCCAGAAAATAAAGAAAATCAAGTCGACTGAGCAAGAGAAAGCCGCATCGAGAGCATGAATGATCTGCTTGAGTGAGGTAAGAACTGACTTTTCAGCGAGTATTTTTTCAATAAAAGAATATTTTATGAAAATTTCAATTTGATAACAACGAAGAATATAAAGCATTATTTTTGAAGAAGTTAAGGGGGGAGGGGGTCGACGAGAATCGGGATATCCGTGGCCAAAATGCGGGAAAACCTGATTAGATAGGCAAAATCTGATTAAACTTATGGATAGAAAGGGGCTGAAAAAATCAGGCGGCAAAAATTTGAAAAAAATCTGGCTAAAAAAATTGGTCAAAAATCCATTCAAAGTACGGCCATTTTCGCGAAAATACACCAAAAATGATCATTTTTTAAAAAAATTTCTTAATTTCACCCACTAAAACTTATTTTCATCTTATGATTTTAGACTCAATAGATTTGGCGGAATCTGTAGATTCCAAAAATATATAATTCATATTCATCCTGCATGCATAAGCGAAATAACAACCACCCTTGAAAAAATTATCGTCGACCTCCCCTTAAATATAGCTTAATTTTTTAGAAAATTTCCCACATTCCTTTTGATACTGATTTCTGAAAATGGCAATTTCTGTTTGATTGGCTAAGATTTTAAGACTTGACATTGAAAATAAACCTCCCATAAGTATAATCTCTTTACTGAAATGTACCTAGGCTTTATTCCAATGCAGCTGTAAGAAGTACGGGTCGAAATGGAATCGCATTGAAGAAAACGAAAAAATGCAATCAACGAAGATTATTCTCAACAAGCCCGGGCTGGTCATCGTCGGCCAAGGTTAGCCCATTAGTCTTTAATAGCCTCCACATATGTTTTTGAAGGAAATCAGGGGCTTGTCAACACATTCGATATTTATGGTGGTTTGGCAAGGGTTTACTCGCCTGTTCTTTGTAAGCCCAAATGGTCGCCAGGAAATGTTTGAAAAATTTACAAAAATAGAGAGCACCAGAATAGAAATCTATATTTTTCAAACATGAACAGAGATAGCTTGGTATTTTCATGTTCAATTCTACTGTGTATTTTAACCAATTTCAGCCTTTTATTGAGAATCAGTGACGTCCAAGAAGTTCGATTTAACGATATCACGCAAGATTTTATTCTCCAGAAATCCCCCGGCGCGGAGTGGGACAGTTTCAACGATGAAGTTTTACAGATTTTACTCACAGCAGATGCCTCAGGGGAAACTCCTGGAAGCATAGAGGAACTAGAAGTGTGTACGCATTGGACACAAGATGACCTTATTATTTCAGGACGGGCGTCTAGATTTTCCCTACAACTTTATTTCTTTATTGACTCTGATTTGTTTTCATATTTTTCCTCGACCCATCAACCTGTGCAGAAGACCTGAGTCAGGGTGCAGAAAGGACTTCAGTCAAAGTTGACTTTTTGCGGCAGAAGGGGGTCAAAAGTCGGGCAGCCTAACGGTTAGGCCCTAACCCTAAGCCTAACCCAGGAGGCAACACTCCCCGGGACCCCCCCCTAAGGCCTTACCAAGGGGACTTCGGCCCCAGGACCCCCCAATAGGTATCCCCAGTCCCTTAACCCTAACTGAGATAAGGGCTGATAGTCTATCAGTGATAGAGGACAGTCATTTTAGGGCGCCCGGCTGATTACCCCGCTACGCTACGCTTTGCGGCTATTTAGTAGAGCTTTCTCAGGACCCTGACTCAGCCTGAGTCACTCAGGTTTTCTACACTTGTTGCCGAGCCTTAATTTTTCTCGTTCCGCAAATCTGTCAATAGTGACAGTTTGCCGAAGAGCGGTAAAGAACATTAATAATCAAAATCGAACTCTTCTGGATTCCGAAAAAGAACTTATCGAAAGCTCAATCCAACCTGCCTTAGCTGCCGAAAATTCAGCCATTCTATATTTAGGAAGAATCGACAATATTGCCCGCGTCAAGGAGCGGAATTACTAAGCCGGAATCGGTGTGATTCTCATTCTGAGTGATTAAAGTTTCGACAAGTAATAATTCGGAATTATTAATTCCGGAAAAAAGCTGAAAGGATCGATACGAGAAAACGAGCGCGCGTCAGCCGCAGTTCTCAATGCCACGCTGGAGCTGATAACCTTCCATCTACCGAGCGTCAAAAACATAAACATGCTGCAATAAACAATTCCTTGAATAATTTTTATTCCATTTTTAAGACAACTATTTTCGAACGTCGTATCCTTCGTAGTTGTCGAGATCTTTGTGAGCGGATCTAATGTAGTGGACCATTCTTCGGAAGTCTCCATCTTCAAAGATCGGGAAGTGCTCGACGTACTTGGCGAGGATGTTTTTCTGGTGTCCTGGGAGAACACCAGTTTCGCAGGTAAAATCGACAGATGTTTGGAAACTTGTGTCGATAGTGATCGGTCCCTGCAGCGCGGCGTCGGAGGACCTGTCTGCGTACCCTTTGAAATACGACGATTTGGTTGGGTCTTTGGATTTATAAAGTCGTGTTCCTTCGCGACTGTAAAAAGTCCAAAAGTTCCGTCTTGAGAATGCTCTCCTTCGTAGAAATCAGGGAAAGTGACAGCTCCCGACTGTCCGTCTGGCCCGCCAAGAGTCACATTCCATGGGCACCACACAAAAAGAGTGAAGTCCGCAGTTGCCCAGAAATTGGGATCGAGCCACTCAGGATGCTTAGACTCGTCGATGTGGTCAAACTCCCACTCGCCAACTTTCAGCAAATTCTTAACACTCGCTTTCAAAACAACGTAGCCTAAAATACGGATAATGATAATCGCGAAATAATTGAACTTACTTGGATAAACTTTCTTGACAAAGTTAAAGACGCCACCAGCCCAGACAGGCAGCATCGCATCTTCCGTAGAGACGCAAACGAAGTCGGGATTTAGCTGAACAAAAGTGCAAGCTAGAATTCACTTAATTTATGAAAAATAAGGTCGATTACGATTAACTCCGTCGCAAGTGCACTGAAATCCAGAATACAATTTCTTGATGCCAGTAACGTATCCTTTGCTGTCACAGGCGACTCTGATTTTATCTCCCTCTTTGTGATAAATTTCCTAGAGAGCGATAAATCCAGTATTGGATAAATAGTTCTTACCGATCCATATGAAGCATCAAAGTAAGGAACTGAGTCGGATCCGCGTCCAAGGAGGACCTTGAAGAGAACCATTCCCTTGCCAAGGTTTCCGTTGAAAACCAAATCTTCATCGTAAGTGTTGTTTCCAACACACCTGTTAAGAACAGGCGGCTGAGGGTCTTAAAAATTTAAGCTATATTTTGGAAACTGTTCCAGATATAACTTTTGTTCTGTTCTGATATTTTTTCTTTTTACTGATAAGCCAATATCAGTATTTCGGCAAAAAAAATTACCATCGTTTGGCCGAACAACGAACGGATCAGTTGAGGCTTTGCCGACGAGTACAGTATCTTCGCCTTGATTGTAGCAAAGACTGAAAGTGAGGATCACGGCAGAATTGTCGACTGTAGATTTGATATTGTCAAATACAGCACGTCCGTTCAAATAAAGCGCAGTTAGGCCGCCAGTTAACTGTCCAGCTTCAAGTGTAGGAGTTGTCACGCAAACGCGGCACTCGTCTCCCTCTGGGCCGCATGAGGCCATGTACTCGGCGTTGGTATCATAAATCTGGACAGAGATCTCTGGGAATGGCTCTTGAGCATACACAGTTCCGTTGTTGATGTACTCGATTCGGACGGATCCTTAATTTTTCGATAAAACGTATGAACTTTTTAAGCATACCTGGAGGAGCTTCGATTGCTTCGAATTGTTGAGAAGTAACTTCTGGGATGGTGAAATTAGTCTCAGTTCCAGAGTACGTCAAAAAGGCAGTAAGTTGGAATGAACCAGTGTTTGGAAGTCGCAGTCCGCTGAAATCGGCGATACCAGATCCTTGTCAATTTTTATTGCATACTCAGAATAGACCGTTTTAGTTACCTGGGGTAAAAGTAACCTCCGGCGCATCAATGAACATTCCATTTGTCTCATAAATAGAAACTCGGAATGGATCACCAGTGTATCCAACATCTGTCATTTCTTCGCCATTTTCATCGAGCATAACAACCTGAAAAATAACTAAGAGCTAGAATTCCCCGAGAACAGTGTACCTGGAATCCTTCTTTAGGTCTTTGATTAACGACAACTTCTCCTGGCTGCTGCTTGATCATCATTGAGGTTGGGATCTTGTCATAAACCTTTGCCTCGGTAGTACTTGCGATGATGCTTTCTTTGGCAGCTTGTTTTTCGATGGTCGTTTCTGCAATGAGGTCTTGCTGTCCTGTTGCAGTGGCCTTGTTTTCGACGATCTGCTGGACATTATCCGCAGCGAGGGCTTCGTCTTCTGTGATTCCGAGATCATTGAGAATGGTGATTTCTTCACCAAGGGTGCCCTCTTCATACCAGTCGCTTGATTTACCCTGGACGGGCTCGCTGGTCAAAGTAGTAGCGACGACTTCGAGGTCATTTCCTTGAGAAGTGGCAATTGATTTGATGCTGTTTTCGAGATCACCATCCATCTGCTTCTGCACGAGCTTGCTTCCGATTTTTGAGAAGTCAGGAGTGCCAATGGTTCGGCCAAAGACGGTTCCAAGAGGCTTGCCGAATTCAATAGACACACGAACATTAATCGCGTTCTTCAAGTGAGGTTTGTTGACAGTCGTCTTATCCGACGACCACGTGCTTTGTGCTCGCACCCAGTTTTCTCTCTGAACATTGACTACCTTGACCTGGCTTGGGTCAAGTCCAAGAAGAGCAGCAAGAAGGTAAGGAAGATCGGGCGACGAGTAAAACTCTTCGATTGTAAGTTCGGTGACCATATCGAGCTCGAGAATGATGGTGTTTGCAATTTTAACCCGGAGCCTATCTCCGCCGCCGAGAGTAAAGTAAAGAATCTGATCAGCTCTGTCGAAGTAGTTGCTTCCTGACGAGTGCCAGACTTCTGGAATGAAAGCCGGGCTCGGGAACTTCCAATTATGCGTCGCAAAATCGTATTGATTCGAGTAAATCATGTTGTTTCCATTCAAGAAGACATCTTGTCGATTTTGTCGATGGGTAAACATGGCGATTCGAATTTTGCAGCTACTTGGCACGTTGTACATTGCAAACTGAATTTCCGTTGGGGTCGTTCCAGTACAATGGAAGTCGTATGTTTCGCCGCACTCGGCAACAAAGTGGTTGAGTGTTGCTCGAAGAGAACAGGAATAACCAGCGCAGCATGACTTGTCGTGAGGGCCATTGCTGAGATCGATGTAACCCTTAGATGATCGGAAACCAATCGGAGCGACTCTTCGTTCTTCTTGATCCATGTCAAGCGATTCGAAAATCAAATGAGCTCGAGAGCTTCCGACGCACTGGTAGGCAAGAAAGTTTGCGTCCCAAGTACAGCTATCGCCTCGAGAAAGACCTTTATGAGGAGCATAGTCGTCGATGGAGATGACGGTTCCGTCTGTGTTAGTAAGCATACTTTCTGGAACACGGTAGTCGCCGAGACCGTATGAGTCATCAACGTTGTCGGACCAGAAGAAGCCGTCGACGCCGCGCCATTGATACTCGGACTGGGAAATAATCGATGTCTCAGAGCCAGTTCCTGTGAGAGTTCCGTCCATATCCTTGAGAAGTAGTTTTCTCATTCCATCGCAAGTCATATCAACGCAATCAGCAAGATTGACGTTGCTGAGAGAAGGCCGTTTGAATCTTGTGATGTAATTGCTATCGACGTTAACGAGCGTTGTACCAGAGAAGTCGAAAGAGTGAGTGATGTCAAGAGCACCAGGATTAGGGGCAATGACGACATGTTATTTGCAGCGCAGGAGTGTCCAGTTGGAGATGGATATGTTCCTTCTTTCGGAACATGAAGCGGCTTTTCGGAAATTTGGTAAACTTTTCCGTGAAAATCGGCCACATGATACCAGTGTGTCCGTTGTACTCAGAAAGCGGAGCTCTGTTTTGGCCAGTGAGCCCGGAAGTAACAATTGCAGCTTGCTGTCGAATGTTGTAGTCGGCGCATGTATGATGCTGAGATCGTCCAATGAATTGATTGTTGTCGAGAGAATACTTCATGTTTCCATGAGCGCCTTGTGGGCCACCATTGCCGACCATAATATGACCAACACCGATGATAGTATCGATAAATTTATTACCAACGACGTGGACGCTAGAACCACCAGCTTGTGTGTAGACACCGTAATCCAGAATTCGCCAGAACTCGAAGCCTTCGACTCGAAGACAAGCTCGAGATGGTTTTTTGATGATGGAATAACCTCTGAGTGTTGAGTGAGCATAGTTCTTGATATTCATTGGCCATGAGTTTGATGTGCACAAATCAGCCAAACTGCACTCCTCAGCGTGCCCCTTGTATGCAGGTCCGTCTCCACCAGCGACACGGTTGTTCATCAAAGTGCCAGTCATCACTTCGATTGTATTAATTCCAGCAGGGAGGTTCATTTGTTCAGCTTCAGCATTTCCAAGCTGCTGCTGGAGCCACCAGTTTTGGTACAAAAATCGGTTGACGACCATCACAATAACATTTCCGGTGACGATCGAGTAGTCGCCGACAACTCTGATGACATCGGAAACGATGTTGAACATGACATTGTCCGTTACTTGCATATTTGTCACTCCAAGGCCGATGGCGATGCCGCCATTATAACTATTGTACATTGAACAGCCCTTGATGTAGGAAGGATTGTCAGCAGAAGCCTGGCTGCCGAGATGGTAGAAGGCAACTGGAGTGCGAAGATCATCCGGTCGAGTGTGACCGAACTGGCCCATATGACTCATTTCAATATTTTCGAGTTGAGCCCATCCCTTTCTAAACGAGTTTCCATCGTCCGAAGAAAGCACAACGATTCGGCCACCGAACATGTCTTCAGAATCTGTTTTTCCATCGAGCTTGATGTTTCTGGTAAGATGGACGACCTCGGTTTTAAAAGTCTCGCCGGCGTCAGCGCCAGAATGATCGAAAGCGAGAGCTTTGTTCAAAGCAACGGTATTTCCAGAAACTGCAACAACTTCCAGCTCATCATATTGTCGTCCATCGTAAGATGAAGCGGCGATGACGATCTTGTCACCAGCCTTCCAATCAGCGCTGACATCGTCGGTCAAAGTGATGGAGGTGGCTCCAGCAGAAACTGAGTTCTGCAAGAACGAGTAAGGCGTGTTCTGTGGACAGCCAACCAAACTCAATCCTCCCATAGCTCCAATCGTTTTAGCGCCGATTGGTACGGTTCCAGCCGGGGCACCGAACTCTTCTTGGAATCGGTCGCCCTTGAAGTTGATAGAAAGAGTACTGTCGCAATTGAAAGGCGCGTCGGGAGTTCCAGCGTAAAGATTTCCATTTTGGAAATAAACTGATCGAGTCCAGAGCTGTTCGTGACCGCCTGCGCCGGTGTTGATCAGAATATCGCGAACGTTGATGGTTATATCTTGAGCGTCAGAGATTGTGAGCGTTCCCTCCAGGAAGAGAATATCGACGTCGAGATTGGTATTTAGCGTAACGTGCTTGTCAACTGGAATTGTGACATTAGAGCCAGAGATTGGGACGACTCCATCTTCCCAACAAGCAACATCTTCCCAATCACATTCGATCAGGTCAGTTGGAGGCGTTGTTGGTGGTGGAGTAGTTGGTGGAGTGCAATCTGGCCAGAAACACTTGAACACTTCGAAGTTGTAGTTGACATCGTAGTAGCTGTTGATTGCATCAGACTTCGCAAACATGATGGAGAAGTCAGATGTCTGAGGATCAATGTGATAAGTGAGAGGGTCCATCGAAGTGTCGAGAGCGCCAACTTCTTGACCATTGAAGCTTTGCCCTTGAGAATCAGCATATCCTCGAATTTTGCTTCCTGCAACGATGGCATCATCGACCTCCTGATAGAATGGATGTCGAATAGTTGTGTGCTTGTGCTGTCCCATGTCATAGACTGTTCCTCTGTAGGTGATATTCGTGATGTGTTCATGCTTCTGCCAACTCATATCATGTGTCTCGCCAGCAAGGAGAAGACCCATCCATCCAACAGCATGAGTAGATCGCTTGTTTCTGAATGGGACGACACTAGATCCATATCTGTTGACGACGTCCATGTTGAATCCGATGATCGAATCAGGCGCAATATTATTCATTCCATATCTCATGAATTCAACACCTTGGCAGAACGAGCAAGGAAACTCAACAGAGAACTCTGGAGCGGGCTCGCACATTGAGTCAGGGTAGAGGCCAGATGTCGGGACAACCGACCAGCCGGCCATTCCTTTACCGGTGAGAGTTCCGTCGCGATCGACCAAAACAGTTTCGTGCTCCCAATCAGCGGCGAATTTTCTCGGCGAATTAAAGTATTCAACTCGCTCGAAATGACTTGTTCGGCCGCAATCGAATGGATAGGAGGAGTAACAAGCATCGATTGCGACGCAGTTGTGACCTTCGCCTTCGTCGAAATTGTGGAACTTGATTCCTTCAATAGACATATGTCCCGCTGGTTTCCACGGAGTCTCAATACCAAATCGAGTGCAAAGTGAAAGCTCAGGCACATTTTTGTCAATGTATCCAATGACAGTGGAGTCCCTGATTCCCATTCCATACTGATTGTATTCACCCTCGTATCTGCCAGAAGAACTTTCTTTAACGGAAAGACCACCCAAAATGTTATTCGCAGCAATGAATCCCTTCATCCAGATATTATCGCCAACCAGGGCAAACTCAGCTCCTCGAAGGCAATTCCAGAAGATTCCTCGTTCGAAGATAGCCTCTCCTGGTGGCCAGGTGGACTGACAATCGACTGTACTTGGTCTGTAAGAAGAGCCTTCCTGGAGAGTCATCACCCAGAATCCGTAGAGACCCATGTCGTGAGCAGTGTTATTGTACCATTTCTTAACAGATCGGTAAACAGGGCACTTGGTTGTCTGATAATGAGGCTGATGTCCTCGGTGTGGGAATGCTCTCTCGAAGGGATTGACCCAGTATCCCATTTGGACACCTCCGGCAGCTCGGTTGTGCTGAATTGTATTGAATGTGTTTGTAATCCAGAAAGCAGTTGCTTTTTGATCGGAATTCAAAAGAGAGTTTGATGGCTTCGTTTTGATGGCCAAGTTGTACTGGATAATATTGTCTTCTTCGCAGCCATCTTCGATGAAGAAATTGTGTCCCATAGCGTTGTAGCCGACATTCCATTCGACAAGAGCCTGGTGGATGCCATGAGTGGTCAGAACTCGGTTAAAAGTGTTGTAGACTGCGTTTCCGCGGAAGTAGGAGTTCGGCTGGATACCCGATCGATGGAAATGGAAAGAGTAGCGGGCGAACTGGAACGCTTGCCCGACATGGAACGCTTCAATGTGAGCAATCTTGCCAAACTCGATGTTGTGCATCAAGAAGTGAGCGCCAAACTCGTCTGAACCGACTTCATCGCCCCACTTGTTCTGATAACAGCTCTGGATAGCTCCTTCTTGTGGTTCATATTCTTCGTCGCAAGGGGGAAGTTCTTTTGTCCACTCGTCGTTGACGTTTCCATAGAATTTAATGTTTCTTGTTAAAAGGGCGACTTCTGCAGCAACTTCGAGTATTTCTCCGTCCCATTCGGAGTAGTGGTAAATATGACGATAAGTGAGTGGCTCAGTCAAGAAGATAGTTCTACCGTCTTCAGAAATAGAGTCAATGTATCTTTCTTCGCTTTGAGCAAGACTCAATCGACCACCAGTTGTCGCGATAACAATCTTATCTCCGGCTTTCCATGATTTCATTGGAGAATCAGGGTTCGTTACCGGGTTTCGAACGTAAATCGAGCTATCACCAGCTTCTGCGGTCATGTTTAGCTGTGTCCACGTGGTGTCGATGGGGCAGCCGTGCATGTTGATTGTACCTTCTCGCGTGATAAAGCATTTTGCACCATAGATAGGCAGACGGATGCTGCGATGATGGCCATACATTTCGATTTCCGCGCTTATAGGTTCCTCAGGTGTTCCACAGAATGGATCGTGCTCGTTTCCGATTTCAAAATGACCACCATCAGTGATGAGAACATATTCTGCTCTGAGTTTGATTCCGTCTGTTCGATCCCAAACAAGCGTTCCTCCTTGAATCAGCAGAACCTTCAAAAGCGGAGTCGATTCGTCGAGAAGAACGGTCTGGTTCCAGGGAATCACCGCGATATCGCCGTCAACAGGCTTGCCCGTGCAGTTGGTAAGCTCAGTACAACCCCAGGTGAAGATGGAGCTCCATCGATCAACATACCAAAACTTGGCTGCGTCGGGATGATTGAAAACTGCGTTTCCATCTGGAACAGTGACCTTGACAAGATGAGCAGTTGAGTATTCATGCGCATTTGTCTCGCAGACAATAACCGCCACACTGATGAAGTCGATGTCGCAAGGGACATCATCGATAGTTACAGTCGTTTCTCCTGGAATGAACTTATTGCCAACAATAGTGATCTTCGTGCCACCAAGAGTTCCTCCCTTATTCGGCTGAATGCTGTTGATGTACGCAGTAGTGGAGTTTTCGTAAGTGTAAACCCAATCGTTTCGCTGCGGTGGATCGTAGTGGTAGAAATCGAAAACGCAGACCGTGGTGTTTTCCCACTTCCAGTCGGGAATCGTTGGCGTTTGACAAATAGCCTCGGTATTATCTGCGCTAATCTGACAATTGATAAGTTCTTCGCCGCAGAGAGTTCCAATCTTATCGTCGTCGTAGAAGCCGCTGCCGGTGATTGTTATGGAGGTTCCTCCACCATATGAACCAGCAACTGGGGTGACGGAGTCGACCCAATAGCCCATCTCGAACCAGTATTCTTGGTGGACAGCGTAACCGACGCCAGGGAAATTGATGTATAGATTGTACTCTCCGGTTGCTTGCCCAGGAACAGCACAAGTGAGTTGGAGAGCAGAAGGATCGCAATTGGTAATCGGACAATCTCGATCACCAATAGCGATGGTGATGCCGTCACAGGGTGGATTATCGTGGAACATGTCGATTCCAAAAGTGACTTCTTCATTAGCGATGTATCGGTAGTTCCAAAGTGGGTGGATAGACAACGTCTGATCAGTGATAATTCTAGTTTTCATAATATCGTACTCGTAGTCACAAACACCTGGGGCGCAAGTTATTCGCGGATCGACCTGGCCGAGCTGGTTGTAGAAGGTTATGTATGCCTTGTTGGTGAAGCCAGGTAGCCCGTTTGGCCATTTCCAAGCATCGGGTGTGATTAGCTGAAGTTTTGTGGAGCCAACAGGAACAAGTTTGCATGCGTCTGGATCTTCAATGACACCGCAAATATCTCCCCATCCATTGGTTCCCTGGAACTGGAAGGTGACCTTCGTCATAGTTGGAATTTGACCAAGATTATCGTTTGTGGTGAACTCGAGGACGTGACCACCACCCATAGAACCCTTTTTGATCACATTATCGAATGATTTAATCTCAAGTCCGAGGAAAAATTGTCCAACGTGGATGTATCCGTAATTGTTGAGGTATAGTCGCACATCGTAGTCATCTAGGGTTGGTGACGGAAGATCCATTGAAAAGTGACAATTTGAGCCATCGCAGGAGTGAGTGACGTCCATATCGAACCAATCTTCGCCAGGATTAGACGCGTTCCAGAATCGGCACTCTCCAGCGACGACACTTGGCTCTCCGACGAGTGGAAGATCGAAATCCACCGTAAAGGCGCCTTGAACTTCTGGAGGGCCGACAACGTTGGTCATTTCATTTGTTGGTTCAACTCCAGTGTATCGTTTTCCGCTAAATGTCATCGTGAAACCTTCGTCGCCGGTATTAGCGCAAAGAGTGATGGCATTCGCGTCGTATTCCTCAAAATCTGTTTCGCAGTAATACACCTTGATGGTAAGTGGAAGTCCGACAAATTGACTCGGTGCAAGTCTGCATCGAATCTCTGTTCCACTCACGGAAATGACTTCTTCGCAAACATTGACAGCCATTTTCCAAGTTGGATATTTGTCATAAGCAAAGTTTTCTCCCGAAATTGTGAGAATACCACCGCCATGTCTTGAACCCTCAAGTGGGTAGATTCCAGAGCAGGTTGGTTGGAAGGTCTTCTGAAGACCCGTGATTGTCTCGTCGATTTGAGTCAAGCCACGACCGAACTGATTGACCTGCACGTACACTTTTTCATTCACTGGCCAGTTGTCTGTGGTCTCCCCAAGTGAGCCCATGATTGTTCCGTCAGTGCCGACGGATGTGACCGTAAACGGGATTTTAGCTTCAGGGTTATTCTTCGTAATAGCGTACATTTCGTATTGATCAATACACGCGTTGTTATCAGCGAGGCCAGATGCAGTGACCATTACTGTACTTCCGAACCAGGAACCGCCAGTGGCGATCGGAGTTCGTGAGTATGAAAAAGTATGCTTCAAGCAACCGGTGCAGTTTGCTGGTACGAAATTCTCGACGATTTGAGATGAGATGTCAGCGTCAATTGGCGCGCAGTTCTTGGAAGGCTTCTTTTTCTTCCATCTTCGGACTTGATCCTTGAGCGCAACAAAGCCATTGACGTGAACGACAACTTGCTGTTCATTATCAACAGGCGCTTCGATTTGAATAGTTCCGACGGGGGTGGATGTTCCAAGGTTGTCGATCGCACCAGTTGTGTAGGTATAGAAACCTGGAGCTTCGTCGAAGACTCGAGAAACTTCGCCGACTGCAGCGCTCTGAGCAGGGTATGAGAATTCGCCAGCTGGGACGGACTCAAGGTTGACATTGATGGAGGTTCCGAGCTGCCATTGCCAGACGATCTTGTCATTCTGATTGATGACGAAATGAGCAGGAGCCCAATTTGTACCAACGAAGGTTGCTACATGCGTCTTGTACTGTGAGTGGGTTAGGCAGGTGATTTTCTTGTCGGTTTGAGTGAGAATATCGCAGTTGGTACCGCCGATTGTGACTTGAGTCAGTTCTTGATTAGTTCCGAAGCCATCTCCGTTGATCGTGATCACTGCTCCACCAGCCATTGAGGACGCAGCCGGGACAACTGTGTTGACGCTAAGAAGAGTATCAATGCTGTACCAGTTGGTGAATCCGAAATCGCCAACAAGTGCTCGGAAATTATAACTTCCAGGCTCCATCGCTGGAATAAACAACTCGTAAGTATTTCCGGTAACTTGAGCAGTATGGAATGGAGTCGTTTCGATGTAAAAAGTGACAGTGTCGTCGGCTAGCGTTCGCGTGAATGTGATAGTAACTGTGTCTCCAGTGACACTGAGGCTAGATACGCTCATGTCAATATCGTCACCAGCAGCATCATACACGTATGTAGTGAGAGAGCCATCGTCACCGTCGACCGTGATGTCGACTTCGCCGTTTCGGGTAGCAGGTTGCTCAGGTGATCGGACAACGACGTCATCGATCGTTCGATCAACCTCCTCAGCAGCGATCCCTCCGAAGTTGATAACTCTCTTGGCGAGTCCGAAACCACCGCCGCTGATGGTGACGAGTGTACCACCGTTGACGTTTCGACCGTTTGCTCCAACGGAAACAGAGACTCCAAGTGATGAAGAGACTGTGACCTCCAATCCTGGAGTAAAGTCAGCAAAGCCAGAATCGGTCACAACGTAGACAGGACTAGTTCCCCAGGGCAATTTTGTGAAGGAAACAGTGACACTGGAGGACGTTGCTGAAGTGATAGTACAGAAATCTGTCTCGGCAGTGCAAGACGTTTCGCCAAACATGACAATTGCTGTGCTGTCAAGTCCGCTTCCAGAGATTGTGAGAGACTGAGATTGACCGTTTAGCGTAATTGAAGTTGTGCTAATTGAAGTGGCAGTATCTGCAGTAACAAAAGTAAAGTCGCAGTTTTCACAAGATGCCGCGATATTTTTCACAAAAAGTTGAACTTGAGGAGTATCAAGCGCCTTTGTCAATGCTGTTCCTGGCATTTTGGCTACAACGACACCACCATGTCGAGTGCCGGAGGTCTCGCTGGCTTCAGGAGACATATCGTTGCTGGTGGCAGTGATTTCTGGGAAGTCTCCGACCTTTTGGAAGAGAACTCGGAAGAAAAATCCGTTTGAACATGAGCGCTCAAAATGATCGATTGTTGCGGTGTAAAGATCGAGATGAGCTGTATTGAGAATTGTCAAGAGATCCGCTTCGAGAATCGTTTCGGAGTCGATGACTTCGGACGACCAAGTTTTGTAATGAAGCTGGAAACTTCCAGAAACGCCGGGAATGATCATTTGGTGTTCCCAAGTGTCGATAACGAGTGTTTGCCCATCGGCATTGATTGTGCTTCTGAAACCAGTTGTCGAGTCTCCAAAAGCATTCGTGAACTGTCTGCTTTCGGAGACAACGTTTGCATGGACAACTTCAATTGCGGAAAGCGTGTTCTCGCAACCTGGACCTTTGAAAGTAACCGTGATTCTGGCATTGCCATGAGATGCAGACACATCAACGGAATCAATGTCAGCGCCAGCGTTGAAGCCGTCTGCAAACCACGAGTTGAGAAGGGAAGCACCATTCGATGCAAGATCGCTGAATGTAAGCAACTCAGTCTGGCGAGTTGACCCTCCGCCGCGAAGTCGAAGTCGGAATTCGACGCTGCTCGAGACAGATCCAGTTTCAAGAAGAATCACGTGTTTTGTCTTTTCAGCGCTGCTCGAGAAAACCTTTACTTGTTGTCGCTCAAGTTGAGTTTCCAACTCGTGTCCAGTTGGTTGAATGGTCTTGTATGGTGGGATCAGAGAGTCGAGTGTTTGTTCGCTTCCATCGCCGTGGAAAACATAACCATAAGCTTTGGATTGACTTGCTTCAAATCCATACTGAAGGTCGGCATCCAGGAAGACTTTTGAGCTTCCTGAGCTCACATAGTTTCCATCTTGATTCAGGTCGTAGTTAAGTCCATTGTTCAAAACGTAGTGACCGGAAACTGGGACTCGGAAAAATCCTTTCATGTCGCCACTTTCCGATTTCAATTCGTACTGCGTTTTCTCTGTTCCATCGCCAAAATAGTCGATGGCGCCAAGACCGCCAGGGAAAATGGTTTGTCCACTCGTGTCGATTTCTTGTCTTTCAACTTGGCAGATGATTTCAGAAGCAGACGAGCTCACGATGTTGCAGGGAACATTTCCAGCAAGGACGATTTTTGTTTGTTGATGGTTATTTGCGAGATTTCGACCAGTAATTGTGATGAATGTTCCGCCGAATCGAGAACCTTCGGCTGGGGTGATCGAGTCAATTCTTGGTGCCAGACCGAAATTAGCTGTTGTTCCGTCTTCCGTCATGTAGAGAGAATCTTGTTCAGCGACACCTCGACCCGCTTTCAAATGAATGGGCGAGATAGTGAAGTCTCCGATCGCTCGGGCATCAACTCGGCAAGTCGCAGCACCGTTCCATCTATCCTTTGCATAGACGGAGTAGAGATGATGGAGCTCATCAGAGTCTGTGTATCCAAGTCCACAAGATGCGACGATGCCAGGAGTAGGGAAGTCAGTTTCGATTTCGATCGCCATTAAGTGATTCTCTCGCTCATCGACGTCGAAGGCCGAGTAGTCCTTGTTGTCGCGGTCGCCATCAAGATTGATGAAGAAGGAGTTCTCGTCGCAGAGGAATCTGAACTCAAATCCATCGCAGCCGTCTTCGGGGCAAATGATCTTCGAGGCCTGCGAACCTTCAAAAAAGTCTTCAAAATCTTCTTCACTCAAAACAGTGCCGTCAAGATGTCGGGCCTGGAAGGCGATCGGAGCGCGGCAGCCAAAATTATGGGCGTAAAATGTGTCCATGAAGATCAGCTCCTGTCCATCGACGGTTCCGGTGACTGATGTCCACTCAGTCCACTCTGGTGCCGGACCCGGATAAGCAACGTTGCCATGGAGAACTTCAAAGCCCACTGTGTTTCCTGAATCTGGACTTCTGGTCTGGACGATACAATCACCGCAGTTAGCAATCAGCTTTTCGCCGTTGAGGTAAACCAAAGTAGCCCACTGCGCTTCTCTTCCAAAAGGCTCCGCTTGACAAGCGATTTCTCCGGGGTTGTACCAGTGAGTGATCAAGGGACATGGAATGTACGTCAGCCCGTTGGCGAAAAAGACATGGATATCACTGTTGTCGCTTCTTCCCTCTTCACCGAAGGACTCGAGAGACTCTCCGAAATTGACACCGGCAATCGTAAAGACAGTTCCACCTCGATAGGACGCCTCAGCTGGGCCAACTTCAGTGATAATTGGCGCGGCTTCTGGGGCGAATCGCTTGACACCTTGCTCAAAGTTCGGTGTTCGAGTTGGTGCTCCGTCCACAGAAACGAGGCAGTTTCGCGGTTTATCACAAACTAGCTCTGTAAGTCCATCATCAGTTCGGGAGAAAAGAGTAAATCGGTACTCGTCAATGTGCTTTCGAAGAGCAAGAGAGCATTTGATAGAGTCATCGGTGGATTCTTTGATGACGCAATTGAACGTTTTACCGCCCGCTCTGGAATTATCATTTAAAAATAAATCTTTGGCATTTACACTCACTTGGCCTGTACACTTGTAGGATTGTGCTCTCTGAAATCACCTCCGATCAAGATGGACGCGGTATTGTCTACAACCAGCTGGTTCTTGGCAAATTTTATTAGTCTCTCTTTGCCATAGACTCCCAGAAGGAGCAGGCTTGAGAGAATTAACATCTTTCTCAGACGCTAATTTTCCCAACTGAGATCCCTTCTTCTTGAGGATTCTTCGCTCCAAACGAGCAGTCGGAGATGCGATTTATGATTGACATCGTCGTTGCATGTTTTGATCTTGTCGCGAATCTCGATTTCAGAGTTTACATGATTTACGTGTTGACATTTTGTTATAGAAAATGCTAGCATAATTGCAATAACAAAGTAACAGTTTATTATTGACAAATGACAAGAATTAATGGCAGAAAAATTGTATTTTCAGGCTATGAATGGGCTATAAAATAAATAAAAGCCTATGAGAGGAAAAAGAGAGCAGCAAGAATCGATGGGATAAAAATGGTGAAGACGTTCATCTGTCCAGTAGAAGAGGCAGTTTTGGTGTTTTCTTGAACCCTAGCTTCGGCCTCTGCAGGAGCTACAGTTGTTGATTGAGGGCCAGAGCAGGCAGTACCAAATGCAAACGGATTGCCTCTGAGATGCAAATCGATCGCGCAGATATCATCCGAAATATCCTTTGCCCACAGTTTTGTCTCCGAGTCGTGCAGAGCCCACTTTTTCGTTTTCGGATAAAAGAGCAGTCGCGATCCGCCAGAGTTGACGTATTTGAAGACACCGTCGTTTCTCGTGCCTTTGTATGCGAATCGCTTTCCGCCATGGATTTTATTTTCGCCAGTTGGTTCCAAATTGATTTCGTCAGGAAAAGGATATCGGGAATCGCCATCGATCTAGTGATATTATTTTTTTTTGAGGAAAACAAGAAAAAACTCACAAAATCAACGATGGGGTCATAAATTTGCTCGTCGTAGTCGTAGATAGGGACGTCATTAGTGTTGTAGTACTTGAAGTAATTGAACAGTGTGTTTTCTTTCTCAGGGGATTCTCACCTCTTGATAATCTTCATCATCGTAATCGCCATCGTCGACGAAGCTATAGTCAGAAATTTCGACATCCTAGGTCAACTTCAATGAAGCTAACGACGCAAAACTTACATTTTCATATTCTTCGTAAGTATCGTCATATTCGTCATCTTCAATGTCGTCGATCATAAAATCTTCCTCGAAATCGACAACATCATTGTACGCCTCATCTAATTTTGCTGAAAACTTATAAAAAAAACCTTCGCTACCTATTTCGTATTCTCGATCATCTTGAGCCTTTATCGCAATCAAAAACAGGGCGAAAATTGCGAAAAACTTCATTTCTTAAAAAATTCAAAATCAAAATAAAAAATATTTTAATATGTGAAAAGAATCTAGAGAAGATTAAACCTTACGACGACAAGTGTGCCATATTATGGCACTAGTACTTTCAATGTCTATTAAACTCCGCCCCTGTAGAGTAGAAGAATCTCGGGGTGAGTAGCAGAGCAGAATATTGTGTTTTTTCTCGTGTAAAATACGACTAATTTTGAGTTAAGAGAAGGAGGTTGAGCTGTTTGCTTATCAGTGTAGGCGCGCGGCTCCGAAACGAATAGAATGCTTTCTGAAAGTGCTGACTGTCAGCTGACATGCAACGATCAGAAGCAACCACAAGAGAGGAAATTCGGACTTTCAGGAGGAAAATCATCATGTGACAAGGCTCCATCTTATCAATACAACAATCGAGCAAGACAAAGTGCGTTGCATCTTGAACTAATAAAGAGACTTTGAAATCAAGGAAGAGTACACGCAAAATTTTATTCTTTGAACTCTGAAAATGGATCAGTTGAAGAGAATTACATATGACTGCTGCTTTCGAAAGTGGGATGAACTTGCAGCTCGTGGGCTCGCATCGACGCTTGGTCCGAAAACGTCAAATTACACAGCTCGCAGCGCCACTGATGCAGTCGCATGTGGCTGTTTAGATTTCCTAGAAAAAATGGACTGAGGGAATTTTCGAAAATGTTTTTTGTTACCTGATTTGGTGAAGCGCTGGCCGCAGATTTGACATTCGAAGGGCTTTTCTCCTGAAAAAAATATTTACGAAATTGAAGAATTCTAGACTTTTCTCGGAAGCTGTGTAGAAAACCTGAGTCAGGGACCTCAGAGAGCTTTGAAAGAATATTGATGCTGAATAAGTGGCTGCATTTCTTGAAGAGCAGCGGCTTTCATCAAAAATTTTTCAGAACCCTGACTCAGGTTTTCCAAACAGGTCCCCAATCCTAGAATTTATCGATCTCCTACCAGTATGAGTTCTTTCATGCTGTTTGAGATGTCCCTTCTGTCTAAATCTTTTCCGACACACTCCGCATTCGTGAGGAAGCTCTCCAGTGTGCGTCAGCAAATGGGTCTGAAAACTTTATTAGAAAATGCTCGTTTTAATGGACTTTTTACCTTTAGATGTTGTTTCTGGCTGAAACCCTTGTGGCAGTGCTCGCAGACGAACGGGCGTTCTCCAGTGTGTATTCTTTTGTGCGACTGTAAGTTCGTCGTGTCGGCGAATTTCGCCCCACATTGATCGCAAACAAATGGGCGTTCGCCAGTGTGAGTTCGTTCGTGCCGCGTTTTTTGACCCTTCAGTCGGAATCTAGGACAACAGTTACAAAACAGATTCTCCTCGCACATATATTTGGCTTTTGATAAGTACTTGTTGGCTTATAAATTCGCGAAGTGCCGACTAAAATCAACTGGCTTTGGGCACAGATCTTTTTGACTATCAGTGAAGCGGAACGCGCTTCTCACCTCTCCCCTGAGGCTTTGCTGTTGCCGCATCCTGCCATAGCACGCGTCTTTCGCATTGATAACGAGACGCTGAGCACAAGGGCGTCGAGGACATGGTGCAGATTACTTATTTCCGTTTCTCATTCAATTGCTCAACAAAACTTCGCCCAGAATTTACTTTGACAGCTCCGAGCAGCTTTGATGAAAAAGGAACTTACTTTTTGGGACAGTAGCTGCACTGGTACGGCATTTCTCCAGTATGAATCCGCTTGTGAGCCTTGAGAGAGCCCGATTGGCTGAAGCTTCTTCCGCAGGTGTCACAGCTGTACGGTTTTTCGCCAGTATGAGTCCGGTAATGTAGGAGCAAATTGGTGCGTCGGGCGAATTCGCGGCCACAGATCTGGCACTTCAGTTCATTTTGAGGCTGAAGGGAGCTAAAAGTTTCGAGTTTACTAACGGGGAATTATCGATTTTTGTATGTGTATATAAAGTACACTCTTCTTGGCTTTAACTTTACCTATATAGTCCGCCGGGATTAATTGCTGGATCCGGGACGACGTCAGAGGCGTAGGGCGGCATCGTCATTGGAAACGATGGCTGGGGAAAGAAGGGAGGAAACGGCAAAGATGGGTTGAAGAATGGGTTGCCAACTGAATGAAGCGTTGAACTAGGCGAGGAAAAGATGGGAAAAGTGAACGGCGATGGTACAGCTTCACTTTATTTCAAACTTACCTCCTCCGGGGAAGGGAATTTGAGGCATACTGACGGACGGATGTGGCGGGAAAGCAGGCGTTGGTAGCACTGGATTAACTCCCGAATCCTGAAACATGGAGAGAGGATGATGCTGGAGAGGATTAGTCGACAGAGAGCTAGACGGAAGCGAGGGAATATTCGACAGAGAACTGTAAGGCGGCTCTGAGCTTATTTGCGGGCCCACTGGCTTTGGAGAGGATATCCTGAGACAAGAAAAGGAAATCAGCAAAAATTAGCAGGCTGGTTACTTGTGAGGCAAAATGTTAACCTCTTCAAATCTACGAGCGCATAGACCTTGTCTTCCTGCGCCCTGGGTGCCGCCAGCCGCTTTAACGCGCAATCTCCAATTTCAGCTTTTTTATTTTTTTTATCGAGAAGCATTTTTTTATTTTTACGAAAAAGAAGTAAAACCTTTGGATATCCATGCCTGAGTGATTCCAGTTGTTAGTCCAGTGTGCGTGCCGATTCGCGGGAGGGTTGGATTGAGCCCTTCTTCAGAGAGGATTCCTTGAGGATCGTCGGCTTCTGGGGTCGTGTCTTGGCTGTGTTCGCCAGCATCGGCGTCGGCAGCTTCCGCGGAGGGGTGAGTTCTTGAGGAGCTGGGTCCAGGCTGCTGCTGGTCAGCGCTAGACATCGCCCGGAAGGATTGCGGCTAGTGAATGGGCTCAGGAATATTAGCTTGGGATTATCTAGTTTTCTGCCATGTCTTCTGCTGGGTAATGTTAACGGTTGCGCAGGTTTAGAACGTGTCTCTTATTTTCGGAATAAAAAGGTAAGTGTTAAAACGAAGAAAATGGATATAGCGACATACAAAGACATATGAGGCCGAAGAAGACTGCGCCGCCTAGCGGGACCGGTCCGGCGGTCCTAAAACGCGCTCGCGCGGCAAGTGGCCCACCGACTGTAAGCTGCTGCAATACACAAAACGCTAACTGGGCTCAGACACAAGCCGGAAATCCAACTTTCGCATGAGGGCCTGCTTGCTTTACTAGCACTGAGTTAATTAACCCGTTGTTATCCTTCATGGAAGATTTGCTTTCTCGACAGTGGGAAAAAATAGCCGCGAAAAAGGGTGCCCCCAGCAGCGGAAATGTTTTTGTTGGAACCCTAGATCGTGTCTTCTATGGTTATATAAAACGCGGCCTGATGATTATTTATTCAATGAGTGAAACCGATCAGATTTTTAGAAAAGAAAAAGGGCATTTCAAGCTTTTACGACTTTATTATACGAGTATTATAATCCTTCGAGAAATCAACTTATTTAACTTTTATAATAAAAATATCCACCGAAGTTTTTGGGAATTAATTGATTTACAAAAATACAATGATTGCCCACTTTGATCGCCGTCAGCAGTGCGTATGATGAGTGCGGAAATAGGTCAGCGGCGGCCAAAAAGTCAGAGAGAAGGATAGCTTTCGAGTGAGATAGTGTTTATTCGATGCCAATAAAAATCGACCGTCATAACGATTGAGCTGCGCGATCACTGTTGTGCGTTCCCAATACACAAAATTTTGCACCCAGACGAGGTACCTCAATAGAAACTCCAATTGAGCAAGTTTTATCAACTCGGGGATCTTGGTGATGGTCAGAATAGAGGTCTTTTCTGTCTGTTTTCTAGTCGGATTTTTTGGTTTCCCTGAATCAGAATTGGATAAAGAGAATTTATCAAACTCGATCTTGAATAAAAATTTTTGGGAAGCCGCGCAGCGGCTTCATTTCAAGAAAAGCCGCGTAGCGGCTTTTTATTTGGACACCTTCACAGCCGTGACTCAGGCAGGGTTTGAAATCTGACAAGCTCACGAGCACGTGAGCACGTGAGTGAGCTCAATGAGCATGCTCACGCGTGCTCATGCTCACAAAATTCTGGGCCCCTCGTGCTCACGCGTGCTCATGCTCACCGATTATTGAGAACAGTCGTGCTCACGCGAGCTCATGCTCATGGATCTCTGGAAGGGAAAATTCTGTGCTCATGAGCACGTGAGCATGTGCTCATAGCTCACATTTAGACGGGCTCACAGTCGTTCTATAGGCGGTTCTATAGGCGGTTATAAGTCAAACTTGGGGTTGCGCGGGTGGGATTTTTTGGGCCGTCTCAGCCCCGTTCCTTGATTTATTAATTTAAGGGGCTTGACGGCCCTTCGGGCCGTCTCAGCCCCGTTCCTTGATTTCTTAATCTAAGGGGCTTGACGGCCCTTCGGGCCGTCTCAGCCCCGTTCCTTGATTTATTAATTTAAGGGCTTGACGGCCCTTCGGGCCGTCTCAGCCCCGTTCCTTGATTTCTTAATTTAAGGGCTTGACGGCCCTTCGGGCCGTCTCAGCCCCGTTCCTTGATTTCTTAATTTAAGGGGCTTGACGGCCCTTCGGGCCGTCTCAGCCCCGTTCCTTGATTTCTTAATTTAAGGGGCTTGACGGCCCTTCGGGCCGTCTCAGCCCCGTTCCTTGATTTCTTAATTTAAGGGGCTTGACGGCCCTTCGGGCCGTCTCAGCCCCGTTCCTTGATTTCTTAATTTAAGGGCTTGACGGCCCTTCGGGCCGTCTCAGCCCCGTTCCTTGATTTCTTAATTTAAGGGCTTGACGGCCCTTCGGGCCGTCTCAGCCCCGTTCCTTGATTTCTTAATTTAAGGGCTTGACGGCCCTTCGGGCCGTCTCAGCCCCGTTCCTTGATTTCTTAATTTAAGGGCTTGACGGCCCTTCGGGCCGTCTCAGCCCCGTTCCTTGATTTCTTAATTTAAGGGGCTTGACGGCCCTTCGGGCCGTCTCAGCCCCGTTCCTTGATTTCTTAATTTAAGGGGCTTGACGGCCCTTCGGGCCGTCTCAGCCCCGTTCCTTGATTTCTTAATTTAAGGGCTTGACGGCCCTTCGGGCCGTCTCAGCCCCGTTCCTTGATTTCTTAATTTAAGGGCTTGACGGCCCTTCGGGCCGTCTCAGCCCCGTTCCTTGATTTCTTAATTTAAGGGCTTGACGGCCCTTCGGGCCGTCTCAGCCCCGTTCCTTGATTTCTTAATTTAAGGGGCTTGACGGCCCTTCGGGCCGTCTCAGCCCCGTTCCTTGATTTCTTAATTTAAGGGCTTGACGGCCCTTCGGGCCGTCTCAGCCCCGTTCCTTGATTTCTTAATTTAAGGGGCTTGACGGCCCTTCGGGCCGTCTCAGCCCCGTTCCTTGATTTCTTAATTTAAGGGGCTTGACGGCCCTTCGGGCCGTCTCAGCCCCGTTCCTTGATTTCTTAATTTAAGGGCTTGACGGCCCTTCGGGCCGTCTCAGCCCCGTTCCTTGATTTCTTAATTTAAGGGCTTGACGGCCCTTCGGGCCGTCTCAGCCCCGTTCCTTGATTTCTTAATTTAAGGGCTTGACGGCCCTTCGGGCCGTCTCAGCCCCGTTCCTTGATTTCTTAATTTAAGGGGCTTGACGGCCCTTCGGGCCGTCTCAGCCCCGTTCCTTGATTTCTTAATTTAAGGGCTTGACGGCCCTTCGGGCCGTCTCAGCCCCGTTCCTTGATTTCTTAATTTAAGGGGCTTGACGGCCCTTCGGGCCGTCTCAGCCCCGTTCCTTGATTTCTTAATTTAAGGGGCTTGACGGCCCTTCGGGCCGTCTCAGCCCCGTTCCTTGATTTCTTAATTTAAGGGGCTTGACATTGGCTAGGACCTTTGAGGTGATCAATCTCAGTAATGTCCCCAACCCCACCCTCACCCATTGTTGTTAAAATTTAAATTATCCAAGATTTTAACTTTATTATGGTTTTTATTTTAAATTTTGAAAATACTCTACGTACACTTGCAGCTCATAAGCAAGTGAGCATGAGCTGCTCATGAGCAGGTGAGCATGAGCTGTTCATGAGCACGTGAGTGAGCTCAGTGAGCATGCTCACGCGTGCTCATGCTCACGAAAATTTGAGCACCCCCGTGCTCACGCGTGCTCATGCTCACGAAAATTTGAGCGTTCCGTGCTCACCCGTGCTCATGCTCACTGAAATTTGAGCAGCCCCGTGCTCACGCGTGCTCATGCTCACTGCATTTCGAGCACCCACGTGCTCACGCGTGCTCGTGCTCACGCAAAATTTTCAGATTTCAAACCCTGGACTCAGGTCTCCTGTACATGACATGGTGCAGAATCTAGTCCTGAATATTGAAACTATTTTATAGATATGAAATATTATAAATATTTTTTATCATTATATGTTTTAGCTGCTAAAAGACCATAAAATTTGATCAACCTGAAATCGATCTTATAATCAGCATAATGTGTAATACACATGTTTATCATCGAATCGGCACGGAAGTCGCATAATGCGAGTTAATTTCGCGGCGCGTGCGTCAATATCCAAAGTTGCGCACATAATGAGTCTCGAAACAATGGACGAAGTTTGCAATGTCGAGTGAGTGGCAAATGGAAGCAATAAAGGGTTGAACGCGAAAGGCAGTTTTGTGTATTCGCCGCAAATTTCACTTGTAAGAAAGGAAAAGGAGATATAATGGTCTTCCTGCAAGTTGGTACCTTTTTTGTGTATTGGAAATGAGCAGCTGTTGCGACAATATTTTCAGCCCAGAAACGCAAAAAGTGACAAAGCGATATACTGTCGGTGCGGCCCCTTTGATCCCCCGCTGTGTTTTTATAACTGCACGGGATAAATTAAGAAAGAAAAGGAATCTTATCCGCAAATACAAAAAAAAAGTTTGATAAATTTGACCATGCCTGGGATAAAGTGGCAGATTTGGGACTAGGCAGTGTCTTTTACCGGTAAGAACGCCCATGCGGTTGGGTTTCGGTTAATTCAGCTTCACCATTTTGAACCAGTTCAGAAGTTTGTTGCTTCTCTTGAAAAAATTTCAAAAAAAGAATTCTTAGTCTACGCTCAGCAACCTGAGTCAGGATTCTAAAAGTCTTAAAATGAAAGCCGCGCAGCGGTTTTTTTAGGAACGAAGCCGCAAAGCGGCTAAAAAATTTAACAATCAATTTAGTAAATTTTGGCAAAGCCGCTTTGCGGCTTCGTTTCTAGAATAGCCGCTGCGCGGCTTTCATTAAAGCTTTTTCAGAACCCTGACTCAGGTTTTCTGCTCAGAGCCCAAGTTGTTAGCTTTCCTTCCGAAACAAAATTCCGGAACAGAAATTGACGCATTTTCATCGCCGAAAGTCAGAACAATATACCCTAGAACGCGATCCGCCATCAGAGTTGCATCTTTCTAACAAGTAATCATCGCCGAGATCTACGAGACTGCAATCTTCCGAGCTTAACTTTTTAAAGATGTTGCCGGCCGCATCGACCGTTACAATTGTGAAAAGGAAGGGGCGACAGGGCTAATAGCTAGGCTGACCGTGCACCGTGTCTTCGACAGCGCCGCGCGCGGTCGCCCGCGCTGGCCAATCACGTGCGCGCGATTTTTGTACTTTTTGAAGAAAGCGTTACCTGATTATTTTTAAAGAAAAAAAAATGTTGTCTCTGTGATGAATTATCAATTTTAGCGATTCGCCTTGAGCGTTCCATCGCCACATCGCTAAGTTTCGAGCCCTGCCTGGAAGAATGATCGTCCTATTGGGAAGTATTCTTCCCCACTCGTCAGTGCCATCTGCGCAGTTCGTTCTTCGAGACCGGATCCTGAAATGATACTGAGACATGAATCATCGCAAATTGAAAATGTTGGGATTAACTTTTGAAATTATTTGTTGGGATTAATTTTATGCGAAATATAACTGCGTTACTGAAGAGCTCAAATAAATTTCGAAGAGGATTAGTAAGAAATCAAAAATTCTTGATGTTTTTTCACGAAATGTTTTGCGGAAATGTTGGCATCGCAAGGCAGGTATGTACTAAGGTGAGAGTGGCATGACTCGTGCTCGAATTTAATGTTAACCAGCCGTGAACCATGCACCGTTTCCTCTGCAATAAAACTCGAAAACGCATCAAGTCCAGCCTAAGAACAACGCGATTAAGATCCATTTCGCCAATTTTCGAAGATGGAAGCTGGTTTATTCACACCGCTCTTTTTGCTATTAGATTAAATATCATTGACAGTTCTGTCTCAGCTTTTTTTTCAACTTTCATTAAGGAGATAGACGTCGAAAACCGTCATTTTCAAGCATATTTTTCTCCTATACTTAACATTCTGACACCCTTATTTTATTTTCTTTATCGATAGTTGAGACCCTTATCTTTTCCATGTGAGGCTTTAAATTTTTGATTTTGATAATTTTTTTAACAAAAATTTTCTTCAAAAATTTCTTTGATTAACTAAAATGGCCATAAAAATTGGATTGAAGTTCGCTAAAAAAGATGATTAGTAATAAATCAGAGCTTGAATCTGAGAGCCAAGAAGTCTAAAGAAACGGTCTCATCATAAACGCTCTATAAAACGCGCACTTTTATTATCAATTGCGGAGGTAGCTAAGGAACAAAGAAATGATGTTGTTTTTCCATTTTCAGGGTGGTTAGCCTAGCGTTGTTTTGCCATCCTGCCGGTTGGTTTCACAAGGGATAAGTACAGCTCCGTCCAATACACAAAAATTTGAGCTAGGCGAGAAAAAGTGAGAAGCGCCTCCCACCGGGCTGCGAGCTCAACCCCTATTTAGTGGCTCTTTGCTGAGGGCGGCAGGGCACTGTTGCCGTCTCTTCTAAATTGAGCTCTTATTCTTGAGACGAAAATAAAACATCAAGGTGATTTATAGTCGGCTTAACTAGAAGGATTCTCTATCGACTTGTTCTACAAAGAACCAAAAAAAAATAGGAGTTCCTAACCCAGGGGGTTATGGCTAGCTTTAGGAGGTAGATATCAAGAATTGCCATTTTCTGGCAGACTTTTCTCCCAAAATTAAAATATTAACACCCTTATTTTACTTTTGAAACAAAAACTTAAGACCCTTTTCTATTTCCTATGGCAGCCCAAATTTTGAATTAAAAAAAAATTCTTGAATATAATTTTTCGTCAAAGATCGCTAACTTTACCAAAATGGTCATTTTGGCGACAATCGGAGGTGCCCGATTTGCATTGTCCTCAAAAGCTCAAGAAATCTAAATTTTTGGCTTTCATAGGAAAGAGATAATTGCCTGAGTTAAATTTTGAGCAGAAAAAATTACGGGGCCACTATGTTAAGAATTTGAGAAAAGACTGACAGAAAATTCGATTCTTGATATCCACCCCCTTAAGGGGATCCCCAGACTTTCTTGGGTCCAATACCCCTAACTTTTATTCTTGAAGCATAAAGCTGAGATTCTTAGCTTATAAGTCATTTATTATAAATAATAAGTTATCTGTTTATAATTTATAATCAATAATTAATTAATGATAGCAAAATAATTTATATACATTCACTACAAAATGATCAAGAGAACGCTTTAAAAAATCTAGGAATAAAAATTAAGGAATTGAAAATGAAAATTTTTTAGCACTGTCAAAAAGTCGAAAGAGGGCAATTCGCATTTTATCTCCAGAAGTGAGCCGGGGAAGACGAAACTCAAGAATATAATTGTTGGCGATAAAAAGCTAAAAGCGATTAGTAAAGACACGCAACAGAAAGGGCGTTTGTTAGACGGTTACATTTATCTAACCTCTAAACGAGAGATTGAACGAAAGAAGTACTTGCTGGTCGGAAGACACGTTTCTGCTTGTCGAGGCGAGGCCTATGTCTCTGTCATTGTTTCCGTTACCTCCAAGAAATCACTGACCAATCTATCTGCCAATAAAAGAGACACGGGAAGGATAGATGGCCTCTGGAGGCAGAAGAGGGAGAAACACGCGATACTCTTTTCGCTCCTGTCGCTGCGCGCACGGCCCTCAGGCCTTCAACGAAGACACGCCCCAGGCAAGGTCTAAAGCTAACCGATCGACAACTATGGACGTATTCAAACTAATTACTTTCGCTGCTCCCCTTTCTTTCCGATTTTTCAATCGATACCAAACTACTTTATTTCCACGAATAAAAAGTTATAAATGACAAGTTTTGGCGAAATTTCAAAACGGATTTTTTGCTCATCAGATTCCATTGAGAGTTTCTTCAAGCTCTCTGCGTCTCTTCTCCAGCTCTTGAATTTCTTTACTGACTTTTTCGAGCTCTTCTTCTCGTTTTTTCTGTTGTAGCGCCAGAGCAGAATCCAATTCGGCCTTCGCTGATTCGTAGATTACTTTTTGCCGGTCCACCTTTTCCCGGTGAAATAAAAAGATTCGAGCTTAAAAACTGAAGATTATTAAATCACACCGTTTCCTTCTCTTGCGCGTCCTTGATTTTTCGTTCTATTTGTTCGTCTGTTAGCTCATTTTTCTTACTTGTCGTCTTTTTCTTTTTTGATGGAGCTTGCTTGGTAGAAGTTGTTGCTGCTCGTTTCCGCGTTTTCGTTTGAGAAGTTTCTTCTTGCTTCGCTTCTGGGCCAGATGAGTTATCATGATGATCAGGGGCGATTTCGTCGTTTCCTTGTTTTTCGCTGCTGCTGCCATTTTCCTTCTTTTTGGAGGCCATCAAGTTTTGCAGGGATTGTAGAATTTGCAACAATCTTAGGCGCACAGGAGGTATTGCCGTCAGACTAATTGCTATTTTAGATCATCTCGCTTTCGAAAACTTACTCCAATATTACAGGCGAGTTTTTCTCGAATCCAGTGCCTTCAACAGTTTCATCCAGAAACTTTATAAGAGGGGCGGAAAGAGGATAGTCATGGAGGAAGGTGAAAGAAAATCGCCATTTTCTTCCCTCAAATTTTGATCCAACAGGCCCACTGATCTCAAAGGTCCAGTATTCTTCGCTTATTTCAAGTAAGGAAAATGATGGTCCAGTCGCCTAAGAAAAATCAACTTCAAACAAGAAAAAATACAAACCGTTTCGCTATATCTTTGAATGTCCCTCGCCTCTCTGACCAAACGGACGTAGGCACCGCCACGGAGGGCAAGTTCTTCGGGAATTTCTTCGTTGAAAACACTCATTTTTGATGGTTGCTACTTACGGAAAATGATTATCCGAACCTGTTTTTATTCAAAAATACTCATATTCTAGAGAGGACAAAGGACAAGATCGTGACAGTTTTTGTTAAACTTTATTTGTAAAAATAGAGAAGGTTAACCCTTTAACAGGGTGGTTGATTTTGCCTACGCTTTTGCCTATCGATGATTGAGTGAAATCAAGGATCCGAGGTTGTGATTGGCTACCCGTTTCCACGCGTGCAGGTCAAACCTGCACGCCCCTGTTAAAGGGTTAATGCCAGAAATTCTGGCCCAGAATCGTCAAAGCTCGTCTGAAAGGGTTTCTTATAGTTCCTTCCTCCTGTTTTCAAGCTCTGAAATACTCTGTTTGTGTTTCTTTATCCTCAGAGAAAAAGCATCATTCAATTCTTTTTTAGCAGCATCAAACTTTTCATCGGTGAAATAAAAGTTGGAAAACACAACCCGAAAAATATTAACTTACACCGTTTCCTTTTTTTGAGCTTCTCTTATTTTTCGTTCTAGTTCTTCATCACTGAGCGTTATTTTCTTACTCGACCCATGCTTCAGACCTTGACTCAGGTTTTTAACACAGGTTGCCGAGCCCAGTTTCTTCTTTGGCGGAGCTTTTTCCGGGGACATTTTTGCCACTCTTTTTCGTGTTTTCCTCTGGAGAGTTCCTTCTTGCTTAATTTCTTCCGGTTCAGTTTTTATTTCAGGTTCAGAGTCGTTGATCTCGAGAGGCGAAATGATTTCACAATCGTTTTCTTCCTCGCTGCTGTTGCTTTTTCTCCCCTTTTTGTAGCTAGCCATCAAGTTTTGAAGATTTTCAAGAATCGAGAGCAATTTTACTTCACATGGCGAAGACTCGCTGAATTTATAAAAAAACAAGAAAATATTTTTTACAACGCTACTTGAAAGAGTCAAAAACTTCGAGAGGCGGCGACTTGTTCTTTTTGAAACAAGTTCCTCGGATTGTTTTTTGGCAGAGAATGAACGGCACCGAAAGAGGATAATTATCCGCAAATTGAAAGCTAAAAGGCACAGAAGTCCCTTCAAATTTCGACCCGATTGGTCCATCGATTTCGACGATCCAGTCAAGCAGGGTTCGGTAATTTGAGCTCAAGTTAAAACTCATTTTGGCTAGACGCTCAAATTTCCTCAAATTGAGAACTCAAAGTGGCTTGAGAAATCATTTTGAGAAGATTTGAGAGTTTTGAGAGTTTTGAGTTTTTGGGAGATTTGAGAGTTTTGAGTTTTCAAAACTCAAATTAAGCGAGCGCTTCCTTGATTGGCTCATGGATCGCCAGAATTGATTTTTCATCTCTGAGTTCTCAAAACTCAAATTAAGAAACATGAGTCTCAAGCTTTGTTTCCTTGAGTTTTAGCGTGAGCTCAAATTCCCGAACCCTGCAGTCAAGCTCGCTGACCTCCGAAATCCTAAATGATGGCCCAGTCGCCTGAAAATACAATTCTGATAGAAAAAAAAACGAGTATTTACCGTTTCGTTGAACTTGCGTATAGCCTCGGCTTCGTTGACTAGGCGAACGTAAGCTCGGCCATTCAGGTCTTTCGGCACTTCTTCTTTGATAGGCTTCATATCTCCTCGAAAAATGAGAACTTGATTTTTACTCAAGAAATTTTTTGTTCAAGAAAGGACGAAAAGTCCAGAAAATCGTAAAAAACAAGCCCGGGGGTGTTCGTAAAAGACAACATTTTAGCAATGATCGCAATTATACGAGATTTGACGAAAACTTTTTCCTTCACTTCAAAAACTGCCAGGTTTTCACAACGAAATCAAACTGATGGCGGAAGTATGCAAAAACAGATGGGCGCTGGAAGAAACGTATCATGTCCTGGAAGACCAGGTCCATACGCGCGAAGAAACTATTGAGGACTAATTAACCCGTTGACAGGGCGTCTTCTTCTTCACCGTGACGAGAATTTTTAAATAAATAAAACACAATTAAAATATTAAAACAGAGTTCATTTAGCAAGGCCATATTCAGGCAAGGATAAGCTAAGATATTTATGCAAAATTTTTGGCTCGAGCATATTTGATTTTCAGAAAAATGTGAAATCGGGAAAATTTAACGGCCTATATCTCCTTAAATCATTTTCATTACCTCTCTCATTTATAGATACTGTCATAGATTAGGGGTGTATAATTAATATGACAGTATGAGGATGGACACCCTTAATTCAGGTTTCTCGAAATTTTGGTTCCCGCAAGAGCAATTTCGTTGGGCCGGTCTTCAAGTTAGCTCGAATAAAGAATCGCGATATCTAAAATATCATATTTTTCATCAATTCGGATCCCTAAAATCTCAGAAAAAGCAGTAGCTTATGAAAACGGTCTGTTTGAGAAATGAGTAGCGAAGCGAGCAAACAAGGATTCACGATTAGCTGCAAGATTCTAAAATATTTGATTTTTGATTTCACTCGATTCATTTCTGTATTTTTCATTTTTGCAAAAAAATGAGTTTAGTAAATTCCTTTTCTTCCTCGAATAATATTCATTATCCGTCGGAAAGTATCGACTTGTCTATAAACCAATAGTAAGAGAAGAAAAGATTTGTTTTCAAAGAAGTCATCCTTGTTTTCAGTCGCCATTTTAAAGCAATCGCCGCCGTTCAAATTTCAATTTCGATGATTTATTGCTTGATCAGATGCATTATTTACCACCCGGAGAACAGCAGAATACAAGCTCTATATGATAAAGGTTGGTTTATTCTTCCTTGATTTCAATGACCATTTTCTTAGCAAATTTGGTTGTTTATGGAATCGTGGGAATGGCGAGTGGGATTGTCGGAATTATCGGCGTCGATTTAAATCTGCTTTCTTGCTTTCAAACATTTGCTGTTTTATCCCTCGGTATTTCAGTCTATCTTTCGACGCATATTTTCTCTCTTTGGGTAAGTTTCACTTTTCGTTTGCTTCCAACATTTTTCTAGCTTTTGTCGTATGCATACTGCGTCTTCAACAAAGAAGCTTTCTGCCAGGGCGCTCACATAGCCGGACTTAGTATTTACTCGATAATGATTTGGGCTCGGCAACCTGTGTGAAAACCTGACTCAGAGTCTGAAAAATCTCAAATGAAAAGAGCGGCCTCACAAAACCAATAAGAGATTTTTCAGACCCTGACTCAGGTTTTCCTCACAGGTTGCCGAGCCCAGGTTATGATTGTCGCTTGTGGTCCTGTCTTTTACCTAACAGCTGCTGGATATGCTTGGAAATTCGCCTTTCCACCTGATTCTATTCAAATTTAGCTTCAAGTGAATATAATTAAAAAAAGAAGAAGGCGGACGCACGGTCGTTTTTTTTACTTGTATCGATTCTTTCAGCTTTTTCCAGAATTATATCGAGTTGAAAATTTTAATCTCCCGGAATGAGAAGCACACCGGTTCCGGCTTAGTGATTCCGCTCATTGACGCTGGCAATACTGTCGATTCTTCCTAGATATAGAATGACTGACTTTTTGGCAGCTAAGGCTAGCGGCTTTTTATTTTTGCTCTTTCAGATCTTGACTCAGGGTTTCTACTCAGGTTGCCTAGTCCAGTACACGGTACACATGGTTTTAGCTCCCTTTTGGAGAGAAATCGATTTGGAAATGGAACAAAACCACCAGGTTTTATTTTCATTCGAGAATTAATTTCATTCTCGTTGCCGAGCAAATTCCATCTTCATGCAAGTCAAGCAGCATCCATGACCACAGCCGTGCGAAAATTTCGCGTGCTTTCCATCATCGTAGAATCTAAAATTGATACTTGATTTGATGAATTTTAAAAAACAACTTACTCGAAACAGATTTGACACATCAAGAGGGCCTCACGTCGTTCCTTCAGCGCCGAATTCTCTTTCAAAACCTTGTCGACATCAATCTGCCTCGCTACAGCTGGCGGGACTGGGCAGGAACTGTCTTCAAGCTCGCTTGTTTCGAGACCTCTTTCGCAGTCTTCTTCCAGCAGACAGTTTTCTTCGAACTCTTCAGCCAACGAGTCAATTTCCTTGGAGACTTCTTTATCCGACTCTTCGCACTTTGCTTGAATTTGATTTCCTACTGTTGTCCAATCTGCTCCATCGCTGTCATCAAGCTCGAGCTTAATATTTTATAAAATTATTAAACCATATTTTATTATATTCATAATAAATTTATTATTATTTTCATTAACTTATTAATATTTTATGTAATTATAAATATATTTTATGTATATATTTTATTTATGATATTATTCTTAATTTTTTTAAATAAACCTCCCCGTGAGACTCTTGAGATGGTAAATCGTTGCCTTGGCTTCTTGAAAGTCTGTTCTGAGCGCGGCGTTGTCTACCAGTCGAAGTTGGCTCCATCGATCTGGCGATTTGTTTCTTCTTTGCTTTCTTTGGTTTTTTGCTGCGCGTTTGCTTCTTCTCTCGCGATTGTCTATTACGACTATCTTCTTCTTCGACCCAGTCGGGCATTTCGTATCTGTCAGGGATTTTCTCGAGTCTGTCAAAGACAAACGAGGGTTTCTGAACTTCCCTTGTGGAATATTACTCGTCTTTTTCCATCCGATCGTTTGCCTGTTTGTTGCGTTTGGTCCCAAATCCACCCTTTTCTTGACGGCTCCTCAGTTCCTGGTGGATTCTTCTCGCTGACAGCAAGTGTAAAAGAAGCCTGCAAACATAGTGATCCTCGCGGTTTTTCGAGTAGTCGATCGTTGGTACTAAAAAATATTATGGAAAACATTGTCGATCGGTTTTTAGGATATCTTTTGTAAAATCTTATCAAATACATATTTTATAAAAATATTATTAATAATAATAATATTTATACTATAATTTTATAATAAGTATAATAATATGATATAAATTTTATTTTGTAATATAATATAATATAATATAATATAATATAATATAATATAATATAATATAATATAATATTTATATTATATTTTTTATAAAGAGTAAAAATTTTAAATTGATTTTTAAAATTGATGTTTCTTTAAATTATATAAATTTTAAAAATTATTTTCAAAACTAATATCCTTGAGAATCATGCCCCATTCCTATTATTATTATTATATTTATTTTTGTAAAAGCGGATTTTTTATGACTTTCTTACTGACCTTCATCGTTGTCTTCGGTTTGAATCAAGAGCATTTCCTTGTGGCCTAGAGCGTCGGTTAGAAAGTATACTTTCGAATCTTCGCCTCTTCTTTGGAGTAGACGTTCGATCAGGTCCGACGGACAGCTTTGCTCTACTCTTGCGTAGCTTCTTGGCACTGTCAAGGTTATTGGGTCCAGAGTCTCCACACTCGTCAGTTTGAGCGAATATCGACTGGTGTTTAACTACACTAGTCTACTAATGACGGATTCCGCAGAAGGCGCTATTTCGGAAAACATTTTTTTGTCTGGCTCGGCGGAAGTAGACAAAGTGTTCGTTATTTACCCATATCATATCATGTTTCGGATTAAGAGTGGCCGAATTATTTGACCTCAATATTGACCAGCTATTTTATCAGTAGAAAGTGATCAAATCCAATCTGAAAAGTGTCCATGAGTGTCCTATGAAAATCAGAATTCCGCTGGCCGAATTTTTCACCAGAAATTGTCCAGAAAACATTGGGGGTAGAACTAGGTTTCTCGATTTTCGAGTCTCGGTTCAAATAAGAAAACATAAGAAGTTGGCCGAATTTTTCATTCAGAATAATCGAAAATATAGATGAATAATTCGGCTTCTGTTGGGGGTGGTGTCTGGAATCGACAAAAAAATTCCGACTAAAATTTTAATAAAAAATATTCTAAAAATTTATTGAGAATAATTTTTTCTGAAAACTATGCAGAAATGGCTTTTTCAGGCCACAATAGACATTTCTAGGTAGTTTTGAGAAATTCTTGTCAGCGCAGCAGATAATGGCGGGCCATTAAAATTCACTTGAAAAAAATGAAAAATTTTGTCGGGATTTTTTTGTCGGTTCCAGACACCTCCCTTCTGTTGGCCGAGTTTTGATGTCATTCTTCGCTGCCGAATGTACTTACAACTGGCTGGCGCCCAGTCGGCGCTTGATATTGTGCTGAGCACAAATTGCTACTTGTCGAGCGGAAATTTTAACTAAAAATAAAAAATGAACCCGCTCAAATATCATGAACTACCTTTCTTGCTACCGTTCTGTTAAAAAAAATTATCAAAGAGGAAAGCTGGGCTGGGCAATCTGGGTGAAAAACCTGCGTCAGGGTCCAAAAGATCTAAAATGAAAAGCCCTGTAGCGGCTTCGCAAATTAATCATTCTAATCTATTTCTAAATTTTGGCGATCTTTCGGACCCTGACTCAGGTTTTCTGCTCAGGTGCCGAGCCAAGATTACAAGATTTGACTTTATTGCAAAAGTACAGATGAATTGATGAGAGAAAAAATAGATGAAAATCTGCTGAATCTTCGCATTTCAAATATCAGCGACCATAAATGGTGAAAACAATCGAATTTTTCCCTAAAATATTCATAAGAATTGACATATACTTCTCTTCTTTCAAACCTGAGCTCTCTTGTATTCCTTAGTTCGGGATTTTGACTTTGTCGCTTCCCCAACTGGCGACAAGAAAGGATTTTCGATCGATTTGCCAGTCCTTGTTGATGGAAGATTACTTGCCGAAGTCGACGTAAACGTCGGCTCAAGTCCCGAGAAAGTCGGTCGGAGCGACGAAAGAGTCACTTCAGACAAAACTCGATCGACTTAAAATTATGTAAAAAAAACAACTGAAAAGAATAACTTACGTTGCTTGGTTCGAATGGGAAGAGCATTGATCAAATCGTCGATGATCTTGTGGCAGATCTTCTCTGTCTCCAGTCGCTCGATCGCCTCAGTGTCCCAATATCTGGACGAGCTTCCTGAAGTCCTCGTAGTCGTTATTTCCGAGCCAAAAGATCTTGTTCCAGTGTGACAGCCAGTTCCGTAAGAAACATTGTCGGCAACTTCGGACAAATCGAGCTTTGGGACTGGGGCCACAAAGCACGGTGCGCGCGCGCTGAAGACATAGAAATAACTGTATTTCTACGAAATATCAATACTGACCTCGGTTGCAAGGGAATTTGAACATCATCGACAGCGTTCGAGTTTTTGCCAAAGCAGCAGCAAATCGAGTTCATTTTGCGAATTATTTGGTTACACGACGTTTTCAGCATACCGACGTTTTCAGCAACCGACGTTTTCAGCATACCGACATTTTCAGCGCTGCTGAATTCGTCGGTTTGCTGAAAACGTCGGTTTGCTGAAAACATCCATTTTCACCTGAAAACGCGTGGGCGTTTGCACTGACGACATTTTCAAACAAATGGATCTAAAGACGATGTTCTCGGAATTTAATTGGCTAATTAAAAGTTTAAAAGCATTTCTAAATGAGTCATTAAAAATGCATTATTTTGAAAAAGTAATAAGATAAGCCAAATATCTTTTTTAATACATAATTAATAATTATTAATTATAATAATAATCATAGTCACCAGTTAGTTAACAGTATTAACGTATTATTCAGTTTCGTGAATATGCTTTTAAAACATTGAAAATCATGATAAATCAATATTTAAAAGGATAAAAATAATAATTTTATTAAATATAATCCTTTGTAACTGACTCATTAATATTACATCGATTTTATGTTATTTTACGATTTACGGAAATATCTTTTTCAGATGAAGTTTGATAAAATGGTTGCCTCTCTAAACGCCCACGCGTTTACAGGTGAAAAACGACGTTTTCAGCAAACCGACGTTTTCAGCAAACCGACGAATTCAGCAGCGCTGAAAATGTCGGTATGCTGAAAACGTCGGTTGCTGAAAACGTCGGTATGCTGAAAACGTCGTGTAACCGAATTATTTTCGAACTGATCGAAAACCGAAAACAACAAAGCTGGATTTCGGCTATTCTAGAGAATCTACTGTTTGTGGAAACATGATGAAAGCAGGCATTCATTCCTCATTTGAATCCATTTCGATTTCATTCAACAGTGCCTCCATTATGGTTTGTCGATTTTAGTCGTTGAAATTGACGAAAATTTGTAGCCACGCGCTGATTGGTGGAGCGCGCCTCATTCAGAGAGAAATCTTTCTGAAGCAGAGAAATGAATCGAGCTGTCCAAAGGGTTAATCGACTTCCAAGAGTAAGTTATTACTGTCATCAACTGTAGTTGCTCATCAATACTGTCAAACTCAAGAAGGAAAAATTTCGAGGCGCGATTTTCTAGCGAAAATTCAACAAAAATTCTAGCTGCCAAAATCAACAAATCCTCCAGAATCATCCCTTCCGCAGTTTTTCGAAAACCTCCGCGGCGTATTTCCAGTCTACAAACCTCCACATACCAATTTAATCGACCTCAAAGCCAACATCGAAGACACCCTCCTCGAGAACTACGACAACTTGCCCTTCACAGAAGATATTCCCTTACTCCTTCCTTCTGAATCTGGCGGCGAAGTCGTCCGAAGCGAAGCTCCAGATCGAAGATTTCTTCCGTCAGTAGAAAACAAACTCGAGAGAATCAAAAGAATCGGCCTTCAAAGCCGCTTTTTCCCAGAAATAGGATTTCATTCCTCTGGACTGACTTTTTGCGCCATCGGAAAATTCGAATCGCCGGAAGAAGAAATATTCACTCGATATATTCAGCGAGGAAAGGAGTTGAAAATTTTTAAGGCTAAGCTCAGCTAAGCCCTTCCCACGAAAGCGGCATCTTAGCTCAATTTTACAAATTTTCAATGAAAATAGCTTAGCTCAGCTTAGCCAAGCTTCGATGTCAACTAAGCTCAGCTTAGCTTAATTTCCTCAAGGCTTAGCCGGCTTAGCCAACTTCTTTTGAGAATTATCATGGAAATTTACTTGTTTAATCAGCTAAGCTCAACTAAGTCAAAACTTCGCTGAGCTAAGCTTAGCTTAGAAAAAGAATGCTGATTCAGCTTGGCTAAGCTAAGATTCTTTACCTTAGAAGAATTGCCGAGCTTAGCTTAGTTTTCTCCCCAGCTAAGCTAGCTTAGCCTGCTAAAAACATTCAAAAATTTCCAACCCTTATAAGGCCAAACTTGGCATATAAAACTTCTCCTCGGAATTTCAACAGGCGAAACAGTCCATCCAGAAGAAATAACACCCGAAGACATCAAACTGATCGAAAAAGAAGGACTCTTCACAGTCGAAGGATTTTTACTGGCGCGACAGAAGATCAAAAATGACGAAAAATCGTGCAGAAGACTGTTGAAGCTTTCCTTGGACAGATTGGTCACTAACGAGAGATATAAAATCATGGAGAAATATCTTTACGAATATGGCCCCGACGAGAGTTTTGTTAACATTTCTCTTGGGAACAAGGACTGGCTGAATGAATTCTACTCCACCGCCGTCACCCGCGTCCTCGACGGCCAAGTCCTCTCATTTTCCAAAGAAACGAACGAGCTAGAATTAGAGCTGCAAATTTTGGGAAATCCGACGCACCATTTTTTCGGCGTCCTCGGCGACTATTTCACAAAAAATGCTCTTGGAGTGAATTCGGCGGTTGTTTCTTCTCGAAGATGCAACTTTGGCGGCGCTAGAATGACGGAGATTTCAGAAAACGCGCTGACGCATTATGAGATTTATGATATTGAACGGATCAAGGAATCGGTCAAAGCGACGAAAAAATATGCAAAGGTAAGAATTGAGACTTGACTCTTGCCGCTTCGAGAAAGTTTGCTTGAAAAGGCGCAAATAGTGAGGCCCGATGAAAAGATTTTTCAAACTCATCTTGAATTTTCAGACAATTCAAAAGCGATTGAAATCAGAGGCTGATTCTGATTACCAGAAATATCAACAGTTGGTGAAAGAAAAAGGGAAATTCGTGAAGAAGGTTCAAAATTTGACGGAAAGAGTCGAAAAAAGATCGTCGGCGATTCAAGAGAAACAAATCGAACTCTCCAAAACTACTTCTTTGCTCGATCAAATGATTGCTTCTGGATAAAAAAGCTGAGTTTCCAAATGTTTCTTTTCAGAATGAGATTAGAGCATGTCTTCGCGGCAACGAATCGTCAGCCGGACTCGACTTACTGGGTCCCAGAAAGCGGACTGCTCCTAGCGTCAGCGAGGTCGACTTTGATCGCTCATCGGCTTTGCCCGAATCGGCAAAATAGAATTCAGTGTTTTAATCGACACTCGAGTGATATTAACAGAATTTCTGGCGATAAGGAACGGTTTTTCTTTTCAAGTTAATCTTTCCTAGACTCAGAAAACTCACGCAGGATCCTGAAGGAGATCTTTAAATGTATTGAAAAGCCGCGTACAGTGGCTACACCAAGGCTTTCCAATAGATTAAATTGGAAATTTGGCGAAGCCGCTTCGCGGTTTTGCTCTCAAAGAAGCCGCTACACGGCTTTTTCTACAATTCTTTCAGAACTATGCGGCAGGTTTGCTACACAGGCTGCTGAGCATAGGTTTTCTCATACAGAGGCTCGAAAAAACCGAAATATAGAATTTCATCGTCAGTGCGACCGTCGACGGAGAAATAATTCTCTGGAAAGTGGAAGAAAACGGTCTCGTTGAAGTAAAAAAGCTGTCGAAAATTCACTCCGACGCGATAGGCTCCTTGAGTCTCGTGAATTTCGACGACGATAACAACGTGATTTGCTCGATTGCGGGAGACTCTTCTTTAAAATTAACACGAGTCAATGCGAAAAACGAGGAAGAAGAAAATAGAACGAAGGAGCATGTTTTCAAGTCAATTTATCCAATTTGCGTTGCGTCGACAAAAGTCAAGAGAAGAAATTCAACGACGGAAATTCTTCTGGCAGTTGCGACTTCCGACTTTTTCGTCCGCTTCTTTTTGATCGACAAAGAATTCAATGGAGAACTGAAGGAAACGAGTAAAATTCAAATTGGAGAAGATTGGAGTACGAGTTTGAGCTTTTCTTCGACGACTTTGGAGGACAGCATCTTTTTATCTGTCACGAACAAGGCTGGGCTCGGCAACCTGTGTAGAAAACCTGAGTCAGGGTCCAGAAAGAGTCCTCATTATTCAAGCTCTGTCTTGACCCTGTCTGACACAGGTTTTTTTCACAGGTTGCTGAGCCCAGAAACAAGGACAACAAAGTAAGAGTGATCAAGATTTTCAAGCAAAACGAGCAAGACAAAGTCGAAACCGAAGACAGACTTCAAGTGGACAAGAAAATTTTGATCGAAGAAGAGTTTGAAATTTTAACAGAAACGATTTTGCGCGGCCACTCGAATTGGTCGACTTCTTCTTGCTGGATTTCCATCGAGGGGGAGCTGCATTTAGTCACGAGTTCCATGGACAAGTCGGTCATTGTCTGGTCTTCAAATTCTAGCGCCGAAGCAATCGAAGAAGAAGAGGAAGAACAAAGTTTAGGAACTTGGTCAGACGTGGCTAGAATCGGCGATTTTGGCGGAGCGAATATGGGATTTCTTGGTGTCACAGCTGGTCGATCAGACTCTGGAAAACTTGGAATTCTAGCGCACTCGTACAATGGAGCATTTTATCTGTGGTGGTGGAATGAAGAGGAGGCGCAGTGGAAATCTAGCATCAGCCCAAGTGGTCATTTTGGACCAGTAAGGTTAGTTTTCCAAGGGCTAAAACAGGGGTTAGGTAAAGGGTTGTCTAAGCCAATAAGAAACCTGCAAATATTTTTCTCCCTATCAGAATTAAGCAACCCCTTCGACCATTCACCGATATTTTGCCCACCCTAGCTCCACCCGGTCAAATGCCTAAAAATTAAAGGAAGGTCCTCTTAGCCAATCAAAAACCAGCAAACCACCCTCAAATTCGCAAGGTTCTTTGGGTTTCTGATTGGCTAACCCCCCTTTAGCTTTTGATAAACCTTAACTTTTTGGTATTTCATTAAGTTACTCTAATTATGATTTAAGAGATCTTTCGTGGAGCCAAGACAAGACGTTTTTACTTTCAACAAGTTTTGACCAGACAACTCGTCTATATTCCCGGATCAACAATCAAAACCAATCTTCGGAACCTTCCGAAATCTTCTGGGCCGAATGCGCGAGACCGCAAGTCCACGGACACGATATCAGATGCATGACGAGCATTGGATCAAACCGCTTCGCTTCTGGCGCCGAAGAAAAGGTCATTCGAGTTTTCAGATCAACGCGAAATTTCCGCGAGAATTTTGAAGCTATTACCGGCTACAATGTGGGCGAAACAGAAGATGAACCAGAAGGAGCAGCTGTGCCGGCGCTTGGATTATCCAACAAAGCGGTTTTTGAGAAGCAAGGAAAAGTCAACGCTGACAGGGAAATTGCCGCGCACGAGTCTTACATGGAGGATCAATTCACCGCTTTGAACGTTTGTTTCTGCCTCATAAAAGCATTCTCGCTTATTTTTTTTAGCTTGGCGCAGTTCCACTGGAAGCCGATCTTCTTCAAAACACTCTTTGGTGGGAAGAGCGAAAGTTGTACGGCCATGGCTCCGAACTACAGTCACTTACCTCTTCTCCTGATGGAAAGTTTATTGCCTCGTCTTGTAAAGCTTCGAAAAAGAGCCAAGGTAAAGAAAATGCTCCAATCTGGCCAAGAAACCTTGAAATTCTCAAAATTGCAAGAAAATATTTTCACCTCTAAAAAACATATTAGCTCACTAAAACCCTTTTCAATCCATTTAAAACCACTGAGAACCTCCAAAACCCATATAAAACCTAAATTAAACCATCATTAACCCGCTAAAACCACCTTAAATCTCTAAATAAACCGGCTAAAATCCATCTGAAGCAAAATAAAACCCACTTAAACCCGCTTGAACTGGTCGAAAACCTCGAAAACCCACAGAAAACCCAAATCACACCATCTAAAAGCACCTTGAACCAACAAAAACCCATCAAAACCAAACACCAGATCAAGTTTCTTTTAGCATCGATTTTCATTTGGGACGGATCTCAAAACGGAAAGCCCGGTGCATTAGCGAAACTGGAGCAGCATCAGCTAACTGTAATTCAACTTCGATTTTCGCCGGACAGTAAGAGGCTGCTCTCAGTTGGACGCGATCGAGTGGCGATGGTGTGGAAACTAAAGTAAGCAGAATTTTAATTTTGGTTTGAACTTTTTTTGAAAGGGACGAAAATGGAGAATCCTGGGAGTTGGAAAAGATTTTCGATAAATCAATGAAGGCCCATTCGCGTGTGATTTGGAATTGCTGCTGGCTCGACAATCAAACTTTTCTCACTGCCGGGCGGGATAAGCAGCTCATTACTTGGAAGATGGAAAATGGAGAGTGGCTCAAAGCGTCGTCTTTACAGTCGGATCAAGCTTTGACTGCAGTCGATTGTGTGAAAATGAAAAATAGTGAAGAGTCATTATTGCTGCTGGGGAAGGAAGACGGCGCCCTGGAATTGTACAAAACTGAGAATGGAGATCTTAAATTAGGTAGGAGCGGAAAAACCGGCAGGATTTTCGGGATGATGACACAAATCTTCAAAACTTTTACTAATAAAAGCGAGGATTCTGATTCGCCCAATAGATTTTTTGGGCATTTTGATTGGCCGAATGCAAATTTACATGCAGAATTCTATCTTTTCAATCATTTTTTGCTCGACCAATCAAAGTGCTCAAAAAAGCTTTTCAGTCAATCAGAATCCTCCATATTATTCGCAAAAGATTTTCACGAATAACAAATTTCTTGTATAAAAATTCCAGTGCAAGTCGATTATTGTTTCAGAAATGCTCAGAATCTTCATTCAGAATCGACTGTATCGAGAGACGAATGCCATGTCGGTTTCGTCTCGCAAATCTGCTTCCGAGACTGTTCAATGGTCGCCACCTGCGGCGAGGATCACCAAGTCAAGCTTTTTTCCCTTTCAAATTGACAAGTTCCAATTTTTTTTTGCAAAAAGAAAGCTTTCTGACTCACTCCTCGTAAATTCCAAAATTGCTGTTTGATTTTTTTTCTTGGAGGTCAAGACCAGGCCGATGGCGCATCACAAGACCCCGGTCGCCCATCACGTGAGCTGTTTTAGAATGAAAAAATATGACGAAAATTGACAAATTGATTTTTGAGTTGTTGAAAACAACGACTCATGTGACACCCGGTGGCGTCGAGAGTGACCCGGCTTGGTATAAAACTCGCGGTGGAGAAAATTATTCAACGGAAAAAAAACCAAGAAAGGAAAAAAATGACCAAGTCGCTCTTTTCTCAAGAAGAAATCCACTCGAACTTCGAGAACAATTATTACGATGAATACGACTTTATGCAAATTAAGGACATCAAGGTGAGCACCGGCTGATTTATGAACGTTTTGACGTTTAATCGCTTACGAAGTTAGGGTTACCTTACTAGAATTCGCTTGTTCTGATTTAGGAATTAAGGGTTTATAGGTGTTAACTCTTCTCTGACTTGCTTTCAAATGAAAAACCGGCTTCTGGTTGGCTGAAAGGACGAACCCCTCTGCCCCTGCTATTTTGAGAATTTTACATACCCTAGCCCTAACCCTTGAGTAACCTTTTCCCTAAACAATTATCATTTTTGACTTTGAATGATTCTAACTGTAATTCTTTCAGATGAAAGGAAAGCACGGAAAAGACGCATCAAAGAAGAAGCTTGCCAATCCTTCGAGAACAATGTCCATCGGCTCACAGCTCGGAAAACGCAACAAATCAAAGTAACAAACCTGCCTTACCGATTATTGATTCTTCTGAAAAACTGAATTACCTGAAAACCGGCTGAAACAACGGATTTTGCTCGCCCACTACTGTACTGCTCGAAACTGATAAAGAAAATATACCAACTTCAAAATTTAAAATTCAGTCAATAAATTGAATTTCAAGTCGATATTTTTTCCAGAAAGTGAAAAGATGTCGAAGCAAGAAAATGGAAAGAGTAGCCACCGAGGCCAGGCAGAGTACAGATTGCCAGTGGGCTGCGAAATCGTCACTTTTAACATTCCACAGGACGTGGCACGAACTTGGAATCGCTTCCAGAGCAGGGTTAAAAAACTAGTCTGAGATTTACAAATATTTTCTTAGTCAAGCTTGCTGATCAAAGCATTTTGCCAAATCTTTCAGCTAAGCTAGCTTAGCCGACTTTTTTTTGGTATTTTAGTGTGGCCATTGAGTCACCGTAGCTCAGCAAAAAGAAAATCGTCCAACTTAGCCTAGCTTAAAAAGCCTAATTTCTTCGCAACTTAGCTAAGCCAATTTTTCTTTTCGACTAAGCTACTTAGCTTAGCTTCGAAGGACTTCGCAATAAATTCCTGGCAGGCTTAGCTCATTCTCACTTAGCTTTGCCTCAGGTTTGCTTAGCTGAGCCGAAATTTCTTCTGCTTAGCCAAACAGAAATTTTTATTTTTGAAAGAGCTTTCGCTTTGTTGACTTTTCGCAAATCGAAAATTCCCCAATTCCTGGTATTTGCAAAGAAAACATCGTCTATCCGGGCGTTCGCTCATATTTTAGGAATCATTTTTTAACCCGAGTTGAAGAGCGCGTACGAATCGACAGCAGATGCTCTGGAAGCGCTTATGAACAAATTCAAGCCCGGAGAATTGGTTTACGAACGCTCCGAGCAAAAGATCGTTCCCTTGACGTTATGCACTAAACCGAAAGACACGTCCGAATTTAACCCGAACAATTATCCCGAAAAGCGACTTCGTCAGCTGCTTCACAGATTGACGACAAATACGGACACTGGATTCAACCTTTTGGAAGACATTTTTGAGTGCATGGTTATGAACGACATCTTCCAATCAAGGTTCATACCGAATTGGTGCGGGTAAACTTCAAGAATCGTGATTTTCTTCGAGATCAACATAGGGATACCCTTATTTTTTGAAGAAAAGCCCCTTGCGGCTTCGAGAAACGGAATGATACCCTCGAAAAGCGCGGTTTTCGATGATATTCCTGGAAGCAAGCCTCTTCTTGATTTTTTAAAATCTGGTGGTAAATATGCTCAAACCTTTATCAAACTAGAAATATAAAAATTCTCTAGACACATTCGTGCGAATCTGGCTTCAGAAATCTTCATCAGAATTCTGAATTCTTCATTCTAAATTCTCCTATTTAGCAATTTAGCGAAAGAAAGACATCTTTGAATAAAAGATTTGCTAAAATTCCGACCTTTAGAGAAATTTGATAAAGGTTTGAATTTTTTTCGAGGAAATTCAATAAGGGTGTCTGTAGGTTAATTTTGGAGGACTTCAGAGTTTGCAGCTTCGAGCTATGCAAAAGGAAAAGCCGCACTTTGCGCGGCTCTTATTTTGCTTGCCAAAGCCGCTAGCGGCTTTTCGATTAAATCAGGCTAAAAATAAGGGTCTCACTACGTTAATTTTGATAGAAATATCACGATTCTTGATGTCTCTCCCTTTCAATTATTACTCAAAACTCAAACTTTAGTTCTAAAGTGGCAGAAAATAATCCATATTTTAGGATGACAGAGGAAGCACGCATCATGGATATTCTTGGCCTGAGGCGCATCGGAGAACGCGAAGAAAATAAAACTATTCCATATCACGGATATCTGAGAACAGAACTCGCAGAGCACTTGGGAAATCTTCGATTGTAAGAAAAACTTTATTCGTTTCAAAAAATACTTTTTTATTTCAGGACAAATCACAACAATAGATCCAGAAAGTCAGAGATCGATCCCTCTTCTATTTTATCTGAAGGGTAAGTCAGTCTAGTAGTTTTTGAAGCGGCAAAAGCCATGCCGGCTTTTTCATCTTAACATGCCAAAGGCGCAACCTACTTGTGAAAAAGCCTGAGTCTGGAAGCAGCGAGCTGAGCTGGGCTCGGGAACCTGTGTGGAAAACCTGAGTCATGCTTTGAAAGAGCATTAATGAAAAGGTGCGTAGCGAATTTTTAAAAAACGAAGCAGCGACGCGGCTTTTCATTAATGCTTCTTCAAAGCCTGACTCAGGTTTTCTGCACAGGCGAGCTCCTTTCGGACCCTGACTAAGGTCGCCAAGATCTCTACGGCCTCAATAGTAGAGTAAAAAACAACCATTTTTTCTTCAGAAGCCAGCGACGAACACGATCCCAAACTTCACTCATGAACAAAAAGAAAGAGCCGACCACCGAAATCGCGAAAACGGTGAAGCAGCTCTTCGAAGAACCTTCAGTGAAGAAAAACTTCAATAAAATCTTTCAAACGAAACGCAGAATCGACCCAATCAGCCCAGAAGAGATCGAGCAGTGGCAACAAATTATCAACAAAAAAGCGCGAAAACAGTTCAGCGATCCTGGTTTTCTTGCGAATCTTCAAGTTCCTACATTGCGAAAGGTGCCTTTCGGACATTTTTCACTGTTTTCATAAAAATATTTTCAGTCGGAATTGCCCAGCAGCGAGGAAATTTTAGACATTCTTCCACTGGACTTGTCGATCGGTCACTAGAATATATAATTTTTACGTTTTTGAATTCTGTTCATTTTTATTTTCTGCCATTCACTTCAACATTGATACCTCTCATATTGAATAAATGAAAAATACAAAAGTAATACCTTCGCTAGAAAGGCTTTTTTGGGTGATATTCGTCAACTAGTTCAGCTTAGCATATTATTTTCTCGGCTTAAGTTAATTTTGCCAAATTTTTTTTCAAAAAATTTCCCAATTCAGCGAGAAACTAAAAAATCTTCTTTTCAGAAAATCGTATTTTGAATTCGACGAAGATGGTGATGGATCCATCGTTCGAGCCTGGAAAGCTCTATCCAAAGCCGAAGCAGCTGACTCACGCTGAACGGCGGCGGATGGAAGCGGAAGTGCCCAAGAAACTGAGCCGCAGCGAAGCGAGGGAGAAAAAAGAACTCGAAGAGGCGCGAAAAGACGGAACGGCGCAGCCAGAAAAGGATGAAAAGGGCGAAATTATTAATCCACACATTCCAAGCTACATCGCCAGCGTTCCATGGTACATCGACAAGGAAAAGAAACCGTCGCTCTCGCATCAGCACAAACCAAAGGAATGGAGTTATGATTTGAGGAAAGTTTAGCTGAAGACTTTTCTGGCTTTAGGTGTTCAAGTCGAGCTCAGTTGGAACTGGTTTCTGATTCAAACTGAGAGATTAGCCCGGCTCAGTAAGGTCAAACTAATCTGAGCTAGCTCAAATTAGGCTGCGCGAGAATTGAGCTCAAGGCTAGCTCCAGATCAACCTCGGACAATTGATTAGCAAGCTCAAGACGTGCAGGCTCAAATAATTTGAGCTAGCTCAAAATGAACTGAGCTCGCTCAAATTCAGCTTCGCTATTTCAAATTGAGCTGAGCGGGCTCAAACTGAGCAGATTTACCTCGAATTCAACTAACTGGCCGAGACTTGAGTCTTGAGCGAATTCCGCTCAAACTTTACTTGGCTCAGACTGAGCTGACCTACGATAGTCCGATTACTATTCTAACTTAGAATTTCTAAGGAATGCTCTAGCTCAGGTTTCGAGCTGGCTCAGCTCGCTCAGCTCGATTCAAAACCTAACTCTCTCAAGGACTCGCTCAAACACACGATCGGAGACTGGTACCACCGAGGAATGCCCGCTCAAAAATCCTCCACTCGTTTTCGAAAAGGCGCTTGTGAAAATTGCGGCGCAATGACGCACAAGAAAAAGGACTGTCTCGAGCGGCCGCGAAAACGAGGAGCAAAATGGACGGGAGAAGACATTGCACCGGACGAATATATTCAGCCGAACTTGGAGCTTGGTTTTGAGGGAAAACGAGACAGGTGGAATGGATACGATCCGGCTAGACACCGCTTTGAAGTTTTTGAAGAGTATCAGAAGATTGATATTGCCAGAAAAGCCATCAACGCTCAGAGGTAAGAAAGAATTTGAAGCCAAAATTATAATTGTCAAAATGTCATTTCCCAAAACTTAAAAATTGCCCAGCACATCTCTGTAAATGGTTTTTGATGACGCGGTAAGAAACTAGCCTCTCTCTCTCTGCGAGAGCTGGCATTTTCAATCTTGATAAGGAGCACCTTGTTTGACTATTTCTCGGTTTGAGCGGGACTTTTAGCTCCCTCTTTTGGCTATGTTTGCCTATAAATACGGATTTGCCCGTCGTAATAAAACACTGTTGAATTCCCGATATGTTTTTATAAAATGTTGCATCAAACTTTGAATCGCCGACAATTGGTAAAAGTCCTATGATTTTACTTGAATTAATCTGTATTTCTTTATACTTTTGATCTGTGTAAAGAGTCTTTCCTAAAAAGTACCTAAAAAGGTATTATATTTTCTGTTGACAGAATTTTAATAAATATGAATTGAATTTCTTAGAAGTAATTGAGATAAAAAATAATCAGAATATTCTTTTTACAAAAAAAGAATGATTAGAATTTATCGGCTATAAATTTATTTCAGGCTTCAAAATGAAATCGAATCTGGCACAATCGACGAGTCCTTACCTGAGCACAAAGACGACGACAAATACGACGAAGACGAAGTGAAAATGCACAACCAAATGAACGTCGACCAGCGTCAAACTGTCTCCGTCCGAAACCTGCGAATCCGAGAAGATACTGCCAAATACCTGCGTAATTTGGACCCTGAATCTGCCTTTTACGATCCAAAGACAAGATCCATGCGTGAAAATCCTTATGAAAAGACTGAAAAGGCAAGTTTTAATTTCTCCATTCATTTGGGTTTTATTTAATTTCCAGGGAACAGACGAAGTCGATTTCGCAGGAGAAAACTTCGTTCGCCACACTGGCGAGTCTGTCGATTTCGCCAAGGCGCAGGTCTTCGCCTGGGACGCGATGGACAAGGGAGTCGACGTTCATTTCCAAGCGGAGCCGACCAAGGCCGCCGTCTTGCGCAAAACATACACGCAGAAGAAAAAGGATCACTCGCAGAAATTGAAACAGTCGGTTTTGGACAAATACGGAGGAATGGAACACTTGAAGGTCAGTTTTTACTATTTTAGGTATTTTATTTTTGAGGATGGAGTGGAATATTTGATGAATCTTGGAATGGTGTTTTAACATTTTAAATATAAAATTATTCAATTTTTTTCATAAATTTGAGAGCTTTTTTTTTAGGAATGAAGGTGGTGACGGGTAATGGAAACTTTGTCTTATATCGGCTTTTTCATTTTATAAAAATATATCAAGAACAATTTTGTGAAATTCGTTAAATTATTGAATCGTTTCATTAGCTAGAGAGTTTTTATGGGGAGTTTTTGGTTAAAAACTTTAGATTATACCCGTATCTTCGGTGTTTTTTCGGAGATAAATGACAGTTACTTCATTTTATAAGTTCTTCAAATTTCGGAGACATAGACGAGATTTTCTATAATTTCACTCATTTTTTCATTTTTTTTCTCGATTTATATTTGCGCCCCTCGCGGAGCAATAAAACAAACGTTTAGGCGCCGCCAAAAGAGCTGCTCCTCGCGCAAACAGAAAACTACGTGGAATACTCGCGAACCGGCCAGGTCATAAAAGGCCAAGAACGAGCCAAAATTAAGTCTCGTTACGAAGAAGACGTCCTCATCGGAAATCACACGGCCGTTTGGGGCTCTTTCTGGGACGCTGGCGACTGGGGCTACAAATGTTGCAAGTCGACGGTCAAGAACTCTTACTGTATCGCCAATAAGGAAGGAAAGAGTTGTGAATTTTCAACTCTTGCTAAGCTGCAGGCTAAGCTAAGCTTATTTTTTTCTGAAGAAGCGGCGCTTTCCCAAGCTTCGGTCAAATATTTCATTTTAGTTTAGCTATGCTAGCTTAGCCAGTTTCATATTTGATCCTTTTCGATGGGGAAAAGCTTAGCCAAAATTTTACTCTACTTAGCTTTGACAAAAAATAATTAATTATCAATAAAAGCTAAGCTTAGCTTAGACCTAACGATGTTGATTCAAATTATTTCAGAAAGAAAATCATGCATTATCTAAGCTAATTTTTGGCTTTGCTAAGCTTAAGCTTGAACACAAAAAATAGTAGCTCAGCTTTCCTTATTTTAGCTTAGGTCTAATAATACATTTCCAGCTTAGATTTGCTTAGCTCAAGAGAAAACCGCCCAGCTAAGCACAGCTTAGCCTTTTTTTTTTATCTCAGCTTATCTAGCTTTTTTTTGAAAAATTTTCAACTCATGAAAAGGGCGAAAAGGATCAACAGAATCGAATGCGATCGAAATGGCTCCCCCAAAACTCGTCCCGCAAATCATCAAAAGCGAAGAAGCGAATCCCAAATCAGATTCTTCCAGCGACGATTCTAGCTCTAGTTCTAGTTCTGAAAGCGAAGACGAAAACGCAGGAAAGTCGTTGATGGAAATTCACCAGGAGAAGCAAAAGAGCAAAAAGAAAATGTCAAAAAAAGAGAAGAAAAAAGCCAAAAAAGTAAGTCGAAGATTTACCTTTCAAAAGCGCTAGAAAAATTGCTAGAAAGCGAAAAAAGAGGCGAAGAAGGCGAAGAAGGACGCGGATAAAAAACGAGAACAAGATATTGAAGACGCTATTCGAAAAGAACGGGAGAGAATCAAAGAGGTAAAACATCAAAAAAAGGGGCTTGAGATCAAGAACTCATTCTTCAGGTTGACAAATTTCTGGCGACAGACGAGAGGAAGCGCAAGTACAACTCAATGGAAGCTGTATCTGAGCCCTCCGAAGCCGAGCTCGAAGCGTTCAAACGAACTCGCGTCAATCGAGCCGATCCAATGGCGAATTTCTTGTCGAAATGAAAATTCCTTCTGTTACTGCCTGTTCGTTTAACAAATTTTAAAATTTAACATGTTCAAAAAGAAAAAAACACAAATAAAAAGTCAGCAAAATCTTCAGATTCCATGTCGTTCCTGCGTTCTTTTTCGAGAGTAAATTCTCTGGTACTCAAAAGAGCGTCCTCAAACAGTAAATTTGTCCTGGGACAAGTTGTTGATGGAAAATTAGTGGAGCATATTTTCGAGGTACTTTTAGTCTGGGGTCGGCATCGGTGCACGGTGCCCGGGGCACGTGCCCCGCCGCGCTGCCCCGAATGCCCCGTTTTTTACAACGGGGCGGGGCGGGGCACCGATTGTGGGGTGCCCCGTTGTGCCCCGCTTCACTATTTTTGGCAAAATTGACGTTCTAGAAATGGATTTGTCGCTCATTTTCGAAAAACTGTCTCAAAATTTGAAGATTTTTTTCTTGAAAATAATGATTTCTATTATCGAGGCCGTTTTCGAACCCTTAAACACTATCAAAAAAACTTTTAGAAGCCTTTTGGCTATCGAAAATCTGAAAAATTTGCTTAAAACTGTGGTGAAAACGGGGCACTCGGGGAACACGGGGCACGCGGGGCGGGGCGGGGCACGAGCTTCGGTAAATAACAACGGGGCGGGGCGGGGCGGGGCACCATGATTCGAGGCACCGATGCCGACCCCAGCTTTTAGTCTGATTGCTAATAACAAACCAAAAGCAAAACCCAAAAGTACCCATTTTAACGCGCCAATCTTTCTGGTTGCCATTTGAACAGATTTAACATTTCTCAAAAGGGTCTACTTTTCTATGTTAAAAACAGACTACAGCAGTATTCGCGCGTTAAATTGAGAACTCTCTATTTTGCTTGATCATAAAAAGTACTCTTCCTTGATTTCAATCGCGATAATCTAGTTCCATTTCTTTTTTTCTGATAAAAAGATCAGACCTTGAACTTCAATTCAGGAAAAAGAAGTGAAAAGCCTCTTATCATCAGTTGTCGAAGCTTCCATCGACGGAGAGCTTCACTATATCTTCCCCTACCCAGCTCGAAAACACCTTGGAACTCAGGAAGGAACAATCATCAGTCTCCGTCGAACTCCAAAAGGTCATCTTCGAGGACTAGTCCAAAGCAGCAGCGATGGGAAAAGCTACAGATGGAGTCCGAAAGACAATCCTAGCGCCCTCAAGTGGCAAAATTGCGAACCCTACAAATCAAAGCTTTATTCTTTCGATCTTTTTGAATGTTCTCTTTCTGGAAAATTTACTGTTAAAAATTTGGAATTAAAAACGGCCGCTTCTTAGATTCCCTTTTGACTGCTCCGCTCAGCGTTTCCATAGTGTAGTGGTTATCACGTTCGCTTTACACGCGAAAGGTCTTGGGTTCGATCCCCAATGGAAACACGTTTTTGAAAGCACTAGAATCGATTTTTTGATTGCCGTAATTATGTTTTAGTAAATGAGATGGTTAGGGTGCGTGAGGCGAGTCCGATGGGTGCAGATGAGAGGATACAGTAAACTCGAACAGTACCTCTTTGAGAACTACAAAGATCATCACTTTTGCCAATTCAATGGAGGAGACGGTGGAAAGGAACAGTTTTGAAATTCTGCCTTACAAAAATGTAGATTTTCGAATCTTTCTTATAGATTTTTATTCAATTTTAATGTCTATTTTTTTTCGAAATCATATAACAATCAACAGTCGTAATAATCCTCATAACTGCGGTAATAGTTAGGGGCTCGAACGCATCGATGAGCCTTGCTTTCGACTTCCTCAAAAGCATTATTTCTAAAAAGAATATAACAACTTGAAATTTACCTGTATTTTTTCGTAAGCCGAGGTCAAATTCATTTTCAGCTCAGCGTATTGCTCGGTTATTTCTTCAAGCGCCATCGTGAGGTTCAAAATCGAATCTTTCATTGTTCGGAAGATGTTTTTCTCTTCCACTTTCTCTTCATCCTTTTTAAAAAGTAGGCTTTGAAAGTATAATTGAAGCTGACCGTTTGATAACATGGGCATTTCCGAAGAGTATATTGTAAATGAGCATCACAGTCCCTGGCACAATCTATCGTTGACCCTTCTTCATCGTCCTCTTCTTCCTCTGCAAGTTGAACTCCCACCATGTCGGCGAAAAACTCAACCGCCACATCCTTGAAATCGTCCAAAGTGACGGTGACGTTGCAAGAGTGAACGTAGCACATTTCGCGGAATTTGCGCGCTAAATCAGATATTATCCTCCAAAACGGTTTTCCCTAGAATTAAGAATTATGAATACCTTTCAACACGCAAGCATCTCGTTTTTTTATCCATTTTTCTTCGTGACAAACATCCACGCAAGTTGGTAGATCTCAAAGAAAATATTTCATACGATCATATAATCCAATAAACCTGGAGAGCATACTGCTGGGGGACGTTTTCCGAGTACCAAACCAAAAAGTAAAATACTATCGTATAAATTCATTGTCCACTATCTCTGCCGAATACTGTTAAACCTGTAAAATAGATCAGAATGGTAACATAAGCTTTCGTCGATAGTGCAAAGGCGTTGTGTGAAAATCTTTCAAGTCAGCTGACAAAATATTAACAACTACAACTACTTAGTTAAAACTGTTTCAAAGGGCGCTGTCTATTTCTCCCGCGACGCTCAAAATGCTTACATGGGACCAACCGGCGGCAATGGCGGTCGAGGAGGAAACATCTGGTTGCGCGCCTCTTCCAAGCTCTCTTCCCTCACTCATCTCAAAGAAATCTACACAGCTCAAGACGGCAGAAACGGCGGAAAAGACCATCAATACGGAAGAAACGGGAAAGATCTAACAATCGAGGTGCCAATCGGAACTTTGGTGAAAAACGCGCAGGGAAGCGTCATCGTCGATCTAGTCAACAACGGCGACGGGTTTTTAATCGCTTCTGGAGGAGCCGGCGGCTTCGGAAACAAAGAATTTGCGAATGTCGACAATCCAACGCCCAGAAATGCGCTGCCGGGAGAAGAAGGCGAAATCGTCAACGCGGAAATTGAGCTTCGATCAATTGCTGATTTTGGCCTCGTCGGTTTGCCGAATGCTGGAAAGAGCTCGCTGACGATGACGATTACAAATACCGACTTGGAAGTTTCTGACATTCCTGGGACGACGCTGATTCCTCATCTCGGCCATCTAACTTATCGCGACAAAGTGAGCTTGTCGATTGCTGATTTGCCCGGAATAGAGCCAGATCAGGTTAGGGTTGCAAATTTTCTTCCGCTCAAGCTCCGCTCTAATTTTCCGCTCGAAATTTGCAACCCTAAAAAAGCCAAGAGCGACTCGATTTCTCCAGCACTGTGCCAGATGCGTCTCCCTAATTTATCTCATCGATGGCGACGATTTCCACGAACAACACGCGGTAGAGCAGTTTTATACAATCAGAAAACACTTGGCAGATTATGACGCGAAGATAAACGCGGAAGTCAGGGAGCTAGAACTGGCAAAGTCGCAATTTCAAGACCGCTTCGATTCTAGCAGCTTCGACGAAAAGGACGAAAGATACTCTTCTCTGGCAGAAAAGCCGTTTATCGTCTGCATTTCTAAAGCAGACCAGCCTGGAAACGAGTACCGAGCGAAAATGCTCAACGATGAATTGAAAAATTTCGAAGATAAAGCGCTTTACTACCCGAAAGTGCTGGAAACGTCGGCGAAGGATTTAACTGGCTGGTCGGTGCTGCAGTTTTTGTTGAGAAAGATGAAGGAGGATTTGTCGCAAAATTATTCAGGAAAGGGGATAATCGTTTTTAAAAAACTATCTATCAGTTTAATTTGAATTAAATTTTGATTGACATACAAATAATTCCGTTACAGATTCACTTTACTGGTCCTAAAAGCGAAAATCCTTCATTTCTTCAAAATATCCATTCTTCCAGCGGCGCTACTCTTCCAGCGCGGCGGAGGACCTCCTCGCCGAATCCTCCGGCGCAGCGCTAACTTTGCGCACGTGTGGGAAAGCGCGCGTAGGCGGCCTAGTGAAATCTTTTTCAAATGAAGAAAATTGCCATTTATTTTCCTCTTTTTTCACGATTAGAGACTTTTTCGCCTTCAAAATTTTAGCTGAATTTAGAATAATCTTTCAGAGACAGATTTCCACAAGAATGCTTTACAAAAGCGCGAAATAAAAGAGAATTTCTTTCAGATTGATCCATCGGATTTCTAACTATCAAAAATGAAGTACCTCCACCACTCCCAGGAAGTCACCGTCGATGCCGCCTGCACCGTTGAGGTCAAGGCCCGAATCGTCAAGGTCACCGGTCCCCGAGGCTCCCTCGAGAAGAACTTCCGACATCTTAAGGTAACTCTTCCCTTATTTCTGGACAAACGGTTTCGAATCAGACCCAGTAACCAATTATGAAATCATCGAGTGGGGCTTGCTAGAGGTGATGAACTCCAAGAGAAATTCTAGAGGTCACGTATCGTACCTCAGTAGAGCAATTTTATTAAGCCGACCAGCTAAAACGGGTCTTTTCTGATTTTCTCGAGCAAAAACCCTTGGTTGCGCAAACAACATGACCTCTAGAACTTCTCACCACATTCTACACCACCACCAAAGCCTACCCTTCAATTCCATTCTTGACAACAAAAGCTCATCTCTTCCCCTTTAACCTTCTTTTACAGGTCGAGATGAAGCAGACCGGTCCCCGATCGATCTTGGTCGAGAAGTGGATGGGTTCCTCCAAGGACCGAGCCGCCGTCCGAACCGTCTGCTCCCACATCTCCAACATGAGCAAGGTACGTTCTCCAGTCGAAAACCATGATAAGTGGGGTCCACTTGTCTTCCCTAAGACCCAATCTACTTTAGGGTGTCACTCTCGGTTTCCGATACAAGCTCCGATCCGCCTACGCCCATTTCCCCATCAACTGCGCCGTCGTCCAGGGAGGTGCCGTCCTCGAAGTCCGAAACTTCTTGGGTGAAAAGTTCCTCCGCGTCGTCCCCATGGCCGAAGGCGTCACCGTCGAAATCTCCAAGGAAATGAAGGATCAGCTCTACGTCTCCGGAAACGACATCGAAGCCGTCTCCAAGTCCGCCGCTCGAATCCAGCAGTCCACCACTGTCAAGAACAAGGATATCCGAAAGTTCTTGGACGGCATCTACGTCTCCGAGAAGACCACCATCGAGCAGCCTGCTGATGAATAAGTTCCTTTGAGACTGCTTTTTGACAACTTTGAATTTTGGAGATTTTTTTAAAATCAATAAACTTGGAGGTTGGAAAAGTCCTTTTTTGTCGTTTCTTTTGTTTTTGGCCAAATTTTTTGCAGAAGTTAGCGGGTTTACGGTTGAAAAACCTGAGTCAGGTTCTGAGAGATCCTCGATGAGAAGCCCTGAGCTCGGCAACCTGTGTAGAAAACCTGAGTCAGGTTCTAAAGAGTAAGAGCAATTTGGAATGGTTATTTCGCGAAGCCGCTTTGCGGCTTTGTCCTTAGAAAAAGCCGCTATGCGGCTTTTCAGTTCTACTCTTGAGAACCTGACTCAGGTTTTCCGAACACCTTGCGAATCATTTTTGAAAGGATTCCATGGAGAAAAGCTTAATTTTGCACTTTTGTCTCTTCAATTTCCCTAGCCAATCAGATCTTTCGATGAGTAATCCCTCAAACGGCCTCTAGAATATCAGAAACTTTCAATTTTCGCAGAATATCTTCAGTTTTTCCCGCAATTTTCGAGAAATTCGCAAATAGGAAAAATCGAGCGGCAAGAATGGCGAAAATCGCGCTCATTGGCTGACCAATCGCGGCGAAAATTTGCCCTTCGAATTCGCACTAAAAAGAGACAGCCGAAATTCGCTAGAGAAACTTCATTTCTCGTCATTTTCAGAAGATCAATTTTCATTTTACTCGATAATGAGTTATTTTATCAATTATTTCTAGAATTAAGTTTTGGGTTTATATTTTGGGAAAACAAGATTGTTTTTGATTAGTGCGATTTTCAAGTTCTTGAAATTCAGAATGTTCACTCGTCAAATCGTCAACTCGGCCCGCGCCTTCGTCTACGCCCCAATCCCAACTTACGGCATTGCTGGTTCTTACGCCGCTGCCCTTTACTCCGCCGCCAAGAAGGGTGGTGACCAGGTTAGATCGTCTTTTTTTGAATTATTTTTGGTTTCGATCTGAGTTTTTTTTCGAAATCGACCACGGGAACCTGTGTAAAAGCCTGAGTCAGGTTCTGAAATATCGCAAAAATATAAAGATTGGTAGAAAAGTCAATTTTGCGTAGTCGCGTAAAAAAGCCGCTACGCGGCTTTTCATCAAAGATATTTCTGACCCTGACTCAGGATATTTACACAGTGTACCCATTCCAGGCAGCTAGTGAGTTTTTATCAACGATCGGAGACTAAACGCTGCGGATTTCCAGCTTTCTCGACGATTTTTGGAATAATTTTTTTGAAAATTAAACTCAAATATTCTCAACAAGGAGAAATTGAAAATTAAATAAAAAATATCGAACACGAAATCAGATCCTCATCCCTCTCTCTAGGCTGGTGTCCAGGCCGATGTCCAGAACGTCGCTGCTGCTTTCGCCGCCAAGCAGGAAGTCGCTGACTTCTTCGCCAACCCCTGCATCTCCGCTGGCCAGAAGATCTCCGCCCTCTCCGCCGTCGGTGGAGAAGCTGGCTTCTCCCAGACCACTGTCGGTCTCTTCGAGGTACATTTCTATATTTTCCTTCCATTCTTTTCTTATTTTTCAGGCTCTCTGCGAGAACAACCGAATGAACCTTTTCTCCGAAGTCGCCGAGGTCTACGCCCGAATCCTCCAGGCCGAAGCTGGTGAAGTCCCAGTTGAGATTGCCTCCGCCATCGAGCTCACTTCCGAACAGGTAAAAAAAATGACTCTAAATCCGGTCTTCTCGACTCGGGGAGGCGAAGCCCTCTCATTAGAGCCTCTCATTAGAGCCTCTCATTAGATGGATGGTTTTGAAGGCTCCTTCAGGGTTTTCGACCCCTTCATTGGGGGTGCTTTTGGGGAAGATAGGCCGAAGGGTTGAAGTGCATCATAAGGGGATCATATTGGCACTTTGCTTTCTAATTGTAATAATAAACCCTAATTTTAGAAAGAACTCGTGCCCAGGTTAGGGTTTGGGCCCCAATATTAGGGGAGGAAATTACGCCAAAACCTCACTGATTAACCTTCCTCTCTTCAGAAAGCCGAAGTCGCCGAAGCCGTCGCTTCCATGCTCGGAAACCAGACCCCCGTCATCTCTTCCTCCGTCGACAGCTCCCTTCTCGGTGGCATGACCGTCGCTCTCGGAGACAAGTACACCGACATGAAGGTAACCAACTCCATCTTCAACCCTTTCTTCATCTAATTCTAGTTCATCGACATGTCCGTCGCCAACAAAGTCAAGAAATACACCGATCTCCTCCGACAGAACGCCTAAGTTCGAAAAGCTCCCTCCATCTGTTCAAGTTCAACAAAGAAACCATCTTTTTGGGCCCTTTTTGGATCCTCTAATTTCCACTAACTTATTTCAAAAGCAGCCCCGATCATGTTTTGCTTCTTGCGATGTAGGACAAATTTATTTATTACCAAGATCAAATCTTGTTTTCAATAAATCGCCGAAATTCAATTTTAATCTTCGTTTTTTTTAATGTTTATTTACAGAAAAAAATGGAGAGAAAAAGTCCTACCAATCGTTGAGCGTTGAGGATTTGATTCTTGGAACTTCTTCCTTTGTTCCATTTTTATGCACGTTGTAGCCTTCAATTTCGGATAATTGAATGGTATCTAAGGCAGATCTTACCAATTATCGTTCCAATGACGGACCCAATCAGTACATCGTGCAAATGGTGTTGATGGTCACGAACTCTTGACCCCGCGCAAACGGCAGGAAATGTATACATCATTGCAAATATCATCGGCCGAAAAAGTTCAGGCGTGACATCGGCAACAAGAAAGAACAGAAACGTAAAAATCCCGAACGAATGGGCCGCGTGACCTTAAATTTCTATCGCATGTTTTTCACTTTTTTTCTCACCGCTGGGGAAAGACATGAGTCCTCCAATAACTTGGGTCGGGTTTTCGTTTGGGCAGGAGCTGACGACGATTTCGGCATTTGGATAAATCGAGCTGTTGTAGTTCATGATCTCGTAGCCTTAAAACTGGGTTTGGCAACCTGTGTAGAAAACCTGAGTCAGGTTTTGAAGACCTTAAATGACGCGGCTTTTCATTTAAACTCTTCAAAACCTGACCCAGGTTTTCTACACAGGTTGCCAAGCCGAGCCTTAGAAAAGTGACGGATTTTTCAGGCACAGTCTGTTTTTTTTTACCCGAAAGAGCAACTTGAGCAGATGATTTTGGCCCATCAAAGCATCGGTGAAGAAAGTTCGGTCTCGGTTCAGCAACAGTAAATTTCAAAGCAGTGACAAGAAAGCAGATTATAGGCGGCACGGTTCCATAAGCCATGATAAATTGCGGAGTAGAAAGTCTAGAGAAGTCGATTTCCAGCGAGGACACTCGTCTTTTTACCTGTAAGAACGGACAAAAGCAAGCAAGAGAATGTGAATAACCGGGCCAGTGCAAATAAGAATCGTCCAGATTAACCAGTCTGGGATCATTTCTGTCGCGATTTTTGGATAGCTGTAGTTGGGAATGTCCGCGAAGGGGATGGAAATTGTGTCGGGGAAGGGGTTGATGCTGAAGAGCTGCCAGCCGAACTCGAGAAATGCCATTGAAAGCCATATGAATATGAAATACGTTATCTAAAAATGGAAAATAGCAATCTTCTCTATTATGAAAATAACTAGGTGGGTCGAGGAATTGGTGGATTAAAATAGGGTCCCCATATTCTGGGATCGGCAACCTGTGTAGAAAACCTGAGTCCGGGTCAATAACGGCCATTATTAATGGCCCATTAACAAAAAGCCGCGGCTCTTTATTTAAGCTCTTCAGAACCTGACTCAGTTTTCAACGCAGGTATAATTTTTTATACTTACTTTGAGACCTGTCATTTGAAACTTGCAATTCGGCCGGCTTCTATTATTCTTAGCAATTTTCTTTGAAAGACAAACCATCAGCAAAGTCAGTAATTTCTCTTTCTAGAAACTTCAGCAAAAAAAAATTCTGCTCGTTTGCGAAACTCCTTTTTTATTAATACCAACGTATTCGCTTGCCTATTATTTGCTCTAAAGCCGTGAAAGGCAAAGAAAGCTCATGGACGCTGAGCGTATCTTTGATGCGATTGTATAGCATACACATAAAATATATAAGCTCATGAGTGGCAAATCAAATAGTTACACGCTGTATTTTAGAACTCGTGACGCTCATTTATTCTTTCTTTGTTCCCCAAAAGAGCTTCTTCAAAAGATGCTCGTAAATTCTACAAGAACAGATAGAAAACCATCAGGGTCAGCATATCCCGCTTCTTTGTCCATAGCATCAGATATAGAAAGAAACTAGAAGTTATGTTAAATTATTGACGGAGAGGCCTTTTACCTTGGAAAAGCCCCAGTCAGAATTTGTCGAGGAGAACTTTTTATTTGAAATTGTCTTTGTTTTTTGAGGAAGACGTCTGTCGTTTGGGATTAGTCGAATTGTGAAGCTGACTTTCTGTGGCTAAAGAAGCTTATCAATCGTAATTGAATTCACCCTCAATTTTTTGGCTAAGAAAACTGTGTCGAAAACCTGACTCAGGGTACAAAGAATAGATGGAAGCGACAATTTCGGTTCTCGTTTTAAAACAAGCCGTCTGCCTGACTCAGGTTTTACACAGCTTCCGATCCAAGCCCTACATATGGTTCAGAAGGAACTGCAACGTAGCAACCTAAATACGAGTCTCTTTTTGTCCGAGTTCTAGCTTTGTCTTCGCTTGAAATAATATTTGCTAGCTAGAACATTTCCTTGAAATGACTATAACTTGAAAAGTGTAGCCATCAGCAGAATAGCACATGGACTTGGCAGGCGACTTGTCTTCCGAGACCTTGAACTCGAAGTTGATCTCAAGCGGGTTTGAGAGGAATTCCATGAAGCGAGTCAACATAAGTCTGTGTGCCAGATCTTTGTGCGTCTCTTTGACTTGAAGCATTGTCCCGAAGCTCTGAAGATACATCAAAGGGATGTGGTCGTCGTGAGTCAACTCGCCGTTCCAGTAGTTTTCATTGTCGATTTCAGACTGTAAATAGTCAGATTAGCAATCTTTTTTAAGATCGGCTTCTTACCAAAAGCCATTTCAAGTCCATTTTCGTGAAGAAATCTTGATATCTTCCGTGTTTCGAGCTTTCCTTCAATCTCAAGAAAAGATCTCCAATAGCAGGGTCGGTCAGGTGATCTAAAATTTCCGATAATTCTTCAAAAAATCATCTTTACCAAAAGCGAAAAGGATTCCAACCCACAACCGAGGATTTTTCGTGCTGCATTCAAAAAGCGTATTTCCAATTACTTTTATAATTCGATCGGCTTGGAGAAAAATCGAAAACTGGAAGAGCTTGACCAGCTCAATCGGCTGTAATTTGCATGGAACCCCGTAGCAAACGTCCAAAAAGGACTTCACGAGCGCCTTAGGCTTGCCCAACTCGATCTTGTTATCTGCTATTGCTTTCGAAGAGTCTTCAAAGTGAGAATTTCGGAGAAATCGAGCGATGTACGACGAAGAAAATGTCAATACCGCCTTGTCCGCGAATTCCGATCCGTCGAGACAAACGATCTCTACTTCTCTGCACTGCCCATCGAGATAGTCTCTGGTCAACCCGACTGGCACGAAATCGGCAAAGCTCAAAGTTACTTTCGACAAATCCATATTTTCGCTGCGGCTCATTTTCTTCGTTGACTTCATTTCGCTATTTGGAAAATTTATGTCGTGAACGCTTTGTTTTTTTGAAGAATCATAAATAATTGATAAATGCACTTCAAATTCTGAAGACATTTTTTATCGCTTTGCGCTAGAATTTTACAGTTTTAATTATTTTGAAATTGGGGCCATGTGAAATTTTCAATAAAAAAATCTTATGTTCCATTCCGATCATTGTCATCATTCTGCGACAAAAAATTTGCCGAGTTACGTAATGACGTCGGCTTAGAAGGCTTCTATCTATAGCACGGAGCTTGTTAACCCGATACAAGGATGACTTCTTCTGGATAAGGAGCGATCTGTCTGCGTGTTGAATTGCAATTTATTAGAAAAAGCATTTTTCTATATGGCAAGAGAGAGAGCTCAGCAAAAATATTGTGCCAAATTGTGGCGCTCTCTATCGGCTTCTCTTTTCTATAAATACCGTTCTTGAACTTGATTTAAATATCTCCAAAAAGATCGAAACTTCTTGATAAAATGAAGGTAGGACGGACCAAGTTTCATAGAAAATAAATTTCTGTTTAGTTTTTTGCTTCATTACTTTTCACAGCTGCTCTCGCCAAAACAGAGGCTTCGGCAAATGCCTGGGCTAAAATCGACACTGCGTACAAGAAGCTCTGGACAGATGTGTGGACCGCATATGCCCACACCACCACTAACCCCGATAAAGAAGCAAATCGTCTTCGTAGATTTTTCAGAAAAGCAGAAAATTTGACCGTTCGTGCTGAAGATGCATGCTCGGAATACGCTGGTTCTGGAGAACCAAACGACTTCATCCCACCATACTACGACAGCGATAATTTTTGCCATTCGCTCAATAACTTCTTTGTGTCCATTCAGAGCTACCAACACGCCTTCGTCTGCAGAGACGGGATCAATTCAACAAGCCACGGGTCTTTTATAAGTTTTTCTACTATCATTTCGTAAACGCTCCAAAGATACGGGATAGGAGATAGTTCAAGGCTTTTATATAAAGCAACATTTAAAGATCACGATTAAGCAAATTATATCCAGCAAGAATGATCAAACGAATTAAATGGAAACAAAAATATCTGATGACGAAGAAATTTCAGCAGCTTAAATGCGATTATCCAATTGTCCCAACTTTACCGCCGAGGACCACATCAACGACAACTACAACGTCGACCACAACTACAACCACGACCACAACTACAACTTCAACTACAAAAACAACCACAACTACAACATCCACCACAACTACAACTACAACTCCCCTTGCTCTGACCCTTGCGATGGAGTCGAACACTGCTTCAATATTGTCAACGGATGCGCCATCGCCCCTGCCCAAAATAATCTCCTCGCGACCGTGCCAGCTGCTTTGGGCTACAAAGCCTCTGCTGAAGTTTTCTGCGACCATAGCGCGCCACTTAACTCGGAATACACGACCATTCTTCGGCTCGGTGCAGCCAACGATTACGGCGAACCCGGCGACCGGACTTTTCTTCTTATGCGAGAATATAATGGCAATCGGATTAAGTTTGCAATCAATCATCCAGACAATGCTCCGACTTGGGCCCATCAGATATACACGGATGTCACTTGTACTGACGGGCAATGGAGCACCTACACAGTCGAAGTCACGGATGCTGGAAACGGACAAGTCAACTACGTCGCGAGTGTCGACGGAAGCCCCGTTATGGAGGGAAGTTATGCCTCGAGCGGATCGAAAACAACCGGCAATCTGACAGCATACGTCGCTGACAATTACCAAGCAGGCCCTGCTTCTGCCTACAGAGTCAGAAACTTCTTTTACCAAACATCGACTACACCATCGACGACATCATCGACTACAACCACAACTACAACAACAACTACAACTACAACAACAACTACAACCACGACCAGAACAACTACTACAACCACGACCACAACAACTACTACAACCACGACCACAACAACAACTGAGCCAACATCACCTCCTTGCGAGACAGACCCATGCGCTGACCTTGAAAACTGCCAGACCATTGTGAATGGCTGCATGATTTCGCCAGTGAAAAATAAGCAACTTGGCACCGTCTCCGCCGCTGTTAACTACAAGTTTTCCGCTGACGTTCTTTGCACTCACCCGTCAAAGCCGCATGCTGGCTTAGGAAACATCATTCATGTGACTGCGGGAGGAAATAGCGGAAATGCAGGTGATCGAATCTTCGCACTTTGGGGATTTGGCAACGAGAATATCTTTTACTACGCTGTTGAGCATGCTGAAGGAGATATTAAGTCGAAGGAGGGAGTACATGATTGCGTTCAAGGCTCTTGGAACACATACGCAGTCGAAGTAAGACAAACCGATGGAAACCCTCACGCTGTGCGATATGTCGTTAGTTTCGATGGTAAACAAATCGCCGAAGGAACGTATAATCATGCAGACACCGTGACGACTGGTGATCTTCAGGTTTACGTGTCTGATGACTGGTATGATGCAGGATCGTCATTTTCCGTCCGGAATTTCTTCTACCAAACTTTTTTGCCTGCTTGCGCCGTTGATCCATGTGATGGGAAAGAAAATTGTCACACCATCGTCAACGGATGCGACATCGCCCCTTCCGAAAATAATCTCCTCGCGACCGTTCCAGCTGCTTTGGGCTACAAAGCCTCAGCTGAGGTGTTCTGTGATCATAGCGCTCCACTAAACTCGCAATTCACGACTGTTCTTCGGCTCGGTGCAGGCCCCGATTACGGCGAAGCCGGCGACCGGACTTTTCTTCTTATGCGAGAAACGAGTGGCAATCGAATTATTTTTGCAATCAATCATCCAGGTGATTCGGCTCATCAGCAATACACGCACATCACTTGCACTGATGGGCAATGGAGCACCTACACAATCGAAGTCACGGATGCTGGAAACGGACAAGTCAACTACGTCGCAAGCGTCGACGGAAGCCCCGTTATGGAGGGAAGTTACGCCTCGAGCGGATCGAAAACCACCGGCGATCTGAAAGCATACGTCGCTGACAATTACCAAGCAGGCCCTGCTTCTGCCTATAGAGTCAGAAACTTCTTTTACCAAACTTATTAATTGTTACATGTTACATGTATTCATTCTGCTAATTTCTCTTAGAGGCTCAAAGTTTGAGCCGATGATTCATTTCTCCCTTCACTGTTACCCCGGTTAGGATATCTACGATATAACATTGGTAAATTGATCATCTTTGTGATCATCAAATTTGAATTTTTTATTGAGATTCTACTTTTCTCTTTCGAACAATCATTAAATAACAAAAAAATGCCCGAAGATAGGAATCAGAATGATATAAATTTGACAGGAAGTGGCAGAGAGCCTTGTCCAGAGCGGCGTTGGGTGTTGACACTATCGATCTGCAAATTCTATTGCAGCTTTGCGGAGTGCTATGAATAACTTATGCAGCGAAAACAGAGGCTCTCTCTCTCTCTGAAGACGGGTCATTCCCATGTGCTCAAAAAGTGAGCAAAAATCATTTGGCAAGCATACCAAAATTCTTTTTCAGGAATAGAAGCAGAGATTACGGCGAAGTTTTCGATAAATAAAAAGGTCTGAAATTTTCAGCTGATCTTAAAAATGACTAAAATTGACATCTTTTGACTGTCATTTGTCGAAACTAGACATTTTAGTAGCCTCAAGCATGCGCCCCCTAATGAAGCGCTCAATCCCCAACAAGTTAATCAAAAAATGGAAAAGCTGTAAAAGCAAGTTGTTAGGGAGTGAGGCGATTTGAATATCGATCACTCAGATATTAAAATCGCATGTAAAATGCATCACAGTGTCAAGACGAGTTCTTTTTCAGAGTCGACAGTTTTCTAAACCCTGGGATACAAGCAGACAGAGAGAAACACAGAGAAAAATAGAAGAAGATGGCGACAAATCTTTCAGCTACAGTTGTTGATACCACAGTTGTGACGACAACAACGGCAACCGCCCCTACTTTCGAAAATGTCCAAGAGCGGTATAATGTCAATCTAACAGACTTAGCCTGCAGGTATGAGAAAACCATTTTCTTCCTGGTTTTCCTCTATCTTCAGTTGCTCTTGCGCGAAAGACAGCGTGATTATTTTCAACATGTCAATTTCGGACGCCACAAGTCCGGTGGTAGACCCGGTACCCGAAAAACCAGGAGCGATTCAAATACTTCTAAAACCGAAAAATTCATAATTTTCGAAGTCTGAGCTCGTTAAACTCTGTAAAAAATTCTGACTCAGGGTAAATAGGTATGAAATTAGAATCGGTACAGGACAAATTCTTCTATACTTTGGCTAGAATTGGTATGATAGCCCTAACCCTCATGTCTTACCCAGGGGGCTGCACCTCAGGGACCCCAAGTAGGCACTATCAGCCCCCTAACCATAATCTCTAACCGAGAAAAGCTTTGGTATCATACCAATTCTAGCTATATTATAGAAGAATTGTTGCTGTACCAATTCTAATTACCACTTTCGAATGATCATTTTGTGAGGCCGCTTGCCTGACTCAGGTTTTATTCAGAGGTTGCCGAGCCCAAAATTTTAGATTTTATCTAAATTATTGAATCCGCGTAAAGAATTCGACTACATGAACACCTTCTTGTGGGTGATGTTACCCTCTCTCCTAACCTTCTTCCTCCTGACATTCGGCTTCTACATCCTGGCCGGCTACACTTCCGGCACTCAGATGGAGGACTTGAAAAAGAAGTTCAAACAGGTGAGTATTCAAAAATTAATAAAGTTCGATTTTCCGTGCCCAGTATCAATTTTTACCAGAAATTATTTCAATTTAAATCTATCGCTAAAAGTATAAAAGCAACACGGGATTTCGATCTTTCAAAAAAAAACTTTGCAACTAACTCTGCCACTCATCATCTTTACACGATGTTTACTGAGAGATTTCCTTTCATTTTTGGCGCTAGAAAAAGATAGACAAAAAGACTGAGCCCATGGGAATTATTCATATTTTCAAGGAGAGAGGCGGAGAACCTCAAGAACAAGCGCCACCTAATTATAATGTCGAGAAGGGCCAAATCGAAACAATAGGTACTGAATCATTACTCGCGTACATTCACTTGCTTGCTTGACTGTCGACACCATCGGAACCCCCGTTGTCAATATTCGTCTACGATTCCTTTTTTTGAATAATCATTGGCTTTCCCAAAGATTTGAAAGTTTAATTCGTCTTATTCGCCCAAGATTGTCAAAACCTGTTTAGAAAACCTGAGGCAGGATCTGAAAAAAAACACAATCTTTTTTTCAAATTCTAGCGAAGCCGCTTTGCGGCTTTTTTAAGAAAAAGCCGATACGCGGCTTTTCCATAAAGATTTTTTAGACTCTGACTCAGGTTTTCTAGGCAGCATGAGGTGAAAAATCAGGTCAAAATCAGGTGAAAATTATGAAAAAGACAATCTTGGGAGGAATTTTCAAAGCTTTATGGGACTGAAGAAATTTATGGAAATGCATTTTCGGATAACCAATAAGATTGCTGTATTTGGCCTACCGGCCAATCAAAACCCTGTTTCATAAAATCATTTCCACAAATTGGTTTAACCCGCTTTATGGACAATCTTGGGTTCAAAAAGTAAATATCGAATTAAATATTTGCCAAAAATCTTTGGAAAAGCCTTTGGTTATTTTTCGCATGCCTTATGGGATCAGAACTTTGATCGTGATGATAATTTGAGTTTCAGTGGAAGAAAAAAGTGATGAGACAAAATTCAACTCGCCATGTTTGACCGACCAGCGCGAGGACGCTTTTTATAAAGACAGGACTAGTGAAAACTGAAGCGACGAAAAAAATCAACTTTTGATGCTGTTGGCTCTCGAATAAGCTGCAAAAACTGAACGAGGTTCTAGCGTAGGGAAAAACTGGTATATTTTGTAGTGCTCCGTAGAGCGAGCGAGAACGAAGTGTGTAAAAGTGGCAGCGCGCTCCGCATAAATACGTTGCGCGAGAAAAACATGAAAACAAGATAGAATCAGGATCGGCTTTTTCGTGAACCACAACAGCCCCCAGACGATGATGATTCTAGGGTGATGAGTAGAGTTGACTGGACGCGCGGCGCAGGTTTTGAGCGCGAGCACGGTGATTCGGAAGGGAAGAAGTAGGCGATCAGGGTGAAATTGTAGAAGAAGAGAACTAAAGATGAGTTGTTAATGTAGATTTACCAGGGCGAGAGCTGGATCTGGAGTTGTAGAGAGAAGCCAGGTAGCGGCGAGATTAAGAGAAGTCAGGATTGCCAGGACAGTAGCTGGGCTTGTAGATGTAGAAGGGAGAGTAGCGAGCAGTACCAGGGCTAGAGCTGGGTTTGAAGAGTAGTGAGGATTGCCAGGACTAGGGCTGGTCTTGGTAGATTTTAGTAGTAGTGCCAGGGCTTGAGCTGGGCTTGGTGAGAGTTGATTGAGGTCGAGTTGGTTGCCAGGGCGAGTGCTGGGCTTGAAGGAGAGATGTGTGCCAGGACGGAAGCTGGGCTTAGAAGTTGAGATTGTAGTTGTAGGAGTAGTTGTCGGAGTTGTAGTTGAAGGTCTGCGAAGTCGATCAGCTGAGTTTTGTGCGTCTTGAGTCGAGCGCAGAGTAGAGGTGAGAGACAGGAGAAGCGAGCGAAGGATGCATCGTACCCCCGAGCTGATGACGAGCAGAGAGTTGAGTAGAGAAGAAGGATGAAGATTGGTGGATGAAGTTGTTAGAGTTGATGGGAGTTTGTTGTAGAAGTGAACATATTGAAGTTGTTTTGTAGTTTTGGCGATCAAAATCATGTCGGTGGAGTTGAGCGGAGGTCATAACCGTTTAGTTGATGGTGGCGGGAAGATCGCGAGATTAGAGTTGAACTTGAGCGGCGATGTGACCAAGACTCGAAGATTGAAAGAAGATCGCTCGTGAGATCGACGTTGGCGATTTTGATGCAGAGTGCCGTTAGAAATGTGAACTTTTGGCGGGAGATTTCCATGTGTCAACGGAGAGAAGAAGAATTGAGGAGGAGTCGAACGCGTTGAAAATGACATTGACGGCGTTGAGCACGTGAAAATCGAGGTAAATGGCTCAGAAGGCTAGACTACCTTTGTTGGGCACTCTTTATGTGCCGAAAACTCGACACGAGTAAAGAGTGACGCGAGAGTTTCGCGGTTTGATTCATGCGCCAGCTAATAAGTAGACCAGCGAGAGAGAGGTTGTTGTAGTAGCCAGCGTTGAACGCAAGGAAACAACGGCGGGGATGTCCAGAGATGGCCAGGTGACGTTCGTTCTCTACCAGCGAAGAGTAGACGAGATTCCAACAATAAAAAATTAAAGTAGACGAAGTTGAGGGCGAGGGTTCAGGGTCCTGGTACCATTTTATGTTGGCTCTCGAATAACTGCTAAAACTTGAACACGGTTCTAGCGTAGATAAAAACTGGTATATTTTGTAGTGCTCAGTAGAGCGAGCGAGAACGAAGTGTGTAAAAGTGGCAGCGCGCTCCGCATAAATACGTTGCGCGAGAAAAACATGAAAACAAGATAGAATCAGGATCGGCTTTTTCGTGAACCACAACAATGCAATTAAAATAAGGAGGCGCAAGCTTGCCTAGCCCGGTTTCAGAAACAACACTGCGATAGCGACCTGACCAGTTTGAAGAAAAATGAACCTTTTGCATCCTTTTATCTGCATCCAATTATTAATAAAACAGCGCCTGGAGTCTTGATGAAACCGAGGGTGAATTTCGAAAATCCATATTTAGGCACATTGCTTGCAGCGATTCAAGCTCCGTCTGTGCCTTAATTGATCTGTCAGCTTATCCGTGCTCACGAAGGCTGCTGAATCGATGCAAACTTATTCGCCTTGCCAAGTGCAAATTTAATTATTTTAAAATGTTACAAATTGATTTGGCAAGTTTTTAATCCCAATGCTCAAATATATCGAATCGATAATTTTTCCTTGTCGACAAAACTTTAACAATCAAATAGAAAATGACCAGAATCCGCATGAACCTGGGCAACCTGTACAGAGAACCTGCGTCAGGGTCTGAAAGGGCTTTAATGAAAAGCCGCGTAGCGGCTTTTTTGAAAACTAAGTCGCGAAGCGGCTTTGCCAGAAATCACAAATATATTGAAAAGTTAATTTGCGAAACCGCTTTGCAGCTTCGTTTTAAATAGCCGCTATGGGCCATAGCCTATGGCTAAGCGGCTTTTCATTAATAACTTTCCAGAGCCCCACTTAGGTGCCGAGCCTATACATGAACATATAAACGTTACATTCACTAGGAAAAAAACAGGCCAAGTTGGAATGTTCCATCGTAGTGCTCCTTGTCGCTTCGAGCACTGTTCAGGCTGATCATTCATGTCTGATAAAATAAAACAGGAAACTTGAATGAAATTGACTACCCTTCTTTACGTTTGCCTATTGAGATTTCTTCCAACTAAATTAAGACTTGTGTTAATATTTCTAATTTTGACAAGGAAGAAAAAAAGAAAAGAACAACGGACTCTTACCAATGATCAGTGGGTAAAACGATCCTTCTCCCATTTTCGACGAAAAAAAAAGAAAAATTTTCCGTCGATTCATCTGTAGATAGTAAGGTTTCTCATTACAAGTGGAAAGTTACGCTCAGGGTTTATCATCCCAACCGAAAAATCAGCCCGATTTTTGTCTCTGATCACCCCTTCAGAGATAAAAATTCAAAAACGGATATGAAATTGTCAAATTTTCTTTTCGCCTTGGTTGTTTTCTAACGTCTCCAAGAGAGCGGAACTAACTCAACTTCTGTTGCAGCAAATTCTACCACTACTCTGGGAGAAGATGATCCCAGGTTTGTATTGAAAATTTTGTGCAAATTATTTGACTCAAGTTTAGCTCCGGAGAAAAGTCGAAAAGGGGGATAAAGAGAGGATACGATTCCCGCAGAGTGGCACGGAATTCGATAAATCAACAGTACCAGAGGAATTTGGCGCAAATGAATGCTCAATCGAGTGCTGAAATAATTCTATCAGTAATCCTGATACTCTTTGTTCTTTTTTTTCTGTAAAAAAACTGCAGTCTAGTTGACTTTTTATCGGTTGTAGGGATAAATATTTCGGTACAGACGGAAGAGACTTTTAGTTTCTCCGAAAAACGTAACCGTGATCCCTCTTAAGTAAAATTACTTAGTTGCTAACCCTAACGCCTACCCTAGGGCCTAGGCTAAGGGGCTTTACCCCCTTAGAACCCCTCTTAGTTACGAGCCCTAACACTAACCGGAAGTTAGCTTACCGAAAAATCAGAAACATTTGTTCTATCATTAAATTTCTCCAGGACAAATGAGCACTTAATATACTACCGTTCAGACATGAGGAAATTTTTTAGAGTCTGCGCTTGAGATATTACGTTAGATAAGGTAGGTCCCTTATCTGCCTCTTGGAACAAACCAACGCGTTGCGCCTTCTGTAGAAATGATTATAAATATGAAAGCTTGGTTGACCTTTTATTCAAAAAATGAAGCAGAATCCTTAGGTTTAGAATTGTAACTATTCACAGCGAAATTTGCCTTTTATTTTTTCCAAATATATTCATTAGCCAAAATAATTTATCATTTTTTTCTGCTTTTTAATGAATTTATTACTCAAGCGTAAAAATATATGGAACCTGGTCTGTTCGATGCTACAAGATTAAAATTATTTGAATATTCGCCCTGAATCTAAAAAGAGTTTTTGCATTTATAGATCGATAATTTTTGGATGATTTGAAGCGGCCGACAGATGTCGCAACCTGAAACAGTATAAAGCATTCTCTAAGCGAGTATATTCGAATCTAGTGATAAATTAGATCTTGTAAAAAGTACACTTTTTTTCCAAGAAAATGACGGACTCTATCGCAAGTGAAGTGAAACAGGCGAAGAAAAAGACGAAAGTGAAACAGTTTCACTGGTCAGGAAGATTTAGTAAAAAACGTACTGGAAATTTTATTGATCAAAGTATAATTTGAGAAAATTCTAGCGCGGCCAGAAACACCAGTTTATGTTCCACTGGCTGAAAGAATGTACAAGCAAGAGAATTCACTGCCAGATCGATTCAAAGCTAAACCAGGTACTGCACTCATTATATGCACCGTATTGTTCGCTGGGGTTAGGGTTAGGGTGGTCATATGCGGTCAATATTCGGGGTAAAGAAAACTGTTTCTCCCAAAACCTACTCCTAACCCGGGGCTTTGCCCCCCGGGACCCCCTGATAGAAAAATACACAGTTCCTAATCCTAAGGCCCTTGGAACCCCCTAACACTAACATCTAGCCCGGTTACGTAACATACCCCGAAGATTGACCGCATATGTCGGTTAGGGTAAAGCCCCTTACTTTTGATATAGCGTACCCCTATATTTTTAAGTGTTGAAAATGACGACGTGACATCGCAAATCACTCATCTTTGCGACATCTTTACGATATCACGTCGTCATTTTCAACACTTAAAAAATATAGGCCCTATATTATAATTGATTATCAATTTTCAATCAATCGAATGAAACTGCGCCATAATTTGTCAGCGCGGCTAATAAATCATAGAAGATTCTGTCGATTAATAAATCATTAGCTCCAGTAGCCGTCAAGTCCATTGCGTCCCCAAGAAACACGATTCCCAGCGGACCCTGTCTTGCCACATATGCAAGAAAAGGAAAAACACGGCGCGAATTGGAAGGCGAGCGGCTACGGAACGAGAGAAACGCGAAATTGCACTCGTCAGCTAATGCCGATTTGCAGAAGAAGACGAAAAAGGGGATTATCAAGCGAAAGAAGTAGCCATTGCAAAATCTGTTTTCTGCATTGTTTCATCGACTTAGATTAAAAATGTTTATTTTTGAAAATTCCTGCTGTACTTTTTTTGAAATGCATTGTTTCGTCGGGGTTCTTGAATTTCAAATTTTAATTCTGACTATAATGAAATTTGTTGTTTTGTCTCAGTTTTTGGAAACTCAGAATTCGCAGCTTTTCCGCGTTCTATCGCTTCCTCTTCAAATAACGCAGGCAAGTTTAAATATTAACTGCAAACTCAGAAACGCAAAAAATTCCAAATCTCGCCCTCTTTTCTCAAACAGTCTTGCTCTGAGAGAAAAAAAGATAGCTTCTCGTATTTTTCATTTTTTGAAAATGGCGCGATCATTGTTAGAGTTTCAATAAACACTATTTTTTATTAGATCTCATTTCATTATGAATATCTTTTCAAAACTCTTGAAAGAAAAACGGGCGATTCTCCGGAATCCTCGAGTCCCAATTCCTCGGCGGACGAGGAGTCACCAGAGGAAGAGACAACGAAACCGGCCAAATCGTCGCCTTGAAGTGGATCAAAATGATTGATCAAAGCCAGATCGAGTCCACTGAAGAAGAAGCGAGAAATTTGGAAATTCTGAGCGGCGGAAACCAGTTCATCGTCCAATTCGTCGATTTCTTGCCGATGGAAAGACCCGACTGGTTCAAGCTCACTTCGATTTCGTTTCTAGTCATGGAGTTCTGCGAGCTCGGAAGCTTGAGCGACTGGATCGGGCGAAGAAAACAGCAAGGGCGATGGACAAGCTCTGAAGAAGTGGGTTTAATCGGCGCCCAGATCATTTCCGCGCTTGCTTATTGCCACTCCAGGGATATTGCGCATTTGGATGTCAAACCGCAAAATGTGTTCATAAAGGGAGATGGCATTACTGTAAGTACTTGGTTGACTGAACTTCACTGACTGAAAAAATAGATCCGGGTCGGCGATTTCGGGAGCGTCATGCAACTGAGATCGATCGAGGCGACAATTCAAGGAACAAGTACCGATGGAGTCAAGAATACTCTAATTTACACGCCTCCAGGAACGAATTCTACAAAATCTAAATTTACGAGACGGAATTATTGATGTTGAATTCGATCAAAGAGTCGTTTACCGAACCACTTCGAAAGTCTGCTCGGCTAGATGCTTGGGGATTCGGCCATATTATTCAAGAACTTTTGACTTTTGAGCACGCTTTTTGCCGAGTTGATGGAAGTCCAACAAGAAATCAACTTTTAATCGGTAAGAACATAAGTTTGAGTCATTCCATCATTCAATCACGCGGTAGTCAATAATATACGCGAGAACAAGCGTACAAAACTGTCTCAAATCCGCGGCGAAAACGAAGAATTCATCGACTTCGAAATTCTTCTCCAAAAATGCCTGAATCCTCAAAAACCGCTTCGCCCCGAAAACGCGCTTCAACTGCGCGGCGAAGCGATCTTTTGCGAGTTTTTGGAGCGAATCGAAAGCGGCGAAGCTCCAAATGAAATCATTGCTCCTCCAGAAGAAATCATAAGGAGACTCAGGGAAACCAATGCGCAGCAGGAGGATTTGATTGGAGGGCAGAAGAGGAGGATTTTGGAGTTGGAAGCGAAATTAGGAAGAACCGACAGTGAAAAGAGGCGAATTCGAGAGCTTGAGGGACAAAACAGGGTAAAAACTACAACTGTAAATTCTAGAGTCATTTTTATGACCATGTTTTTAGGAAATACTCGCTGAAAACGCAAACTTGAAGCAAAAAGTGGCCGCGCAAGAAGAAGACTTGAAAAACATTTTGGCAGAAAACGAGCGAAAAAATCAAATTGAAGAAAATTTGAAAATTGAAAATCGAAATCAGAAGAAACAAATCGCGGATTTGAAGAGAAAACTCGATCAGTTCAAAAATCAACGACAAGTGGCTTTAAATGAAGGGCAACAACGAGAAGAATTTGATTTGAGAAGAGTTGCGGCGCCAATTGTTCAGCCAGTTCAAAGAGTGGAAAGAAGAGTCGATGAGGAGAGGAGAAATGAGTTGGAGAAGTTGAGAAGAGAATTGGGAGCGGTTGGCGGCGCGGGGCATTACTTTCAAGATGATAGACAAAAATCTCATGGTTATGGTGGAGTAAGAAATGGGATGGAAGAAGAAGAAGTGCGCAACATCCTGAAGCTGCTTTCATTCGGCGAAACTCAGATAAACCTGAAGGAACGGGAGTTTTTAATTTTTAAGCGAAAAGAGAATTTCGAAAAACTCTTCGCGAAGTTTAGGAGTTATCAGAAATTTGAGGTCGCGGAGAATGGATGGAATCTCATATTCAGAGGTGGTAATAGATTAGGAGAAAATGGTTGGCATCATCTATGGATCTGGAGAAAAGGTTGAAAATTAAAATTTCAACTTTTAAAATTTAATTTTAGACGGCGGAGTGCGATTCAAGGCGGTGGTGCAAGAGATTGCTGGTCTGAATGGAGGCGTATTGAGCAGAGGAGAGATCACAAGCGAGCCGGATGGTCAGAAGCAGAAAATCACATACAAGTATAGTAGTGGTTATGTAAGATACAACATTACTTTACTGTAAAATTGAAAATGTAAATAAATGATCAATCATCTCAATTAAACTCGATTGAAATAAGAAATCGCAAGAGTCAGGAGAATTTTTTCTTTTGAAAATTCATTGCTTTTTTTTTCAAATCATCGACCCTGCTTGTGTTTTCAATTCGACATTTTACTTTCTAACTATTGACGACTTGGTCAATGCTCTTCCCATTCGAAACCGAGATCGTAAGTTACGCTCTTTAGTTTCTTTTTTCGTAATTTTCAGTAGATCGAATTCTGTCAGACTCTGAAGCGACTCTTTCGTCGCTCCGGCCGACTTTTTCTGGACTTGACCCAACGTTTTCGTCGACTTCGGCCAGTAATCTTCCATCAACAAGGACTGGCAAATCGATCGAAAATCCCTTCTTGTCGCCAGTTGGAGAAGCGACAAAGTCAAAATCTCGAACTAAGGAATACAAGAGAGCGCAGGTTTGAAAGAAAATAAGTATTAGTCAATTCTAATGAATTATTTTTAGGGAAAAATTCGATTATTCTCGCCGTTTATGGTCGCTGATATTTGAAAGGCGAAGATTGACCAGATTTTTATCTATTTTTTCTCTCATCAATTTATCTGTACTCTTGCAATAAACTCAAATCTTGTTATCTTCGTTCGGCAATCTGAGCAGAAAACCTTAAGGTTTTCTAAAGTCAGGGTTCGAAAGATCGCCATAATTTAGAAATAGATTGGAATAATTATTTTGCGAAGCGGCGAAACTATGCGGCTTTTCATTTAAGATCTTTCTGACCCTGACTCTGGTTTTCGATTCAGATTGGCGAGCCTGATGTTGTCGGCAGTGGGGTTTTTATAATCCTACAAAAGATTTGTTTTTGTACATTTTAAATATAAATAAAAAGAAAGATATATTTTTATTTGCAAGAAGAGTACTAACTTACGAATGCTGAATCAAACCAAAATCGTCGGCTCAGCTCAACAGTCAAATATTTGCAGTAAGCGAATGCAGAAGCAAACCGATCGCCCTTCTCAAACACCGCAAATTCTGCTGCAAGAGAAGCAATATTCGAGCGAGAAAATACGTTGAAATGACTGAGAGTTTGTTAAGGTTACAAAACAATAGGAATAAAGGTTATTTACAATTGATTTTGCAACTTTTTGAAAGAAAGATGGAAAGCACGCAAACATCGATGTTGGTCAATTTGAAACGAACCAAGGCGTGACTACCGCTTTGGATACTGCGACTGGGGAGACTGTCATCGTCAAAGCGATTCTGCTCCAAAATGCTTATCATTGGAAAAGTACGCAACAAGAAGCAGCAACTCTTCGAGAGCTAGGTAAGCAAACTGTGATGAAAATTTCGAGGAATTTCTTGGCAAAACCTCGAAAGTATAATTCTCACGTTTTTCAAGCGACTATCAGAAGTAAAATATTTAGATCACGCGAATGTGGTCCGTTTTGTCGACTTCCTCGATCGACAAACTCCGGACTGGGCTGAGTTTGGAGCGATGAGCTTCATCATCATGGAGCACTGCGCTGGCGGCAGTCTGGTCGACTGGATTGAGAAAATGAAACAAGCCGGGCGACGAACAACGCTGGACGAGGCAAGAATCATTGCGGCGCAAATGATCTCAGGGCTGAGCTACTGCCATAGAAGAAATAAGGTCCATCTCGATCTCAAACCCGCAAATATATTTGTGGACCGGGACTTCATCACGGTAAAAACAATTCAGCGCCTCGGAAAGAAATTGAAACTTGTTTAGGTGAAAATCGGCGATTTCGGAAGCGCCCATTCAGTCCGGTCGGTGCAAGACTCATTGACGACCTCAAGTGGGGATGGAATCAAATGCACGCCCTTGTATGCCGCTCCAGGTAAACGACTGAGAAAGCATAGAAGCAAACATTTTCAAAGAAATGCACAACAAGGAAGAAGACGCCAAAAAGTCGCCGCGACTGGATGTTTGGGGATTCGCCTTGATTTTACAGGTTTTTGAAAAGGATTCACGAATTGAAATGACGGATTATTTTCAGGAAGTGCTGACTTTGGAGCATCCTTATGGCCGAGTCGATGGTCAACCAGCGCTCACTGGAGAAATTAGTAAAATAATTATTGGTTTATTTTGAAGCCGTTATTTGGTTCTTTTTAGTGGCAAACATTCAAACTGGAAAACGGACGTCGCTGTTTGAAATCTTCGGCGAAACGGACGAAGTCGAAGAGTTCGAAGTTCTTCTCGAAAAATGCACAAGTGTTGATCGAAAAAGCCGGCCGCGAAATGCGATCGAGCTGCGAAATGAAGGTGTCTTCGTTGATTTTTTGGAAAAAATCGAAAATGGAGAGCGAGCGAGCAACATTGTTCCGTCACCATTTCCAATTGAAAATGACGAAGTTGAGAAACTCAAGGAAGAGATGAGGCAAAAAGACAGGACGATTCGAGAGCTCCAATACCGAGTTGCAAATTTCGATGAACTCAAGGAAGAAAGCGAAAGAAAAGCCGCGATCATTAATCAACTGCAAGATCGACTGAGCACTTTCAACGAAATTATGGAAGATCGAATAAATGAAGAAGCTCTTGCCGCTCAAAATCGAGTAAGTAAAGCGAAAATGATTCCCGATTTCAGTCGCGATTTCTCGTTTCAAAATATCGAGCTCTTTCGCGAATTTCGCAGTTCAGTTATTTTTGTCATAAATCATCGCCGTTTTAAGAAATTCCTGGCCGAGATCTCAAAACTGAAGCAAAAAGTTGCAGAGCAAGAAGAAGACTTCGCGGATTTGAACAGAGAACTTGATGAATTCAAAAATCGAGAACAAGCGGCTTCGAATGAAAGACAACAACGAGGAGAATTAGATTTGAGAAGAGTTGCGGCGCCAATTGTTCAGCGGCTGTTTCAGCCGGTTCAAAGAGTGGAAAGAAGAGTCGATTTGGAGAGGAAAAATGAGTTAGAGAAGTTGAGAAGAGAATTGGGTGCGGTTGGCGGCGCGGGGCATTATTTTGAAGATGACAAACATCCTGATTTGGGTGGAGTAAGAAATGAGATGAAAGAAAAAGAAGTGCGAAAAGTCCTGAAACTGCTCTCCTTCGGCGAAACTCAAATCAACTTGAAGGAACGGGAGTTTTTAGTTTTTAAGCGAAAAATAAGAATTTCGAAAAACTCTCCGCGAAGTTTTGGTGTGCTCAGAAGTTTGAGGCCGCGAAGAATGGATGGAATCTCAAGATCCGAGGTGGTTATGGAAGAGATGGTTGGCATCATCTCTGGATCGGAAACAAAGGTAAAAAAATTTAATTTCAATTTTAAAAATTTAATTTTAGACGGCGGAGTTCGATTCAAAGCGGTCGTGCAGGAGATTTATGATCGCAATGGAAACGAGCTGAGCAGAGGAGAAGTCACAAGCGAGCCGGATGGACAGAAGCAGAAAATTAAATTCAAATGGGGAGGTTACTATGGTTTTGTAAGATACAACATCACTTTACTGTAAAATCGAAAGTCTAAATAAATTATCACTAAACTCAAGTCTTCGCTTGCAATGACTTCAAAAAAAATAGCTTGTTTTTTGACGATTTTTGGGAAAAGCGTGAATTTTCATAATTTGTGGCTCTTAATTGAACTTAAGTAAAGCAAATCAAAATTGTCTCTAAAAAGTCGTCTGAAGCTGAAGGGTAAAGGAGATAACTTGTGAACAACGAAATCCGCGTAGACTAATCAAGACAGAATATTTAATTAAAAATACCAAGTTGCCTAAACAATCTCTCGAAGAACTGCTTCGAGCTAGACAAAAGTGGAATAAGACGGAAACGGTTGAGTTTGGACGGCGAGTGCAATTTATAGTTAGCGGCTGGAGACGGAGATGAGGCCGCAGTCGTCTAGCTTCTGGATTTTCTGGGCGATGTCGGGGTTCTTCATGTGTTCCACAGCCGCCTGAGGGTTCTGCTGATTTTTTCAGGAATCACTCACGCTAAAATTTTTGTTGAATTTGAGAAAGAATAAAATGTAGTGCAATTAGCGTCATCGCGCGAGCAGCTTATTTTTTTCGTCGAATTTTTAAAAATAAACTTTCCATAAAAATGTGTCCTTGTCGAATAGATTCGGGAGGAATCTTGAAATCGGGGAATACCGTATTCCGAATACGTTATTTGACTTTGAGGACTCGAAGACGACAAATTTGATTCCAACTCGCTTGCTTGAATTATCTTTTTCGGGATTTTATCATTTTTTCGTCAAGATTCAAGTTAAAAAAATTTTCCGCTTTACCGAGGAGTACTGTGTGTTTGATAGATCGATACTCGAAGCTACTGGCATAAAAAAGGCTCTTTTCAAGATTTTCTATATTTTTTCCGATGACTATTATCAATTATTATTAATAGACCTACTGCCATGGAAGAAATAAGGTCCATCTCGCCCTCAAGCCCGCAAATATCTTTGTGGCCCGAGACTTCATCACGGTAAGAAAACAATTCGGAGCCTTGGCGTGAAACTTTAACTTTTTCAGGTGAAAATCGGCGACTTTGGAAGCGCCCATTCAGTCCGGTCGGTGCAGCACTCATTGACGACTTCAAGCCAGGGTTCGGTATTTTGAATTCGTCGAAAAATTCGCCAATACACGCAGCGAATATGCTCTTTTCTTAAGCGAATGAGCGATTGTTCGCGAATCGCCAATTCGGGCGAATATTCGCTCGAAATTGAGCGTACAGCCCTGGATTGGCTGAACTCCAGGGCCGCGGGTGAGAAAAGGGCGGCGCCCGCGAGCTATAAGGTTATTTAGGCGGTGAAGATAAAATTATAGGCTGCGCAACGTCAAAGCCCGACCAATCAGAGCGCGCGGCAAAGCGAATATTTGAGAAATTCGCTGAATTTCTGAAAAATTCTCCGAGAAAATTCGTTTTCATTCGCTTTGAATATTCGCTCATTAGAGAATATTCGTAAACGAATAAATAGAAATTCAAATGAAAAACGAATAATTTCGCGAATTCAAAATACCGAACCCTGCTTCAAGCGGCGATGGAATCAAATGCACGCCCTTGTATGCAGCTCCAGGTAAGCGAATTATTCACTGTGAATATGAAAACAAAGAAACAAACCTTTTTACTAGAAATGCACAACAAGGAAGAAGACGCCAAAAAGTCCCCGCGATTGGATGTTTGGGGATTCGCCTTGATTTTACAGGTTTTTAAAAAAAGTTCTGGGAAATTAAAATGACGCATTATTTTCAGGAAGTGCTGACTTTGGAACATCCTTTCGGCCGAGTCGATGGTCGACCAGCGCTCACTGGAGAAATATGTAAATTTATTGGTTTATTTTTAAGCGGTTTATTTGGTTCTTTTTAGTGGCAAACATTCAAACTGGAAAACGGACGTCGCTGTTTGAAATCTTCGGCGAAACGGATGAAGTTGAAATGTTTGAAGTTCTCCTCGAAAAATGCACCAAAGTTGATAGGACCGAGAGGCCGAGAAATGCGATTGAGCTGCGAAATGAAGCTTTCTTCCTTGAATTCTTGAAGCGAATCGAAAATGGCGAGCAAGCGAGCAACATAGTTCCGTCTCCTTTTCCAAATGAAAATGACGAAGTTGAACGATTTAAAGAAGAGATGAGGCAAAAGGACAGGACGATTCAAGAACTGCGAAACCGACTCGCGAATTTCGATGAAATCAAGGAAGAAAACCAGAAAAAAGCCGCGATCATTAATCAACTACAAGATCGACTGAACACTTTCAACGAAATTATGGAAGATCGACTAAACGAAGAGAAGAAGCAAAAAGAAGAAGCTCTTGCCGCTCAAAATCGAGTAAGTAAAGCGAAAATGATTCCCGATTTTTGTCGCGATTTTTTCAAAAATAATCGCCCTTTTCAGAAATTCCTCGCCGAGATCTCAAAACTGAAGCAAAAAGTGGCAGAGCAAGAAGAAGACTTGAAAAACATTTTGGCTGAAAACGAGCGAAAAAATCAATTTGAAGAAAATTTGAGAATTGAAAATCAAAATCAGAAGAAAGAAATTGCAGATTTGAAGAGAGAACTTGACGAATTCAAAAACGAAAGACAAGCAGCATTCAATGAAGGGCAGCAACAAGGAAATGAGTTGGAGAAGTTGAGAAGAGAATTGGTGGTTGGCGGCGCGGGGCATTACTTTGAAGATGATAAAATGAAATCTTATGGTTATGGTGGAGTAAGAGATGCGATGGGAGAAGAAGAAGTGCGAAACATCCTGAAACTCCTGTCTTTGGGCGAAACTCAAATCAACTTGAAGAAACGGGAGTTTTTGATTTTTACGCGAAAAGAAAATTTCGAAAAAAAAATATCCGCGAAGTTTGCGAGTGCTCAGGAGTTTGAGGTGGCGGAGAATGGATGGAATCTTAAATTCCGAGGTGGTCGTCAGGGTTATGGAGGAGATGGTTGGCATCGTCTCGTGATCTGGAGCAAAGGTAAGAAATTAAAATTTCAATTTCTAAAATTCAATTTTAGACGGCGGAGTTCGATTCAAAGCGGTGGTGCAGGAGATTGATTATGAAAATGGAGAGCTGCTGAGCAGAGGAGAGGTAACAAGTGAGCCAGATGGACAGAAGCAGAAAATCAAAAGCAAGTACGGAGACTATCGTCACGGCTGCTTTGTAAGATACAACATCACTTTAAGATTCAAACTATTTTCTTCTTTTGATCTATTTTAACAATCTCTTGCAAAACAAGAAAAAAAAGAATAAAACTTTTTACTATGTTTACATGTATTTGTCTGTTTGTTTTGTTTTAAGTAGCAGACGTTATCATCTCAATAAAATAAATTTACATGAAGAAGAATATTTTCTTGTTTTTTCGTCCTCTTCTAGTAGATCATTCGCAGGCACAGCTGGTGGAAATAATTAGAGTGAGACCGGAGCGGGAATTGAGGGAGGAACAAGACGCTCGTCTTTTAGGAATTTGTAGGAAAAGATCACCTGTTTGAGGCTTTCATTTTGTAAAATATTAGTTTAGAAAAATAATTTATCAAATATACGAGCCTTTCCAGAACAATGACGAAAAGCGCCATGAAAAGAGGAGCCGCCATCATTACGTAATAATTCCAGAGCGTGTGCGTGCCCCAAAGCGGACCAAGAACCATTGCCACCTACAAATTGGCTTCTTTGATATGAAATTTGCGTACCTTTTGAAAGCTCATTCGAACTGCTTGAAGAGTCGCTTGTTTGTCTTGAGGAACTGTTTTAGACATTAATGACGCTGGAGGGACCAGCATGAAGGGCTAGAGTTTGTATTACTAAGGGATGAATTCTGAAAATACTGACAAGTGTAGCCAAGCAAAGCGCAAGAACTCCCATAAAAACAGGAAAGATCCAGGGAGCCCCGAAATATCCAAGAGGAAAAGTAAAGAAGCCGATGAGTTGAGCAGAACCGACGCCGATGGCTCCAATGAGCAGCGCTGTCCGATCCATTAATTTGACTTTTGAATGGCCTTGCAGAAGCATTAGCGCGATGTAGCCGATCAGGCAGCAGACACCGAGGTAGACGTAGCAGAGCGAGTTTTGTTGCGTCTCCCAGAGGAAGAATTTGTACGTCATCGGCGTTAGGGAAGCTTCCATTGCACTGAAAAATTGTCAACCGAAATCTGTCGATTGTAAATTACCTTTCTAAGAACATGACGCAGAATGAAGACATCATAATAACGACGAATTGTTCTGTTAAAGGACTGAACTTGACTGAACTAGTTGAAGTTTTGCCACTGCTGATGACATCGTTTTCTTCAGATTCGAGAAGAGGGGATGAAGGTTTGATCGCTTCTTTGTCTGATCGTTTTCTAAGCATGAAGTTTATAATTTTGAAATCAAGGAAGAATATTAAGATAACTTCTCAAAGACTTTAGTTTTGAAAGAGATCTTTGGTTATTAAAAAATACTTCAGTCGGTTAAATCAAGATTCCGAACCTCGGGCTGGCGCCTAGTGAATGATTTGAAACGGTCAGGCTAGTGTAGGGATTATCGATGAGCGAGCGAATTGATTCCATCAGAGCGGACCCGTCAACGGTGATGTTTTGAGCGCTTTTGGGGCTGAGGCCGGACTCCTCGGTGGATGGAAGCTCGAAGCCTTCCGCCGGCGGAAGACTTTCAGTAGAAGATCCTTCTACTGGCGAGGCTGGCTCTTGGTAGTAGGCGAGGAAGAGGAGAAGGAGCACTGTCCAGGAGCAGGAAAGGAACAAAGCGGGCATGTTGAATTCGTTGATGCGGATTATGTCATCGTCACAGCCCTCGGGCGTGGGGGAATTCACGCAGGTTGAGTTTTGCTTGAAGAATTGCAGAGCATTAGCACTGGAGTCTTCAGGGCACTCGCGGTTACAGTATAATGTGAAGTCGATTGAATTGTAAGCTGAATGGTTTCGGTAATCTTGGATCATAAATCTCGATTTCTGGTCGGCAATCTTGGAAAAATCAATTCTTACCTAGATTCAAAGCAGGTCCAAAAATAATGCCCATTTCTCTCGCAAGCATATGCCTTGAAAAAACCGCACTTCTATCTTTCGACGAGCAAGATCGCCCCAAAAATCCAAAAAGAATCGGTTCCAGCCCAGATCCAATGCCGGATAAAATTCGTGAAATGATGATGAATGGAAGTGAAGGAACACAAAGATACACAAGATTGCCAGCGAGGGAGCAGGAGATAGCAAAGAGGCCCATTATTCTTGAGCTTTGAAGGTAGTCGGCGAGTTTGCCGATGGGCGTAGCGGTTATTAGAGCTGCCAGGTTGACCATGGCGATGCATGTTCCAACCCAACTGGATTCGACGTTTATGCTCTTTTGAATTGTTTTTATTTTGAGAAAGAAATGATGGACTTACTTTTAAATGGCCATTCAGCGAGGGCAAAACAAGAACATATTCCATGCCAATAAAGAAAAACAGAAAATAAACAAGCACCTGAAAGAAAGAAATTTCAACCTTTCCCGCCATCTTCTCCTTTCTCTTTCTTTTTATTTTTGTCGAATTCAAAAAGCATTCACGACCGCGGATTCGATTTCATTTGTACTTTATTTTTTCCCCTGTCTGATCTCACAATGATTCAGAATTTTGAAAAGGGAGAAGGAGCAGCACTGAGTGGACAATAACTGATCATGAATAAGCATGTCCGAATCGATTGAAAGGCGAGACCGGGAGAAGACATCGAAATTATTGATCACTAGGGGGCAGTAGACTCAATTTCCCCAAGTGATGGTTATATAAGAATCATCAGCTGGTCGACTCAGGCAATCAATGATTTAGACTCATCGATTTTATGATGCTTCAAATTTAAAATTTTCAACACTAATTCGTCGTAAAATGGAAAATAAATTCCTGTTATTTTCCTACATTTAGTGTAACCCCAATTTTCCGATGGTTCTGTTACAACAACAGATTCAGGGGAAAAGGATTAAGGGTGTCCCCATGAATCTACGAAATAAAAATTGAAATTAGAAATTTGTTTAGTGAATCTATTCATAACCCCCATCAATTAATTTTAACAAAAGAACACCAGGGGCTAATCCTGTTAAAAAGTTCCAGCGTCAGCGGATTCCTAAACACACCCATTTTGAACTGCGCCGTTGGCAAAATCACCATCTCGGCTGTTTACGGTAGATTCCGATCAGTTCCGACTTTTTCTGATGAATTTGAAAGGACCTTGGACCACCCCAGTTGAATAATAGAGAAGAAAAGTCGTAAAAAACCGTTGAATTTTCGAATTCTTGAATTTTGAATTGAAAAATTGACAAACCTTGAAAATGACGGAGCGAATATTTGTTGATGTCTTCATCTCCCGGGAAATCTCTGTTTTCGTATTTTCGAGTTTTTCTTTTTTCAAACTTCTTAATATTTTCTCGCCTTTTCAGGTGCAAAGAGGGTCAACTCGTGTCGCTCAATTGAAGCTTCTCTCTTTTCCAGAGCTCGTCCAAAAATAGGTTAACGCTGAAGAAGGCGATGTTTTTCCTGGAGAGACGATTTTTTTGCCAGGTAGTGCTCAATAATAGGTGAAGTGAGTCATAAAAATGCGCCGCCTCGCGATAAATTGCGCGGCCTTCACTTTTGGGGTTTCTGACTGCTATCTGCCTTCTGAGATATCTTCTGAGCTGCTGATGGAAGAATAGGGTGTTATGTTCCCTCGGGGAAGGTTTGCGCCTGAGCGTCAGACAAGAATGTCTGTTATTCGAACACAAGAAAAAATATTCTGCGAAAAATGTCTCGAAAAGGGTAAATTATTCTCTGTATGGAAACTCGCCAAATATAAATTGTGCTTTATGCAAACGCGCTGCCCTTTGTTCGAAAAAATATTAAAAACGCACTTTCAGTTTTGAAATATTTCGTCAGAGAAAGAAACGATTCAATATTTCTGTCTTTTCCCTTTTTTTTCATGATTTATTTCAGCTTCAGACGGAAGGATTTTCTTCGAGCTCATTGAGATCCCAGTATCTTACAGTAGTGTCGTCGGATGCGGTGGCACAGCAATGACCGACTAGAGTCATGTCGAGGATTTGATCACGGTGACCATGGAGCGTGATGAGCAAATCGCCACTACGGCAGTCCCAGATTCTCAATTTTCCATCTAAGCATGTTGTTATCACCTAAAAATGGACCTTGGGGGGAATTCTTTTGAAATGAAAAATTGAAAACAACAAGAAAATATATTGCGCCTAAGGCCCTTCTCAAGACTGAAGGCCAAACATTAATACAAGATGCCCAAGATTGTCAATAAAACCAAGAGAATCGAGGCCAAGATTGTTCGTATCAGTATTACATAATGAAAACGCGCAATTATCAAATCAGAGGGCATATATGACGCTAAATTAAACAATTTTAGCCTGATTTTTGGATTTTTTCATCAACTATCTTAGACCCTAAATGTCGTTTTCTACCAGACAATCTTGAGAAAGGCCTTCATTAATTTCTCTTACCCGTGGTTTATCTCCTGGGCAAAACTTCACCCTATTGACTCCGTCTGGATGAAATAGCTTCAGTCGTATTTTCCTGTTTTCATAAATGTACAGAAATCCGGATAAACTCGCCGCAGCAAACAAATCTCCATTTCCACTCCAAATGTCGACCGCTTCGATCGGATGTGGCTCTTCTCCTTCTTCCTTTTTCTCATTCGCCTCCGGTTTGAAGTGATCCGCGAACTTGAGCCCTTCTGGAGTCGACACAAGCAGGCCAACAGTACAATCAGCGAAGCCGACGAGACTGTAGCTTTTTCCGACAACGAGCGAGATCGCTTCGTTCGATTTTCCCTGCGCCGTCGAAAGCGCTTCCTGCGTCTTGAGGTCGAAATTGCGAACTGATCCATCCTCGTAAAGCACAAGTAGCTGTTTATTGTCAGCGATAAACTCGCCAGCGCGACACGCGACCCCAACGGGACCTGTGTACATTTTGAAGTTGCCGTCTTTGACGTTGTACATGTAGATGTTCCCGTCCTCCAGAGCGACGAGGAGAGCGTTGGGAGCTACTGTATGGAACTTGACGAATCCGTAGCCGTTGTCGAAACCGCCTTCGTTCGCGCTGAAAACCATCTTCTTTTCTTTCAACGACCAGACCTTCACCTCGCCGGATAAGTCGGCCGAGGCGACGAGGGAAGAGTCGCAATTCCAAGCCAAGGCGAAAATCGTTTCTAAAAACACGAACGTCTACAGGGGAAACTGCTTCTGTCTGTATCTGTATGTGCTGTTGTGTCTGTAAACAACAAACAGCTTCGCACGCCAAGTCTGGGGAAGAATAACAGCCTACCTTTGTGTCCAAAAAAGGCAATCATGAGTTCGCCATTGGTCGTGTCAACAACAAAGCCACGGTCATCCTCCGCACCAGTTGCAACATAACGACCACACGGGCTGGCCATGACGACTTGAACGGGCTGCGAATGACGGTCGAAGATGTACGTCGCTGAAAACAATCGATTGAAGAAATCTTTATCAAAACTCAGCCCTACCATTTTCAATTTCCTCTCCATCATTTCCATACTGAGCGTCTCGGTCTCCATCATCCGCTTCGTCCATTTCTCCGTCGGAATCCATCGGCTCCTCACCATCATCTTCAAAGTGAACCTCTTCAAATTCCTCTCCTTCGTGTTCCATTCTAAAATTCTTTCATCATTTTTGATCCTAAATTTGAAAAATCTAGAATTCAGGCTTGATCCATTTGAACTGATTGAGCAGGGGTTTCCGACTTTTTCGGCCGATGACGGTTTTGTTTAGCGTTGTTAGGTCTCGATGAACTATTTGGATTTCTATTGGAGCTAGAATTGTTTTCATTCCTCGATTCTTCATTTCTTGGTTTTGGTTTTCTAGGGCGTCGATTTTGTTGACTTTGCTGATTTTTTGGTTTCTGAGATGAACTTTCTTCTTCATCATTCTCTGGCCGTGGAGGTCGAGGTCTGTTATTTTGTCTGTTTTTTCTTTTTTCGAGATTTCGAGGAGGATGGTTCCGTTGTTTTTGACTATCCGTACCACTTTCTTTCTGTTCATCATTTTTATCCGTACAATTTTGTCGGCGGCGGTTATTATTTGGCCGTCTGTAGTTTTTTCTATGATTTTCCTTGGTCACTTCCGGCCTTTTCTCAACTACTGGATTCTCCGTTTTTGGTTCTTCTTGCTGAACTTCGTCTTCCGTTACTGGAGGAGGAACAGGATCACGCGTCACTATTAATATGCCTTCATTTTCGTCCCAATGTCCTCCTGCATCAATTTGTCTCTGAAAACTTTTCGAGAACTTCTTCTGTTTCTCGATCGCCATCGTCGCAAATTTATCCATCAATTGGCTTTCCCGGTTGCTGATTTTTCGTATCCTTGGTTTGAATTTAAGAATTTTCCGTTTTGGAATATGGACAATTATTCGACAGGTTGGGCAAAAAACTTGCTCTGGTTTCTTGTGATCCTCGGGCAGGGACTTGTTCTCCTCGCAAATTGTCTGCAAGGAACTCTTCCAAAACTGCCAAAGACAGTCTCGATGGAATAAATGATAGCATTCAAGCTTCTCGCTTTCTTCGAACGATTCAAACTCCTCCAGGCAAATGGGGCACTCTCCATCGGGAACTTCATTCATATTCGAAATTTCATCGCGAATGGCGTCGACGATTTCGAACAAAGAATCCTCCGCTTCGACCATTTCTTTCACAATTTTATCCAGTTGAAGCTGCCGCTCGTTGGTTAAACCTTTGCAGCGAGAGATGGAAATTGCCTTTTCGTCATTTTGAGCCTCGATTTCGATCGTACAAGATAACCGTTTGTCTTCGTCATTTTCAGACTCAGAAATTGGTTTTCAAATGGATTTAAGAAAAAGAAGCCATAAAGATGAATTCTAACGAAGCAGTTGGTCTAAATTCTCGTTACAGCTCTTCCGGACCCTAGCACATATATATATTACTATCAGGACTTGTTGCCTGAAATTTTGACTGTGATCAGAGGAGATCACTCGTATTCATGAGATTAAGGCTAGGGTGGTCGATTTTGGCCAAGTCTCAGGTTCTTTTTTTGACCCGCATTTTTGGATTCCTCGGAAAATTTGGAGCAAAAAACTCCTTATGCACTTTTTGGCTATCTCTACTCGATCTCCCGGAAATTGCGACTAAAGCTGCAGAAAATTAGTGTATTTTGAAAGTGAACCAAATATTTTGAAATTTCAACCCTTTACAATAGTGGCATATGATACATTTTTGGAAAGCTAACTCTAAGGACATTCATTTAGGGTAGGGCTTGTGGCGTCTAGGCTATGCCCGCAGGGCATTTCATAGGAATGAATAGTCAAAAATAGTTACCTTGGTTTATTGAAAAATTTTCTAAAGAAAAAATGATCAAATAAAAAAAATCTTCTGTAAATTTTAAGATTAGGGTCTAAGAAATCGAAAAATAGTAAGAGTTGATAGGACCATAATGCAAACTTTGGAGTTTTGGAGCCTTGAAGATGGGCTATTTTCGCGATTTTGGCCGAGATGCCAACTTTGAAGGCACCGGAAGTGGCTTTTTTCTTTGGATGACGGAAAAAGCTTCTGTAATTCATAAGATCTAGGATGGATCTCTATTTAAAGCTATTATGGGGTACTCTGGCATTCACAAGTCCAGAGTTTATGAGCCCTGCTTTGGGCCAAATCGACCACCCTAGCCTTAAACCTACCCTGGGATACTTTTAATTCTGGGGCAGCATCGAAATTTTAATAAAATATGTTCAAAAGCGTTTACTTTTGAAGCTATCGATTTATGAGGGGCAGTATTTCAGAAGTTCTTCGTCCTTACAAGTGAACTCCTCTGATCACAGCCAAAATTTCAGGCGACACGGCCTGAGTAGTGTAAATAAAATCACCCTTTTTGGGAGAAATTTTCATCAACCATATCGTTAGAATCAATTTTTATGGCTTCTATTTGATTTTACAAAGCTAGAAAAACACACTATTTACAAAAAAAAATATAAATTGAAAACCAATCTGAAGGAAAAATTTCAAGCTTCAATTTCACTCCATTTTCCAAATTTTTGATTTCCGTTTCTTCGAAAATCGCGACAAACGATTCGAGCTCTTCTTGAAGCTCTTCAGACAAAAACTCCATGATTTTACTTTTGAACTCTGAATACTGATTTTCCTTTATTTTCATTATAAAATAAAACAGAAGTAGAATTTTCGCAATCTAATTATCAGACTTATGATAGGATGATTGAACAAAAAAACAGAGGAAAGAAGCGACGAAGGAGTAAGGTTAAAAGATTATTAATTTTTGTCGTCTAGCAGAGCCCAGCTCTAGAATTCGGGGCTCGATAGTAGAGTCATATATGAAGTTTGAAGAATATACGATTTTTATATGGTTACGCATGAGCAGGCGGCTGGTTTTTACAAAAAAATGGAGGCAAACGCCACGAATCGTCAAAATTCTAGCGACAAAAATGGTGTTGGTGGCAGTTTTGTCGCTGATTGGCCGATAAGCTGAGTCGACTCTTCTGATTGGCTAAAATGTTTAGCGAATCCGAATTTTAGATTTTCAACTAGCTAATCAGAAACGTCGATTCTCCCTTTCGGCCAATCAATGACTGAATTGCCGCCCACGCAAATTTTGTCGAAAAAATTTTTCGCGCGGGTTATTTACCTCCAAAATGGCGAATGTTTTTCAGGATGCTTTTTTGAATGAAATTATAAATTTAACCAATAAGAAAATTAGAAATAAGATATTGCACATGGTGGAACGAAACTATTGAAAGATCGACTTTTAACTGGTTTGCGTGAGGCCAGCTAGCATGCCGGCGCGCATGAAATACTTGGACATCAGTTGGCGAACTTCGACGGGACATTCGATGATAAGCAGGTCGCACAGAAGCTTGTGAATTGTAGCAGCGTGGATGGCGAATTTCTAGAGCAAATTTAGGAAAAGCGACAAAAGATCGATTTTCAAAAATTCGATGAGACAGCGACATAAATTTTGTCGCATATCTGATCGCGCTTTTGCGACATTTTTCGACCAATCAGAAGGACAAAAATCTTTTTGGCCATTTTTGTCGCTTCCTTAGTTATAATTGATGCGAATGCGATTTCCTACCTGAGAGTTAAGGGATAACACTCCATTGATAACTTCTTGCGTTAGTTGCCAAGAATGGTAAGTTGCGTTTTGAAGGACAGATTTTAGAGCCTGAAAAAGCAATAGAGGATGAAGGAGGAAAGAAAACTTACAAAGCTACAGCTTTCTTTGAGTTGATTGTGCACCCTTTCCGCGAATTCATCATAAGAAACGAGCTGGAAGAGCAACTGTAATTGCCGAATGCAGGCTTGTTGAGAAGTGTGAGGAGCGCGGGCTTTTGCGCCAATGTCGCCTAAGAGCTCGCAGAGCTCGAAGAGAACCCAGCCGGGAGCGGAAAGACTTTCTAATTTTTCATCCGTTTCCTAAAAAAGAAGTGTTAGGAAAAGGTTTTCTTTTGGATTTCTACAGCTAAGATCTGGGCTAAGCACTGCTTAGTAAGCAGCCTGTGTAGAAAACCTGAGTCAGGGTCCTGAAAGAAAATTCTCATCAACGCTCTTTCAGAATCCTGACTCATGTTTTCTACAAGGCTGCTGGGCTCAGGCTAAGATTCCAAAGAATTTTTTTAATACCAGCTCAATTTTGATAAAAAATTTTACCCAAAAATAACATAATTCATTTCGAAAGTGGTAAAATGAAGTTATGACCTGAAAGGTGAACATTTCATTATTAGAAGGACATCATCAAAAAGAATTCAAAATATTTACCGAAGGACTTCGTTTGGCCTTTTTAGTCGTGTTCAAGACTGCTTCAATCGCATGAACGAGCTCTTTTTCGACCATTCGTTGAATTTCCGGCTGTCCGGAAAGATCGGACTCGGATTTGATTCTTCTGAAGCAGTTGAGGAACTCTTTCCACTCTGCTTCGTCAAACACCGCCTTTGTGAAGGAGTTTTTAGCGCTAGAAATTTAAGAAAATTCACCTGATTTGCGAGGACAAGATTTTCAAGGCAGTTGCAGGATCCTTGGGCGAGTTGGGGGGATTTTTGCTTGATGCACCAGACCAAATGGTTGTGCATGTCTTTTAACAGCAGTGGGGCGAGCGTCGAGTAGTAGTACGAAAACACATCGCAGACGGCGAAAAGAGCGTGGTGGCAAGTTGTGTCCATCCATTCCCGCCGCTCGACGGCTTCTGGCAACTTCAACCCGTCGAAAACGCGGAATAAGACGTTGAACAAATCTAGTGGAAAAATCATGGAAAAGGGCTTGGGAAAGGGTTACTGACCTTCCCACCAATTTGGTTTGAAATTTCCACCATGGGATTTGATCAGCTCGAACATAACAGTCAGCGCTCTCGTCCTCACATCCAGTTTGCATCGACTAGAATTTTCAGTAAAAAAACAAGCGCTAGAATGTTCGTAAGAAGCGTTAGTGTTGTCTGTGATTTCTTGTTACAAAATATAGACATGGAAATTCTTAATTCAAAAGCTGTTTTTCAAGTTTTGAGTGTTTGAGCTTCGAAAGCTTCATTTTTAATATGCATGAAGCTTTCAAACAGTTATTACTGTGCTTACTCTTCGTCTTTGGTCCCTATCGGTGTCCTGATTTCAAATTTGAATAAATACAATAGCAAGATTTCAAGCGCTGAAATTGAAGAGCCATTTATTTAACCTGATCACTGCGGAAAGCTCAAACATAAGCGGAAACCAGCCTCTGAGCCAAACTCGATCGCCCAGTGGAATATTCGAAATATCATCTCCTGACAAGCTTTCGAAAGCTTTCTGATTCGCGGCAATGTGATCAGCAACAACTCTGATAAGCCTAATCGCCTCCATGGACGTATCTGGAAACTGCGGGTTGCACGCGAACTCGGACAAGCACTTGACGCAGTCTTGTAGGTATGGCGCTAGAATTCCCCAATTTCGAACAACAGTTTGGTTCGCAATCAAAGTTGTAGTTGTGAAAGCGAGTTCGACAATCGCTTCTCGGTCGGATCCGGCGGCGATTCCAAGGACGCCGAAGACATTTTTCCAACCAGAGCGGATGTTGTGCTGGTTGGAGTCGACAAGTTGCGCGATGCAGCGAAGAACGAGGTCCTAGTTGGGTTTTGAGATGGTCGAATCGGGCTTGAAAACTAACCTGATTGGCAAGTGATGTAGTACGCTTCATGATCGTTTCAAACGGACGGAGGAAATCATTTTGGAACTTGTAATTGGGCAATTCTCCTTTTTCGAGATATTTTATCGACAGTTGGCGGAGGGAATCAAGGGCGAAGGCAGCGATTGACTCTGAAAGAAATAATTGAAAAAGAAAAAGCAAGATTAAAAGTCTCACCATCTTCTGAGCAGCCAGTTTTGGTGAAATGCTCGCCAAGGACGGACCAAACTCGACTCCATTGAAGACGAATACGGCCCATGTTGTAGTACGAAATCTCCACCAATTTTGTCAACGAATACATTCGTGGGGGACTTTGCTTCAGCTCATCTGCGGACACCTACAAAACGATCAGATAAAAAGGAAGGAAAAAGAGTTTACCTGACAGAGCGCTCTGGTGAAATCAACAATTGCTTCACCATTCAACTTGCAAGATTCAGCGAATATTTTGTCCACAGCAACAACGACCGATTGAATCGAGGTCTCCGCCAGGGATCGTTGAAGATCATGTGATTTATCTCCTCCTGCTTCCTTCACACCAGTGCCGATGTGCTGGAGGAATTCTAGCTGCGAAATGCAGCGTAAAACTTCCGCCCAAGTTGTTCCCAAGTAATTACCGTCCGTGTAAGCGACCATAATGAGAGTTTTGATTGCGTCGATATTTTTCGTTTGCATTTCTTGAACTCCTGAAGTCTGCTGAAGGAGCGAAAAGCGCGAAAGAATTCCTATAAAACTGTCTCGTTCCAAGTCTAATCTGAAGATTCCTGAGAGGCGGATGGCGCAGCGAACTCCATCAAGAACCAGGGAGACGATTTCTTTCTGACTTTGGTATTGTAAGAGAAAGGAAAATGCGGCGAGAGCAGGTCGCCAAACCATCTTGAACATTGGCCTGACATGCTCGGAATGCGAAGTAGAAACGAAAGTTGCTGTCACGTGACTTACAGCTTCCATCAACGCCTTAGCTGTAGTCGCGATGGATTCCATCTCCGACTCGTAGATTTTCTTCCGGAGCTTATCAGTCATTGTTGCATTTTCGGGAGCATGATGCTGTTGTTTCTTGAGCGAAATGGGCTCTTCCTTGATTTCGTTGTAGATTGCCGTCAAGTAATCTGGCGGCAAGTCGGAGTCGTTGTTGATTCCGCGATTCATTTTGATGTAATCTTCGACGGTCATCTTTTTCTTGACCTGAGCGGAGTGTAGATCTGTTGTCAGCATAATTATACTATAAGCTTTTCACGGGGTCGTTATTTTGAACTCTCTGTTTGCTAAATAAGGATTAAAGTGACCCCTTTCCTAAAACGTAAGCAGCATCGGCAGAAGCAAAAGTAGCATTTTCAGGATTACACTGTACATAACGAGCGGCTAGTTTTTCCATTAGTCTATCAATTTTCTGCGCTTCTCCAGGCAGCCTAAAGCCTGAAAGGAACTTCCTAATTGCAGCGACGAAGCCAAGCTGCGAGAAATCGAGCAAATCGACGTATGCATGCATGATGTTGATGTTGTATTGGTCTCCTTCGCCCAGGAGTTCTCCGATGGCGTCTGGGGATAATCGCTCTTCGCGGAGGAGGAATTTACCGATTTCTTTCGGGTCGTCTTTCGTTACATCAAGCTCGATGAACGCTTTCAACCCTTTCTTTGGCTTTTTGTTGAAGAGGGCAATGGCGGCTTCGAGCTTTGCCTTGTGACTTTTTAGCCTTTCCAGTTGCTCGATCATTTGGGACTCGCCCTGTTTGTAACCAGAATCGCTATTGTCGGAAGTTGATGTTACCCCATTTGTGTCAACTTCGAGTGTGTCTACTTCGCTTGCGGATCTGAACTCTTTGCCCATGATGGACATTTCCGAGTGTGGATTGATGTACAAATCACGGGACCACTCGGCCATGCATTTCAAAATATTCACCAAGCAATCAAGCGCTTTCATCCGAATTATCGACTCCTCTTCAAAATCTTCCGCTTTTCTCGTTTTTGTCTGAACCAGTCGGGCTAAGTTGCCGACCAGTCTTTCGAAGATATTCGCAGCGTTGATGTCGCAATCATAGTTGACATAAAGATCGACTACTGATTGACTGTCGGCGCAAATCCTCGCTAAGGCCTCAAGAACCAGCGCTCTGTGGACAAACGTAGAACTGGGACTTTCAATGATGCTCAAGAAAATTTCCTTGAAGAAAACTTCGATTTGGGCCTTCAAATGCGTCTTGAAGCCGGACAAGAGGCTCAAGAATATCGCCAAACTGAGTTCAAAAACTTCTGGGACCGTTGAAACGCCGTTTTTGGAAAGAGCGACGCAGAGATATTGTTTGATAGCATTTGAGAAGGTTGCATTCCGTCGAAACTCCGGCCCAGCGTTTTGAAGAACGGATAGGATCAATTGAAGAGATAAAACTTTGGATCGAAGCTCTGGCGATCGAGGATCGGGAGGACCATCTGCCAGAGGTTTCATGGAAAGTTTGCATAACGATCGAAAGACGAGAAATGCGTCTTTTTGGAGAACGGCGAGGTTGGTTTTCTTTCGCGTTGCCCGGAGAATCGCCAGATCTAACGCGTACTTGGCGATTGATTCCGAGCTATCGTCGGAAGAGTTTTCTAGTAGCTTTTCTTCTTCCTGAAAATTGGTTAAAAGTTGGCCCTGGATTTAGGAGAAGATAAATGGGGATAAGGATAAATTATAAGTGTTTTACCTCTGCAGGGTTAATCAGAATATATTTCTATTTTGCGATTATAAGAGAAGAAAAGATGAAGCTCTCGAACCTGAATGTATTCAATTTCTTCCAAGGCAGCCGTCTCCATTCTCGAAAACACCAATGACAGGATTTGGGTTAATGTCGCTCTCGCAGTAGTTTGATTCACAAGCGATTTTGAAGCCAGGTGAATGTTGTAGATCGTCCTCACCGAGTTCAGCAGCGTAGTTTCATGAACGGCGATGTGGTTGGAACTAACAGCTGTAAGAAGCGCCTTGATGATTTGAAGCTGTACGTTTTCGTCTGTATTGACTCCTTGGAACGCGTCCGCGACGGATAACAAAACGCGATCAATCGCCAAACGATTTGGATTCTCCTCGTCTGGGTCGGGCGTATTTCCGAGATACTGCGCGTGCGCTAGAACTTTGCAAAGCGTGTCAATGGCGACAATTTGAATCGACGGGGATTTCGACTTGCAGCCGAGTTCGAGTGTGCGAATCGCGATTTCCGCATGGCGAGAGGATTTTTGCTGAAGATCTTCTTTTTCGGGATTTTGATCGGGATCTTTGAGGCGGAGCAGGGCAGAAGAGGTTTCTTTTTTCAACTCCGCATTGTGGCTAAACACGGGTTTTTAGCGGAAAAAGAAACTAAACCTTGGCTCAGCAACCTGTGAAGAAAACCTGAGTCAGGATTTGAAAGATCTTCAATGTAAAGCCACGGAACGGCTCTTTGGACCCTAACTCAGGTTTTCTACGCAGAGTGCCGAGCCAAGGATACAGTATGAAGTGGCAGTACCTTCTTTTCAATTCGCGATCATTCGAAATTTTCTCCAAAGCTTGCTGAACGGAAAACATCTTCGATTATTCTTTTTTTCTTGAATTTTCCGTTTTCACAATTCTTCGATTTCAATTCAATTTTCGTCTCTTTCTTGTTTTTCCTATCGAATCATTTCTAAAAAGAAAACTGAGAAAATCTCTTGAGAAAAAAATCTTAGAAGGAAATTTTCTCGAAATTTATTATTATTGCTTTTTGAAAAAACAGCGCTAATTTTGGCCCCTGGGCCGGATCAGTTCAGCAGTTAAAAGCGGTCAACCTTGACTATCCAGGAATTCTGAAAAAACTGGTTTTTGGAGGGAAAATTTTCAGAAGAAAAATTAAAATTGAAATTTTTTTTAGAAATTTGTTGATGAATTTTTACTGAAGAAAATTGATATTTTTCTTAATAAAAATAAAATTGAGAAAATCAGAAATAATTGAGTTTCTAGGGCTTTCTCGTAAATTCTGGAATTTTTGGTTTGTCGGAAAAAGAAGCGATTCATTGGTCGGAGCGCGCTGACTCATTTTTTCTCGATTTTTTCGATTTAGAATTCTTTCTCACTTTTATTCTTGACACTTTGCCAGGAGTATTTTTCATGAATTAGAGAAAAGTTTGATTGAAATGAAATGACGCGAAGAAAGAAGATTTTTGAAGATCGCTCAGTCAGAAGTTGACTGATCAATCATCGATCTTTTTGATTGAGTTTTTCTAAGAAAATTACTCATTTTACAACAAGAAAGTTGTGATTTTCCGCGCTTACCCTCTTATTTATAAAAGTAGATTAAACTCAAAACTCGTTGATTTCAGAGAAAGTCGTGTTACAGAAATGAGCGCGGACGCTTTGAAAAACGAAGGAAACGAGCTTCTCAAAAAGAACGATTTGGATGGAGCCATCGGAAAATATACCGAAGCGATCGCCTTGAATCCTACAAACAAGGTCTTCTACTCGAACCGATCAGCCGCCTTCGCGAAAAAGAGTGAATACCAGAAAGCTCACGAGTAAGAATCCACCGTTATTCTCTATCTCTAATCTTTCTTTTCTAGCGACGCAGTGAAAGCAATTGAACTTGAGCCCACATGGCCAAAAGGCTACTCGCGGAAGGGAGCCGCTTTGGTCGGATTGAACCGACTTGAAGAGGCGAAAATCGCTTACGAAGAATCTCTCAAGCTCGACCCCAACAACGCCGCGACAAAGACCGAAGTTGAGAACCTCAAGAACAAACTCTCCGGCCCCGGCGGTTCGCAGCCGATGGGAAATCCATTCGGCGGAAATCCGGCTGAAATCTTTCAAAAGTTGGCGACCGATCCGCGAACGAAGAATTACATGAGCGATCCTTCTTATTTGCAGATGCTTCAGGAGCTTTCTGCCAATCCTTCCAATGCCATGAAGGTAGAATCACAAAATTTTCATAATTCATTGCAAGTTATCATTATTTCCGCCCTAAATTGTTGGTAAAGCTCTTGATGATCGACCCTATATTGTCAATTTTCAGCCAATCAGAGAAGGGTGCAATTATTTCTAGTGCCAAAATCGACATTCTTGGGCTTGATTTTTGATATTTTATTAATAATTTTGGACCCACAAAAATCAGTTTTGTGAATAATCTTGAGGAGATCTTTCTATATTCTTCGTTGTTTCCTTTCATCATCATTTCTTTCAGCACATGGGCGATCCTCGAATGCAAGCGACTCTCCAAGTCATGTTCGGAATCAACCTCGGCGCCGATGACCAAGGCAATCCCGTTGTCAACCCCACTGCCGACAACAAAGCTAACCAAGAAATGCCCAAAGGTCCAAAAATGTCCTTCGACGACATGGACACCGACTCCGGTCCTTCCGAGCCCAAGCAGTCCAAGCCAGAGCCAACGCCTTCGAAATCCCCCGAGCCAGAGCCAGTACCAATCGACGAAGAAAAAGAAGAGGCAAAACGAGCCAAGGCGGCTGGAAATGAGTTTTACAAGAAGAAAGACTTCGACAACGCTGTCAAGAACTACAAAAAGGCTGTCGAGCTCGATCCGGCTGAGATGATTTACGTCAACAACTTGGCCACCTGCTACTTCGAAATGGCCAAGACCGGCAAGATCGACAACTACGACCAGTGCCGGGAATACGCGTTGAAAGCCGTCGATGTTGGTCGAGAAAACCGAGCAGATTACAAGACCATTGCCAAGGCTCTCAAACGAGTTGCCATGTGCTACGAGAAGGAAAAGAACTTTGATGATGGTAATCTTCTAGCTAAAGATAGGAGAGTCTTACTTGTTAATTTTAGCCATCAAGTGGTACAACAAGTCGCTCTCCGAGCACCGAGAAAAGGACACTCTCCAGATAGTTCAAAAGGTAAAGTCATCCCTCTTCTTTTCTACTCAGTCTAACCTAAATCTAGCTTGAAAAACAAGCGAAGGAAGCAAAGCGAGTGGCCTATTTCGATGAAACGAAGGCCCAGGAAGCAAAGGACAAAGGAAACGAGTTCTTCAAAAAGGGTGCTTTCCCAGACGCGATCAAGTCGTACGAGGAAGGGCTCAAGCGAACTGCTGATGGAGACTGCGTAAGTTTCAACCTCTCTTTCATAAAATGATGAAGGATTTAAGGACATGAAAGCGAAGCTCCTTTCGAACAGAGCCGGCTGCTACGCGAAGTTGATGGAGTTCCACCGAGCGCAGAAAGATTGCGAAGAGGCGCTCAAGTTCAAGCCCGACTTCGTCAAATGCTGGATCCGAAAGGGCTCCGTTTTGGAAGCCCAGAAACAGCTCGACAATGCCCTCGAGTCCTACAGAGTAAGTGGAAGATTTATTTACGAGAAAAAAACGATTCTTCTTTAGAAAGCAATCGAACTCGACCCCAACGCCAAAGAAGCCCAGGACGGCATGAACAGAGTGATGTCGCTGAAGTACGCCGCCAGAAACGACCCCGAACAAGTCAGAGCCCGTGCGATGAATGACCCAGAGATCCAGGCGATCATGGGCGACCCATCGATGAGAATGATCCTCGAACAGGTAAATTTATAGGCCAAAGGGGAAGATCTGGGCTCGGCAAACTGTGTCAGGAACAGACACAGGAACAGGAAAAAAAATTTCTGTCCCATATTTTACACAGGTACACAGGTCAGGAAGCAAAAATATCCTGATTTTAGACAGGTACTCAGACAGGTTTTTTTACACAGCTTATCAAACAGGTTACACAGGTCAGGGCCTGCATGAACAGGTCTGAGCAGGTCAGAAAACAGGATATTTCTGAGAAAAAATATTACAAGGAAACAAAAAGACGCGAATTTATCGGATATTTTGATTGTTGAACTCCTTTTACGTCTTTCGCTATTGATTTCTTTAAACATTTTCCCTGACTTATGCGGTTCCTGACCTTGTTACACGGGAACCCGTCTACGGTCAGGACCTGAGCGGGAAACACAGGCCTGTTTAAGACAGAAACAAGAACAGGGACAGCTAAAGAAAATTTTTTCCCCAATTTTACACAGGTACACAGGACATGCCCAAATTATTACCCGATTTTACACAGGTACTCAGACAGGTTCCCCAAAAACAGGAAACAGGACCTGTGACAGGTTTATACACAGCTCAGTTTGCCGAGCCCAGGGGAAGATATGGGCAAAAAACTGCTATTGTATGTCGAAGATTACCGATATAATTTCGAAATCCGGCCCGATATTGCCGATGTTCGGATTTCTCAACTAAACCCCGGTTTCAGATGCAGCAGAACCCTCAAGCGGCGATGGAGCACATGAAGAACCCCGACATTGCCCAGAAAATCCAGAAGCTGGTCGACTGCGGTCTCATCTCCGTCTCCAGCCGCTAACTATAAATTGCACTCGCCGTCCATACTCAACCGTTTCCGTCAATTCCCACCTTTGTCTGGCTCGCAGCAGTTCTTCCAGAAGAGATTGTTTAGGCAATTTGGTATTTTTAATTAAATATTCTGTCTTGATTAGTCTACGCGGATTTTGTTGTTCACAAGTTATCTCCTTTACCCTTCAGCTTCAGACGACTTTTTAGAGACAATTTTGATTTGCAAAGTTCAATAAAGAGCCACAAACATGGAAGTTCAAGCTTTTCCCAAAAATTCTCGACTGACGATTTCGAGAAAAGTATCTTGCGTCGTTTTTCATTCGCAGGGACGAGGTGTTTTACAAAGTTCATCGGAGTGTCAAGATTCATTATTTCCAATTATTAACCAGCTCGTTCATCGGAGATAAAATATCGGTGATCTTCGGAGTCCACATTCTGAAACGAATCTTTGATGTGTCGGAGATAACTCTCGCTGATAACAACAACTCGGGAGAAAATTCATTTTTATATTTCATTCGAAAAAGAGAGCATGTGTTATTAAAAGATGATTTTTAAAAAACTTTTTTCAATTTCATCGCTGTTTCTAGTAGCAAAGGCGACTCATTTCAGAGCAGGAAGCTTGCAGTTTAAAAAGGATGAAAACGGGGTCCTCAGAGTCACCAGAACAGTTGGCTGGCGGCGATACTTGGCTGGCTGGGGTAGCAATGGGTGTGACGATGACGACATGGGCAAATTGAACCCGAAGAAAATCGCGAACGGACGCGACGGGCACAAAAACTACTACATGCCGCTCGGAGAGACTGACGTTCAAACAAGCTGGCTGGCGAACCCCAAGACCGTCTACTACGAGTTGCTGCAAATCGAAAAGAGTAGCTCTCTGACGAATGACGAGCATTTTTGCTTTGGAAAGACCTTCGACGAAGAGCTGCCGTCCCAAGTCGTTGGAAAGTCCTTTACGATGACGAACGGCTATGTTTGGGAAGCTGCGACGGTGACAATCACGCACGACAACGGCAACAACGGGCAGGGTTACTACCAGTACACGGCACATGTCTACGAGTACGACAACAACTCGCCGCAATTCGAGAACCCCGCGATTTGGTGGATCATGGACGGATGCGACGGGCAGACTTACTATATCACGCCACAGGATCCGGACGGGGACGAAATCATCTGCAGGTGGTCGACCAAGGAAGAAGCGTCGTTTCTAGCCAACGACAAAGAAGGAATGGATGTCGGAGGAACAACTCACTGGCCAATGACACAACTTACTCTCGATACTGCTGCCTGCGCGGTCACATATCATCCCGAGGAAGACAATGGCGGAGGCAACAAACCGATCGCTGTTCAAGTTGAAGATTTCGACGAAAACGGCGGCATCAAATCCTCCGTCCCGTCGGTTTTTCTTGCTCGAGTGTTCACGCCGGACATGGACAGAAGACTCTTGGACGCGCCTTTCACTGTAACAAACAGGAGAAAAAGAGACACAGGGGAGCATCATCACGAGGAAGAAATAAAAGCCTGGAACGACTGGAAGCCGAACATCCGACTCCAGCCGCGAAATACTGACCACTGCGACGGCCTGCCCGTCTGGATTCCACCGACGCCTCCGAACGAGTCTTTGTTGATTTACCAGGCAACAGTCTCGTACTATCAAGTCTGGGCGGCTCGTTTTCTCTTCGAAGGGGAGTACTACACAACAGTCCATCGCGCTCAATTCTCCCTTCCCGACGGGATGAGCTGCACGAAACTGCGAGAAGACGGCACTGCCACGTGCATTTGGACGCCGACCGTCGAACAAATCGGCTTGCACACGGTCTGTGGACTTTGCTACGACGTTTTCGAGCGACCAAGCGAAAGGAACTGCGTAAAAATCGAAGTAATTTACCCAGAGGCGCCAGTCGAGAATCCATGCAACACAACGGCGATAATAACCAAAGAAAAAATGAAAGCATACGAATTCAATGGACAAAATATCATTAAAGCTTCGTGAAGGGATCTCATCTTGTTTAATGAGCATTTTCTTCTTGACGAAATTATTAACAGATTTGAGACCAATCAGAAGTCCGCTTTTTGTTGATCGGCCAATCAAATTTTCGAAAATAATGGCGCTCTTAAAATCAGTCTTTTCTGGCCGGTTAATATTTTGATTTGAATTTTGACGAAAAATGATAAAATCCCGAAAAGATAATTCAAGCAAGCGAGTTGGAATCAGATTTTGTCATCTTCGAGTCCTCAAAGTCAAACAACGCATTCCACGATTTCAAGATAAAATCTTACGGCGATCGGGACGTTTCCGATCTACCGAATCTATTCGACAACGACCCTTTCACTTATTATCAATTCGACCAAGCCTGTGGAATGAACGAATCTCCGCAACTCATCGAGATTCGCTCGACAGAAGCCGGCGACGAAAATAGGCCTCGGAAGATTCTCTTTGACTTCATCGAGCTGACCATTTATAGCGATACTCTGAGCCTCCCACGGGCAAATCTCTCTGACGAAAAATGGGCTGACTTCGCAGACAAAACGCCAGTCTTCCAATACAATCAGATGTATCTCCTCATCGGCGACGAAAGAATTCAGGCGTTTCAAAATCCTTCCAAGACTGGATCCTTCATTTTCAAATCAAGTTCCGGCAAAATTGTCACTTCGCTAATGACGCTGGAGTTTCACTCGAAGCATTTGAAGCTGTCAAAGTTATCGGTGAATTGGCTGGAATGCGAAATTACTGGCAAACTGAACCCGTCGATCACTTCCGGAACAATCGTCAACCCGGCAGGAAGCACGCATCCAATCTGCTACCGATATTCAGGAGAAGACAGCTTCGACGAAAACTCTTACACAGGAGAGCATTGGAACGAGGCAATTCTGCCGGGGTTCTTTAATCCAGTCGCAGACTCTCATCCAGACAGAAAGTACAATTTCGTCGTCGTCAAAAAGAGCAGTGGCGATTTCTCGAACTTCGCCGAGGTGCAAAACGCCTGCTCCCAGTTTGGGATGAGCTTGGTTTACCCTTACAACGCCGCGGCGAATGCATTCTGGCTGGACAGACTCAATGAGCAGCAATCATCGCTCCCCGGATTGCGCCTCATGATAGGTCTGATCTACACGCTTTTTTCGACGAGTTCTGGAGCACTTGTTCCTTCGGAAAGCGCGCTTCCAATCACCGACGACGCAAATGATCCGAATGGCTACGTGAATTTTGAGGGATTGAGCTACCAGCAGGCGTTTACTCAAATGAAGACCAATGGTAAGCAATTCATCATGGACTCGAGCACGGGGCAGTGGGTCGCTTTTGCTTCAGTTCCGGCTGGAATGGACGCGACTTTTTGCTTCAAAACAGAAGAAATCACCACGACTTGTTCCGACTCGTTTTGCGACAATATTGATGTCGGCCAATACGAGTGCAGCTGCCCAGATGATGGGAGTACGCTGGTCACCGAGCTGGGCGTGGACAAGTGCGTCGATCCTACTCCACCTTGCGATGTCGATGATCCGTGTGTTCCCCCAGCTGTTTGTAGAAACGTCTTTGACTCCTCTTTTTGCGAGTGCCCTGGCGAGGGTGTGACTGAGTTCCTTTCTTCTGACGGGATTTCTTGCGAAAGCATTGACCCATGCTCGTCCGGCCTGCATCTTTGCGAGCATCCGAGTTTGCAGTGCGTGCCGACTGATATTGATGGAGAATACACTTGCGAGAACACTTTCGAATGTCCCTGCGACATGGACTGCTTAAAGCCCCAATGCCTCGATCTAGCTGACTGTTCTGGACTCGGCTCTGTAACTTGGTGTCCCGAAATCGACTGCACTGAAATTGGAACTTACAAGGGACAGTACAGATGTCCAGTTGGAAAGGGCGGTCTTTGCGCCAAACCAGATGACTGCGAATTCGATTGTTCTACAATCGGGCCTGGATGGAAGTGCCTCAAGGAAAAGTGCCAAGCATATGGAGACTGCTCTTTCGAGTGTCTTAGAATCGAGGACAAGGGTTGCCAAGAAGGCAGAGATTGCAAAAATATTCAGGATTGCTGTCCTGTTTGTGGAAAACATTCAGGAATGGATAAATATTAAGTTTGTTTTTTGATTTTCTGAACGGATGTTTTTTTTCAATATTTTTTATTCAGTCAGCATAATTTAGAAGCATTTAGATTGAACAATTTTTTAATTTTTTTAGCGAATCGGAATATGCCTCAAGAAGAAAAATAGGCTTTTGCGGAAGGTATGTTTTCAGTCTGCAGCTTGATCGGCTACATCGAGCTAATGCTTTTGCGAGGCCACTCCAAAGTCAAGCTAATGGACCTAACAGCGCTGCTCGTCGAGGCCGTCGGGTCCGTTCTGCTCAACTAATCGGCTTCTTCACTTTTCCTCTTGGCTACTTTGGGGCGCCCTGGATCTTTCCTGTTTTTATGGGTGTTCTTGCCCTTTGCTTGGCTACACTTGTGAGTGGTTTCAGAATTCATCCCTTGCTCATAGAAATATTAGCCGTTGATGCTGGTCCCTCCAGTTTCATTAATGTTGAAAACAGTTCCTCGAGACAAACAAGCGACTCTTCAAGCTGTTCGAATGAGCTTTCAAAAGGTACTATCCCTCAACTAAGGGGCTAACCAGACTTAATGATTTTGATTCGTGCCTCAACTAAAAGATGTTCAATTTCTAGGTTGCGATTGTTCTCGGTCCACTTTGAATTATTGGAATTTCTTAATGATGGCGGCTCCTCTTTTCATGGCGCTTTTCGTCATTCTTCTGGAACGGCTCTTCAATTTTAGAAATTATTCTCAAAACAAATATTTTACAAAATGAAAGCCTCAAACAGGTGATCTTTTCCTACAAATTCTTAAAAGACGAGCGCCTGGTTCCTCCCTCGCCTCCCGCTCCTGTTTCACTCTAACCATTTCCACCAGCTGTGCGGCGAATCACCTCCAAGAGCAACAAAAAAAAAGAAAATATTCTTTCAAATGAAATTTTTTTTATTGAGATGATAACGTCTGCTACTCAAAACAAAACAAACAGACAAATATATTGTAAACTAAAGTTTTATTCTTTCTTTTTTTTCTTGTTTTGGCAAGACATTGTTTCAATAGAAAACACAAGAAAGGCCGACGATTGAAAAAAACAAGCAATTTTCTGAAAAAAAAACCGTTATCATTTCCTGACTTTTGCGATTTTTTATTCTAACCGAGTTTTATTGAGTTTAATGATCATTTATTTACATTGTTGATTTTACAGAAAAAGTTATGTTGTATCTTACAAAACAATCGCCAAAATAACCTTGTATTGTATTGTATTTGATTTTCTGCTTCTGCCCATCCGGCTCGCTTCTAATCTCTCCTCTGCTAAGCTCTTTTCCATTTTCATAATCAATCTCCTGCACGACGGCCTTGAATCGAACTCCGCCGTCTAAAATTAAATTTTTATAATTGAAATTTTAATTTTTACCTTTGTTTCCGATCCAGAGAAGATGCCCATCATCTCTTCCATAACCACCACCACCTTGGAATTTGAGATTCCATCCATTCTCCGCGACCTCCAACTTCTGCCAACTCGCAAACTTCGCGGAGAGTTTTTCGAAATTTTCTTATCGCTAAAAATTAAAAACTCCCGTTCCTTCAAGTTGATTTTAGGTTCGCCGAAGGACAGCAGCTTCACGATGTTTCGCACTTCTTTTTCTTCCATCTCATTTCTTACTCCACCTTTCCATTTCATTTTATCATCCTGAAAGTAGTGCCCGGCGCCGCTAACCGCTCACAATACTCTTCTTATATTCTTTAACACATTTCTCCTCTCCTCATCGACTCTTGTTTCTATTCTTCGAACTGGCTGAACAATTGGGGACGCAACTCTTCTCAAATCACATTCTCCTCCTTGTTGTCTTTCATTCGCAGCCGACTGTCGTTGATCTTTGAATTCATCTAGTTCTCTCTTCAAATCCGCGATTTCTTTCTTCTGATTTCCGTTTTCAATTTTTAAATTTTCTTCAATTTGATTTTTTCGCTCGTTTTCAGCCAAAATGTTTTTCAGGTCTTCTTCTTGCTCTGCCACTTTTTGCTTCTGTTTCGTGATCTCGGCGAGGAATTTCTGAAGAAATAGTCATAAAAATAGTCTTGAATTTAGTTTTTACCCTATTTTGTCCCTCAAGCTCGCTTATCCTCCTCTTCTGCCCCTCAATCAAACTCTCCTGCTGCTGATTGGTTTCCCTCAGTCTCCTGATGATTTCTTCTGGAGGAGCAATGATTTCATTTGGAGCTTCGCCGCTTTCGATTCGCTCCAAAAACTCGCAAAAGATCGCTTCGCCACGGAGTTGAAGCGCGTTTTCGAGGCGAAGTAGTTTTTGAGGATTCAGGCATTTTTGGAGAAGAATTTCGAAGTCGATGAATTCTTCGCTTTCGCTGCGGATTTGAGACAATTTTGTTCGCTTGTTCTCGCAGATGTTGTTCACTAAGACGGCTAACGAACTATCAATATCTCAATTCTTACCTATTTGACGTTGATTTCTTGTTGGCCTTCCATCAACTCGGCAAAAAGCGTGCTCAAAAGTCAAAAGTTCTTGAATGATGTGGCCGAAGCCCCAAACATCCAGGCGAGCAGATCTTCTTAGTGGTTCGGTAAACGACTCTTTTATCGAATTCAACATGAGAAACTCTCAATATCTCCTTGATAGAATATCAAATTCGTTCCTGGAGGAGTGTAAATCAGCGTATTCTTGATTGCATCGGTGCTTGTTCCTTGAATCGTCGCCTCAATCGATCTCAGTTGCATGACACTTCCGAAATCGCCGACCCGGATCTATTTTTCAGTCAGTGAAGTTCAGTCAACCAAGTACTTACAGTAATGCCATCTCCCTTGATGAACACATTTTGCGGTTTAACATCCAAATGCGCGATGTCCCTGGAGTGGCAAAAAGCCAGCGCGGAAATGATCTGGGCGCCAATCAACGACACTTCTTCCGCGCTTGTCCAGCGCCCTTGCTGTTTTCTTCGCCCGATCCAGTCGTTCAAGCTTCCAAGTTCGCAAAACTCCATGACTAAAAACGAAATCGAAGTGAGCTTGAACCAGTCCGGTCTTTCCATCGGCAGAAAATCGACGAATTGGACGATGAACTGGTTTCCGCCGCTCAGCATTTCCAGATTTCTAGCTTCTTCTTCAGTTTCCTCGATCTGGCTTGAACTGATCATTTTGATCCATTTCAAGGCGACGATTTGGCCGCTCTGGTTGTCCCTTCCTCTGGTGACGCCTCGGCCGCCGTCAAATTTCGACTCGAGGATTCCGGAGTATCGCCCATTTTTAGGCTTATTAATGAAAAAAATAATCTTTTTTTCTAGCTTGATAAAGTGCTCATATGACACAGTTTTTGAAAGCCCAGAACCTGAGCGTTAATTTGGGCACCATATCAAGGGGTCTGGGCCGTGCCCGCACGGCGATTCAGGGGCCCGGAAGTCCCAAAATAGGCACTAGAACGCTTTAATCGCCTTGGGCGACCGCCTCCACGCTCGAGAGGTCTCGTGACCATTTCTAAGTGAAAGAGCTTGTTCTGAGCTTTCAGTAGATACCAAACAATCATGCTTGCCTGTGCAAACGAGTAAGTTAGAAGCGAAAAGAAGTCGTTTTTGCACCCAAAATTAAGGGTACTACCTTCGATTTCCCCAACTTTAGCCTTGAATAACCATTTACATGGCATGGATAGCGGGTATCATATGGCCTCTAAAAGTTAAACTATCTTAGATCTTTAATCTGTCAGAGGCGTTTTTGAATAGCTCAATGAAAAGTCGGCTAATTTCTAGCTTAAAAATATCATTGTTGCAAAAATAGACTGAATAAACGGCGAAATAGCTCGAAAAATAGCTTGAAAACTCAGCCTGATTTTATTTTTTATATGTAAATTGAACCTTCATCTTAAAAATGACAGAAGGTTTTCTTGATTGAAAAAGGAAAAATACCAAAATTAATTTTTTGAAAATAGTGTCTCTATGATTTTGCTAAAATTGAGCATTTTTCAAAATTTGGCGACGCATTTTTGTCTCTAGAATAGGGTCCGGCAAGTGGTTTGGGGTGGTCAACTTGAAGCGGTCTTTTATATACCCACGTGATCCTTATGCTCTGGCGATTATAAAAATGTATGACTCATCACCATACGAGTTGGGAATAGGATTCTAGAGCCATTTGAAGTTCCAAAAAATGGAATTTTTTGTTTTCTCTTTTTGTTAAAAATGAGTGCCCAAGGGGGTTTTCAGGCACGCAGATTTCATAAAATATTGTCTCAAAAGCGCCGGAGGGCAATTTTCATTGATATTAGACGAAAATTCCCCCCTTCCCTGGCTTTTAATTAAATTTGGGCTTGACGGCCCGAAGGGCCGTTTCCCCCCCTTCCCTGGCTTTTAATTAAATTTGGGCTTGACGGCCCGAAGGGCCGTTTCCCCCCCTTCCCTGGCTTTTAATTAAATTTGGGCTTGACGGCCCGAAGGGCCGTTTCCCCCCCTTCCCTGGCTTTTAATTAAATTTGGGCTTGACGGCCCGAAGGGCCGTTTCCCCCCCTTCCCTGGCTTTTAATTAAATTTGGGCTTGACGGCCCGAAGGGCCGTTTCCCCCCCTTCCCTGGCTTTTAATTAAATTTGGGCTTGACGGCCAAAAGGGCCGTTTCCCCCCCTTCCCTGGCTTTTAATTAAATTTGGGCTTGACGGCCCGAAGGGCCGTTTCCCCTTTCCCTGGCTTTTAATTAAATTTGGGCTTGACGGCCCGAAGGGCCGTTTCCCTTCCCTGGCTTTTAATTAAATTTGGGCTTGACGGCCCGAAGGGCCGTTTCCCTTCCCTGGCTTTTAATTAAATTTGGGCTTGACGGCCCGAAGGGCCGTTTCCCCTTCCCTGGCTTTTAATTAAATTTGGGCTTGACGGCCCGAAGGGCCGTTTCCCCTTCCCTGGCTTTTAATTAAATTTGGGCTTGACGGCCCGAAGGGCCGTTTCCCCCCCTTCCCTGGCTTTTAATTAAATTTGGGCTTGACGGCCCGAAGGGCCGTTTCCCCCCCTTCCCTGGCTTTTAATTAAATTTGGGCTTGACGGCCCGAAGGGCCGTTTCCCCCCCTTCCCTGGCTTTTAATTAAATTTGGGCTTGACGGCCCGAAGGGCCGTTTCCCCCCCTTCCCTGGCTTTTAATTAAATTTGGGCTTGACGACCCGAAGGGCCGTTTCCCCCCCTTCCCTGGCTTTTAATTAAATTTGGGCTTGACGGCCCGAAGGGCCGTTTCCCCCCCTTCCCTGGCTTTTAATTAAATTTGGGCTTGACGGCCCGAAGGGCCGTTTCCCCTTCCCTGGCTTTTAATTAAATTTGGGCTTGACGGCCCGAAGGGCCGTTTCCCCTTCCTGGCTTTTAATTAAATTTGGGCTTGACGGCCCGAAGGGCCGTTTCCCCCCCTTCCCTGGCTTTTAATTAAATTTGGGCTTGACGGCCCGAAGGGCCGTTTCCCCCCCCCTTCCCTGGCTTTTAATTAAATTTGGGCTTGACATAGGCAGGGAACTAAAAAGTACAAGACTGAGTTGATCAATTTCAGTTTTGTCCCCATCCCCGCCCACACCCATATTTTATAAAATCTTTATTGTTCCAATTTCGAAAATCGTTATAGTTTTTCTATAACCGGATTCTTTTTCAGATTACCGAAATATTTTTCATTATTATGCTCTGTTATAATTAATAATAATTTATATCAAATAATTTATATCATTATTATATGGTCAAACGACCATGCATCCTGCTCTTCATATTCTTTAATTCGCGAAAACTGAAGTAATTTGAGGTCACTGAATTAAAAAGTAAACGCTTTCTTAGCAAATATCTTCAAGCAAAAGTCCTCCGGAGGACTTTCCCATGGCTGAAATATCGTATTTCAACCTCGAAAACCTTAAATATCTTACGATTCCCAACTCGACAAAGAGTGATTTACATTCCTATTTGTAGATTAGAGTCTGCGCTATTATAATCAAGAAAGTTTTTCGCTTCAAGTTGAAGTTTACTGTATTAAATTCTTGATTGAAACTTATAGAAAGGTGAAATTTTGGCGTTTGTTTAACTTTGAAATGGAAACTTTACAAGAAAAAACTGATGAAATTCAATCAATGATCCCTATAAATGAAGCTCAGAGTTTGTTCTTTAGGTTGAATAATCAAGCGATCAAAAAATATGACTACAGTAAAATTTTTCTTAATAAAAACAATGGTAACCCAAAAAAACACTCGAAAATCCTCAAAATTGCCTGTAATTTTTTTCTAGTTGGGTTTCAAGCTTCACTGTAATGGAATAAAATATGTTTTTTGACCTGAAGAATTCGATAAAAGTGAAATGGGCAAATAAAAAAATCTGACCCTGATCCATGCCGGACCCTACTCTAGAAGCTAAAATATCTAAGTTCAAGAATTAATGATCTCACCATAATCCTCATCTTGTTTTGAGCTTCAAAACGAGCCCTTATTTGAAAGTATCGGACACCAAAAATTTTTTCGGAAAAAATTCTTTATAGTACAGAAATCAATTAAAACTCTAATTATTATGAAAATGCTTGACGTTATGAATGAAACGTTCGGACCTTTTTTGGTCAAAATTTTATGAGGAATTCATTTCCGATGAAAAATTTAACATAACCAGTCATTCGGGTAATCGACGGTAGTACCCTTAAGGGAAATCTGGGCTTTTCTCCAGCAAAAGATAGAAAAATACCATGCTTTTTTGGCAGTTTATCGTTTGTAGATGACTTCAGGAGAGAGGCAAGCAGAATAACTTGACATCTACTGAAAGCTCAGACCCTCAGCTTTCTCTGAGACGTAGTCACGAGACCTCTCGAGCGTGGAGGCGGATGCCCCAGGCGATTTTAGAGATCTAGTGCCTATATTTGGAGTTCCGGGCCCCTGAATTGCCTTGCGGGCATAACCCAGACCCCTTGATATGGTGCCTAAATGAAAGCTAAGGTTCTGGGCTTTCTAAGGCTGTGTTATGTGACCCCTATATCAAGATAGAAAAAAGGGTTGATTTTTCCATTAATAAGCCTACCCATTTTTCTTTCAAGAGTTTTTAAAATTAACTAAAAATAAAATGAAATCTTATCAACTGCTGTTTTTTTAAACTTTAACAATGATCGTGCCATTTTCAAAAAAATGAAAATTACGAGAAACTCTCTTTTTTCTCTCAGAGCAAGACTGTTTGAAATAAGAGGGCGAGATTTGGAATTTTCCGCGTTTCAGAGTTTGCAGTTAATATTTGAACTTGTCTGCTTGCGCCTCTGCGTTATTTGAAGAGAGAGCAATAGAACGCGTAAAAGCTTCGAATTCTGAGTTTCCAAAAACTTAGACCAAGGAACAATTTGAAATAGACAAGTGACATGGTGACATGACAAGTGACAAAATCGCCGAAACTTAGAATGAATGAAATAATTGCCTTACAAAAACAAAAATCGTTTTAATTATAATATTTCACCAAACTATTATGGCGATCATCATGTCAAGTTTAAATCATGAATGAGTTAATGAGAGGGCGACTAATGAAATCAGCATTTTCGGGTAGGCGAAAATTCTCATTGTGGTCAGATTCTTATGTTTTTTTATGTCTTCAAATAAAATTTACGATCCTGCCCTCGCGATTAAAAGTAGGAATCACTGCCCGCTCCTATATTTTTCCAAGAATCTTGAAGCAGGGCGACGGTAAATAAGCCCCCTTGTCGGTTTAAATTGAGAGAATGAAGATCGGCAGAATAAAAGACGATCACAATCAGGCAGCAGTTTGCATCGTTTTAAAAAAAGATGAAGAAACCAAAGAATCTTTCTTCTTTGCCATTCAGGTTTTATTCCAATCTTCACCGAAAGGAATCATATCTCTTCTTGGACCTTCGAAGTCCGATCAAAATCAATCAGAATACTTCGATAGATTTACTAGTCATCTCCAAAATCACGCTCGCCAAGGTGAAAAATGGATAATATCTTCAGTCCCCATCAAAGTCTTCACGGGAATTTCGGGAGGAAAAAACGATCTTCCGAATCTTCTCCAAATCATTGATAAAGAAAGTCTTTCGGAAAAATTAAAAGTCAAACTGGATGAACTTGAAGATTATTCTAAAGTTTCATGGGAATCATTTGGTTCAAAAGAATATTCTAGTGTAATTCTGGTTCTTGATTCTGAGTTCAATAGTCAGGTACAGGGT